TTGTGGGCAGCCATCACCTGTGTCTGCACATGTCTTTTCTCCCTCTTAGAGGGGCACCAGTCCCATCATGGGCTCCACCCTCATCTAAACCCAATCACCTCCCAAAGGCCCCACCTTCTCATACCATCACTCTGGGATTAGGGCTTCAACTGTGAGTTTTTGGGGCACACAAACATTTGGTCCATAGCAGAGAGGCTAGAACAGGGGTTGTCAATGAAGGGGATTTTGGAGGGTCAAGAGATGGCTTTTTCCTCTTTAAGTTGGGCAATATTAAACAATGGTTAAATGCTGATGGGAGCGATCCAGAGAAAGGACACACTGCTGGTTTTGTGGGAAGGGCAAGGATTGTTGGAGTGCTGTCCTCAGGGAGGCAGAAGTGTTTGAGTTTAATGCCCAAGGTGGCCTCATATGGGGTCAAGGACACCTAACAGAAGGGAAGGCAGAGAGGGTTTTATGTTTCTGGATGATTAGATGCAGAGGTAGGAGGGCCTGAAAATCGGTGGGTTTCTTCTGTTTTCAAAGAAAGGGTGATGGAAGTCATTAGTTGAGAGGGAGATCTGGAGAAGACGGCTGACATTCTGACCAGAGGTGTGAAGAGTCACTTAGAGGGAGTTGAGGACTGTCAGCAGCCCCAAGGGCCTGCTCAGGGTTAGGAGCTGTGTATCCAGGAGAAAGCATGCTAGTTTCTAATAGCACTTAATGTAAAGGCCTGTTAACTAGGTATAAAGGCTTGTAAACTAGGTAACTGAGGGTGTGAAATAAGAGCAGTAGCAACCCCGGGAAATAGCTACCAGTCCTTGGGTGGCGTTACTATAATGTGGAAGCTTGGAAGAAGGACCCCAGGAAGCTGTTATCTGAGGAGGGGCTGCTGATTCCTGGGGCTGGGGTCTCTGGGGAGAAGAAAATGAGGCTGGTTTTACAAATGTTGGAATAAATACAAACTGGATTTCAAATGCAAACTGCTGTTTCCGGAATTTTCCATGTGTCACAATCTGGATGAAGAAGTAGGCAGGAAGCAAACAGAAGATGTCTCTTCATCCTCTCCAGCCCTGCAGTCTTCCCTCCTAAGCCAGATGGGGCTTCTGCTGGTGAGTACACTGCAGCCAGGTAAAGGGGGTGGAGGGTGTATGTAGCGGGGTGGCTGCAAGGCAGGATCTTGGAGCGTAATTGGTAGGGACACAAGGGGAGGGTGGGTGGAAAGTAGTCCAGTCAATAGATGGTAAGCATGGGGATGCAGACTTTGCCACTCAGCTTGTGGTCCATGGACCAGAGGCGGCGGCGGCTGCATCTCCTGGGAGCTTTGGAGAAATGCAGAATGTCCACAGTTGAGAACTACCGAATTGCCTCCGCATTTTAACAGATCCGCAAGTGATTCCTGCGTGCGTATCACTTTGAGAAGCGCTGGCAGGGGAATTTTTGCAACTGGGAGACTAGAAGACGTGAGCTGGAAAGCTAGGAGGTGGTGATCGCGGAGGGTGGGTGGCTTGCATTTCCAACTGTGGAGAGGCCAAACCGGAGCGTGTGCCTGACTGCGGCCGGGAGGCCTGGCGCGGGGACAGCCCAGCGCACCAGCTTCAGGCTGGGCACGGTAAGAAGGAAGTCGTCAAACGGGCACTGGGACCCCAGGGCCAGAGCCTCACCTCCCCAAGCTAGTGGGTTCGACTCCCATCCCACCAGCTGGTAACTTAAGGTTTAGTGGATTTCCTTATTTCTTTCCAGGACTTTCAAATGTAGAGCGATCCCCGTCATTTCTCTTTGGGCTCGTCCAGTCGGCCCCCATCTCTCGCAGTGGGACATGCCGCCCGGCCCCTTGCACCCCCCTGTACCCCACCGGCCAGCGAGAGGACGCTGTTTGCATTCAGGGAAAAGCAATCGCTCCCCGAGTGTGCAGCCCAGGGCGGAGTGGGGGAGGCCGAGGGGCGTGGCGGAGCGATTGTTGCGGCCTGAGCCCTGCGTGCCCTGCGCGCTGAGGACTCTTTGCGTCTGCGTAGTGCGCCCAGCTCCCTTTCTGCCTCCGCTGCGGCCATGGCGCCTGTGGTTAGTATGGCTCCGCGTGAGGCCTCGGCTGCGCGAGGGCCCGTGGGCCTCGCAGGCCGGGCTGTTACCCGGCTCCCGCGGGCCAGCGCTCTGCAGCGTCCGGCCAGGGCTGGGCTGGCAGGCCGGTCGGGCTGGGCCAGGGCCGCCCCCGGGTGCAGCACGTTGCGCGCGGAGGAGGCCGCGGCCTGGGGCCAAGAGGGTATCCGCAGCTCCCGGAGGCCGTGGCTGGGGCCCGGTCCTCTGCCTGCGGCCAGCGGGGAGCTGCGGCGCAGCGGCTGCGACCTGGGCCGGCCCGCGGCCCCTGGATCCCGGCCGGCGTGAGGCAGCCACGGTCTGGGCTTGGTTACCTGGGCGGAGGGCGGGGAAGAGGAAGGAGACCGGCCACCCTCTGGATCTCGCACCCGGGAAGCGTACGGCCAGGACTGGGGGACGGGTGGGGATGTCCACCGAAGGGGACCTGGCCGGCCCGTTTCCAGAAAGGGCCTGGGTTTGAGGACTCCTGTGACATCCCTGGAGGGAGTTAGTGCCCCCGCCGCAGCGGTACAGACCTTTTTTGGTGTAGGGCGCAGGCCAGGTTCCATTCTCAACAGCCGGTCTGGGACCAGGCTGTGCGGCGCCTTCATGTCATCCTGACTGCAGATCGTTCTCCTTCCACACTGCTTGGAGAACGTTGTTTTTCCCTTTCCTCCTCCATTGTTGGGACACCTGAATTTTCGGTTCTCCATCTGCCTGGGCGGGGGCTTTTAATGCTTCTATGCATTTGTGTGCTTTGGTGGAAAACCAGGATGGGAGAGGTATAGAGCCCCTTGTGGGCAGGATTTTTACTTGCTGATGGTGTATTTCTGGGGCTAGATCTTAAAGTACTCTTTATTATTAGGAAGAGTCGTCTTTAAAAAAAAAAAAACCAGGTATTTTTGCAGTAGTTAGGTGGTTGAAAAGTTGATTCAAGTTTCAGATGCAGCTCTAAAAAAGGTAAGATGTGTTCTCGGAAAGATCTTTAGGTGGTGCAAACCTTTTTGGAGCGGAGGTACAGGCAAGCGGGTTATACAAATGCATTTTTAATCGTGTTGGTGGTGGAGAGGGAAGATTAATATACGGTGCTCTGAGAGTAAAGGAGCTGTGTAGGATGTGCTCGAGCTGATGGTTTGAAACTGCTATTTCGTGGACTAAATCAGTCAAGGCCAGACGTTTTTTACAGCAGTGTTACAGTTAAGAGCTTGAGTTTAAGCCTTCCCCGTGTCGCGGCTGGTGTGGCTGTTCTGCCATGATGTGCAGGTTCATTGCTGTTCTGAGTAGGTAGGGGAGACAGGATTAAATGAGAGCAGCTGAACTGGACCAGGACCTTAGTTTGGAGAGTTAGGACAGGTGCCAATTTCAGATTAAAGTTGTTTTAGGTATACAAGGCCCTGATCTTGGAGTAAATTACTATTTCTTGAAACTTTGTTTCAGGAATTTTAGGGCCAATGAAAGGAAATGTTGGTTTTATTGTGGTTCATAAGCCAACAGACCTTCATGCCCATAGGGATGAGGGAGGCTAGAAAGAGTGCTAGAATGATTTCCCCTTCAACCTGGACCGTTTGTAGAGCGCCGTCTTGGATATCAATCCCTCTGTGCTCTTGGGCACAGCACAGTGGCAGTCTCTGGGCACCCCTGCAAAGGAGCACAGCTCCATGGGTTTTGTATTTGTGTGGGCTTTTACACCTGTGGCAATTTTGGTTCTGTTATTTATTTATTTATTTTTTGATGGTCGCGCCTTCATCTTTTGTTATCATTTGTATACTTTTTAGAAAAAGCTTGTGGCGAAGGGGGGCAAAAAAAAGAAGCAGGTTCTGAAGTTTACTCTTGACTGCACCCATCCTGTAGAAGATGGAATCATGGATGCCGCCAATTTTGTAAGTTACACCCATGATGTCACGGGGACAGGAAGGAACCTTCTGAGGTATTGTGGGGAAAGCCTCCAGAAGCACACTTTTCTTTGCAGGCTCGTATGCGGCTCTGTAGTTACGGCTCTGCGTTGAACTCTGGAGCTTGGTCTCCTGTGCCTTTAAGTCCGCTTGCTCTCTAATGTGTAACAGTGATGCGGAATGAATGAGATGGGCCCTAGCGCATGAATGCTAGACAACTACCATGTTTTTCCTTTTCCTTTTTCTTTTAGTTTCCAAAAATGATTTTACTTAAAAATTACCAGGAAACAGGCAGACTTCCTTGGATCTGTCACCCTCTTTGCCCTTTGGTGTGTTTCAGCGTAAGCACTGGGCCCTGGTCCTCACGGGCAGGGCTGTCTCCATCCGTGGCCTGACTGCTGGGCTGGGAGCATTGAGCCGGCGGCAGCATCTGCTTAAGCTTTCCATTTCATTAAGCACGTCTTTGTAAAAATATCCTGCTTCCTGACCTGTAATTGGAGTTTGGTTTTTTCAGACCTTGCTCTGTAATGGTATTTTGCTCCTGTATTTGGTCCCATTCCCCAGTATTTTACTATTTCACTTAAATCTAGAAAAATTAACCTTGCTGCCACATTCTGACTCTAACTTGGTTTGGGCGATTTGCTCTGCCTCTCCAGTGGCCGTGCCTGGGAATTACTGTGCAGAAGCCTTTTGACTTCACATTTGTTCTTTGGCTCCCAGAATGTCAACTGTTAATATAATTTCGGCAAGAAAATTCTTCAAATAAAAAAAGAGAAGGCTCAGCCTATGGCCACTAACAACACAGATGGGCTTTGGTGACCTCTTCCAGCTCTGTGGCCTGTGTGCTGCTTGTTTGGTCCCTGGCTCCTAAGTTCCTCTCCGTCCAGTGACGTGCTTTTCTCTGTGGCATCTTTTCCCTCCCAGTCTTTGTGGCTTCTGTTTTGTGTCTGGTGGCCTGTCCTGGTTGTTGCTCTGAACTTACCTGTCTATGGTTGTCTTTTCTTCTACAAGCCTCCTTTGGAAAACCTGAGTGTGAGATGGCAGAAGTCAAGATTTCGGACCTAATCACTCTTTACTCCATCATAAGCTGGCATACTGTGTATTGGAGTTTCTAAATAGAGGATTGTAGGGGTGTAGAGCAAGAACCCAGTCGTATCGTAGTAACAGCAAGAACCCAGAAAGTCCCCCTTTTTGGACAAAGACCCCTGAAGCCTTCAGAGGGGAACAGTCAGCCCAGGCTTCCATGGGGGTTTGCTGACAGAGAGTCCATCTCTGGGCTCCTGGGCTGCTGTCCCTCCTGTGTGTACACATGGCGCTGACACGTAATTGTTTTGGTCACCATGTGCTTTTGCTCCCACTAGACCGAAGACGTTTTCTCTGATGGTGCTGAGGATGGTACTTTGTACTCCTTAGGTTCAGATGTGGCTTGTAACGTTTGGCCCTGGGTTTCCTGTCTATTCTGTACCCCTGTGTGAAACCTGTGTAAAGGCGTGCATGAGTTTGTGTGCAAGCAGTGAGCTGTGTTCATGCTGAGATGTTCATATTATATATGTAAATAAATTTGAATAGCGCTATTCCTAGTTGCTATTTCTAGATTTCAGACCTTAATAGATGAAGGTTTGCTATCGTTTGTTAAAGACTGAACATTTAAAAAAACATACTTGTTCCGTGTTAGAAGTAGTAAAAAAAAAGAAACTCTGCTGGCTTGACAGGTGAACCTGTCCCTTCACTCACCGGTGGATTTGGTGATTTTTACAGGAGCAGTTTCTTCAGGAGAGAATCAAAGTGAACGGAAAAGCCGGCAATCTCGGAGGAGGGGTTGTAACCATTGAAAGGAGCAAGAGCAAGATTACCGTCACTTCTGAGGTGCCTTTTTCCAAAAGGTACGGGGTGACTTCTGTTCTCTGCCTGCATCCTAGCACCGGGATTCCCATCGCCACCCAACAGCAGTGTTGTGGCCCTCTGGGTAATTTGTTTGCGGTTGCATCTGTTAATTTCTGGAACAGAGCCCAGTGCACAGAGGCAGTGAACGAATAAATGTTCAAATGGTAGTAGAAAGCATTAAACTGCTGGGGGTCTTTGAAATTTTGTTTTTCATAGGCTGAAGTATTTCGCGCAGTAAAGACACTCAGACGGGCTCTTGTTTTTGTTCTTAAGACAAAGTGCTGTTTTCTCTGCTTCTAGCTTACAGTGAGGAGCTTTCACTTTTAAATGCCTTTTTCATCTAAGTGCTGTTACCATTGGCCGAGGAATCTGAAATCTCAGTTCAGACGGAAGCCATTCCATTTAATTCCTGTGGGTCTGTTTTCTTTAAGTGGAGACATCACTTCAGTCTCCCTGCTATATTACATGGTAGTGGTTTTGAGGATGGGTTAAAACATTTTATGTCGCTAAAGAATGTGGCATGTGTATACCTAGCTCCTAGCCCAGAGCCTGGCATAGTCTTAGGACCTTATAATCAAGGTAAACCAAGTAGTGGGAAATTTGAAGGTGTGTAGGACAGATTGGTTAGTTAAGCCTTTGCTTTTATTTTTAATTACATCAGTCAGGGTATGACCTTAAAGCTGAAGGCAAGTACTTACATTCTGCCTGGCTGAGTCATTTGACTTGTGCAGAGGGAGACTGGGCAGAGAGATCAGTGCAACTGTAGGGTCTCGGGGGGCACACAGCACCTCTACTCGCTGGGCTTTTGAAGGGCCTGTGGGCAAGAAGCCATCATCTTTCTCTGCCATTTCTGCGTTCAGCAGGCGAATGTGAGAATGCCTCCTGACACATCTGACTTCAGATTTCCCACATTTTCTGTTCTGCACCCGTTGGAGAAGGAGAGGCGCCTTAATCTCTTAGTATAACTTCCCTTTCTTGATAATAGTCCATTCTTTTGAAGCATTCAGAGTGTTCCTCATCTGGGACTTTTCCTTTCTGGTCTCTGAACTGCTGCCGCTTCCATCCAGTCCACGCCAGCATTCGGTCATGAAACTTTTCAAGCTACCCGAACTTTCGATCAACCACCTCACCTCAACACAATATGGTAGAAACAATAAATGATGGAAGAGAATACCTTTTAGACGGAATGACTAAATTGAATTATTTTTATGTAGGGAAAAGTGGACAGAATTGAACTGAGATCTTCACATCTTTGTGAAGATTGCTTTGTTGGTATTCATTTCCCAGAGATGGTGAGCTTGACTTTTGGGTCCTTGGCCGTGTGCCTCATTTAGTCCTTGTAACAGTCTTAGGAGGTGGTAAGCGTCACGAGTCCCATTTTATAGAGGAGAAACTGAAATTTAGAAAGGTCAGTTTGCTTAGCCTTTTCTTCCCTTTCCTTATGGCTTTGGGAAGATGTGGAATGGATAAAACTCAGGGCCTCATAAGCAAATGGGAGAGAAGAAACGAGATTGTAGGCTTTCCCAGTTGGGGTGCTGAGCGCAGAAGCCAGTCACTGCCGCACATACACAGTGAGTTTTGTACGGGGCAGTTTGCTGTGGTGATGGCTTCGCGCTCAGGCTGAGGCAGTGGTCGGGCAGACATTTAAAAAGCTGGGTGCTGCCAGTTGCAGAGCTGAAGTGAGGGCAGTGGCAGGTGGCACCCTGTTCTGTGCCTTGGGTAGCGAGCATCCTGGAGCAGAAGTAAGAGAAGGTAAGAGCCCTGAGAAGCAGTCCCAGTAACATGGACGACCTCAAAAGGAAGTTTAAGTCAGTGAGGTGAAGTGTGGGAAGGGCTTGGATGGAGCTCGTTGAAAACCCAGCATTTCTCGGTAAGAGGTATTAGTTGTGTGCTTGTCAAATCATTGCCATGGTGCCAGTGGTCCCTGAAACCCTTCTACACGTGTTTGCTTTTGTTTAATGGACAACTGTTAAATTTACTACCTATTCTCATTTTCATTGCCAGGTGAAATATGGCTGATGTTTTTTCTTGTTAGAACATCGCCCTGGTATATGTGCCTTAAATTTGCCATTTTGAATTGTGGAAAGACTTTGAATGCCCGAGGTTCCTAGGGGTCCCACTGTTTGAGGATGCAGGAGGGCGCCATGTCTGCTGGATTCTCAAGTGTTCTCTCTCTGCAGGTATTTGAAATATCTCACCAAAAAATATTTGAAGAAGAATAATCTACGCGATTGGTTGCGTGTAGTCGCTAACAGCAAAGAGAGTTACGAGTTACGTTACTTCCAGATTAATCAAGATGAAGAGGAGGAGGAAGATGAGGATTAACACGGGTTTATCTGGAATGTTTTGTATGAGTTCTTGAATAAAACTTGGGAACCGACGTGGTGGTTTTCCTTGTATCTCTGCAGTTTGAACAGAAAATCGGAAATCATAGTAAAAGGGCTTTACTTGGGCTGCCACTACTTCTTTAAATTTGTAATTAGACTTTATTTTTCCTGCTTGAAATTTTCAGTTTCTTGTGGTAATACCAAAATAGAAGGGGATGGCTCCTTACAGGGAACCAGCATCTATTTGGCATTGATCCTGCAGATGAGGTGGGAGTGAGAGCCTCGGTCAGTCACTGTTTTACTCGACAGAGGGTGACAGTTCGACCTGGTGCTTTTTTCAAGGATTCGGGAATACAAATGGGACTCCAGTCGCAGGGAGACCAGTGACTTCTTAAGCTGTCTTGCAGGACAATGACAGTGTCAATAAACATGCAGGGTTTGGGGGCATTTGTCTTTGAAATTTTTTATTACAAATTACTTTTGATGCACACAATTATGCATTGTAGTCCTTTTTGTTCCTGTAGAAATAAAGTGGGGTCCTTGGGTGCTGCTGTATATTCTATTACCTTTTAGAAGAGGTTTCGGAGACTGCTGTTGAAGTCCCAGGTTTTTAAATTAAGTGCACAAAAATGAATTTGTAAATAATTATTTCTACAACTCTTTGCAACAACCTGTCACTTTGGCCCTCAGCAGGGGTAGCTGGAGATGAAGATGAGGACTGGTAGATGGTCTAGAGCTGGACGTCTGTGTGTTCCCCAGAGCTCTCGAGTCTCTTCACAGGTGGGCAGCGGGGAGAAGGGCTTGGGTGACAGAGCAGAGCAGAGATGTCGGCATGTCCGGGGAATAGGCCCTTCCATGCCATTTATGCCATGGCTGGACTTAATGTCAGAAGTCACGCTGCAAACTGACAGTAGGACAAGACAGAGTGGTGTTCCTAGTGGGGCAGAAAACGATGTCATCTTGGGATTTTCATTGCCACGTGTGCGGAGGCTAGGATCTGTGAAAGGTTAAGAGGTGGTAAAGATGTCATTGTGCCAACCGAAAACTGAGTATTTGAGTGACCGAAAAAGAGACCCTGATGCCTTAAGGTGCCCTTCTAAAATCTAAACAATTCTGCAGAAATGTCTGCATTGTCTTAAAATTACAGTGTTAACAAAATTCATGTTTTAAAGAGCTTGCCTACAGCGAATTTCCACATGTGAAATCCTTGTGCTCTGCTAGTTGTATAGCTGGAAGTGAAATGTTTGAGTCCTACCTTGGCTCTAATTTAACATTTGGTGCTCCTTGGATCAAATTTAACGTGTTGAGGCTTTGCAATTTCATTTGTGGTAAAGACTCTAGCATTTTCTATTTCTATGCAAATTTTTTGAAGCAGAATTGTTTGCATGTTTCTCTGCCCTCACAGAAGGCAGGGTTTCTTTCAAATTTAACCGAGGCATCAGTTGCTCTTTGGCTTTGTCCATTATCGTGATTATTAACGTTATTAATTTCTGACTTGGTTTTGCAAATTTTGTTTGTTGCATCGATGTTCTGTAGTAATTCATAGTTTGGTTGTAAAAAATTAACCCTGGCCTAAATTAGCATATAAGCCTTTTTAAAGTTCCCAGACTTTTAAAACTTGTAATAAAATTGAAACTCATTGGGTTTTCTATGCCTTTTGAACTCCTGTAATTGAGTTTTGATCACCTTTTATATTAAAGTGGCTAACACATGGCTACTATTATTGTGCAAGGCCTTTTTTCTTTTTCTTTTTTAAAGGATTGGCATGTTATCTTTAGCGACAGATTGTTCCCTCACTGATGAATTGCTGTACTTACAATGACCTTGGCTTGCATAGGGCTTGAGAAGAAAATGCCCTTTATTCCGATTTTCTTTACCTTAGTTGGGCCGCTGTGCCTCAGTGAGATTCTGGGGTTGACCATAACCGAGTGGCCCATGTAGAATTTCTTTAGACCCAGAGCCTGGAGAATAACTTTCCAAACAAGTGACTGTTTGACAGGGGATATGTAGCATGAACCTGTGTTACACCCATCACACCAGCTGTGCCTGAACCACATTTTAGACCCTATCCTACCGGCCTGCCTCATGGCTCAGCTGCCTGATCCGAAATAGTTAAGGCACAGGAACAGAACAGGTCATGAGAGTTTCAAGCTGAGATGTAAATTCACAGAAGTAATGCAATAGCGAGTTGGAACAGTCTTACTCCTAGGAGACTGCTTAACCATCTCTCCCTTGGCTTGACAAGCGCCACCATACTTGTCTAAGGTTTAATATTTGTTTTCCTTCCTAGAGCCTCAGCCACTCCCCTTTTGGGACTTGGAGTGGTGAAAGTGCTTTATCCTGAGTAGTGTCCTCACACCTGTTGGGGGAGAGTCACGTGTCGACATACACGCGTCCTGACTATTCACTAGTGGCGCCTGGCACAGAGGTGTTCAGAAACAGGGAGTGGGGGGACTGATCAAAAGTTTTTTAAGGGAAATGATCAAAACCACAGGGTATTCTGGGGGTATTTTTTGGGAACACATCTTGGAGGTGAGCAGGACCCCTGCGAGGTGATACTGAAACGGCCCCTGGTCAGGCCAGCGATAACCTTTGGAGACCTAAATGTTGGCTTTGGCAGCGCATCCTCGTTCGCTTCCCCCTGCTGCCCTGGGCCTTCCCGTGACACCCCATGAGGTGTGAAGAGACAGAGTGGTGTGCTGTTCCTCTGTGAGCGGGCACACACCTAGGACGTGGTCACTCACGGGGTAGTACCAAGGCGCAGGCCTCCCCCTGGTAATGCAGCACAGCACAGGCAGGCTGGGGTGATAAGCCAGCAGAGCTGCCCTGGGCCTTTGTTCTCTGGGGCGAACAGCTGTGGAGGTCACTTCTCTTTCTGGAAGGGAGGAGGGTGGGCAGAGGCCTGCTTTGGGGGACTTGCCATTGCAGCAAGGAGGGGGAGCTGAAGAGAGCAGGTGGAGGGCTGCCTCTTAAATGATGCCGTTCATGGTGCTTATCTCAGGGAACCAAAAACTAGGGATTTGTAATCCCGACATTTTCCTCTCTCTCCTGTCTTTGGGAGAATTTGAGGATCCACATTCTTTTTTTTCTAGGCTATTTCAGGCCGAGCTAAAACGGTCTGTTAAGGCTGTGCTGACCAGCTGAGTGAGCCGCTACCCTAGCTAGAACCCAGAAGGTGCTGTAATTTAAGGCTTACGTGAGCACTTCCTCAGGTCAGGGCCATGGCCCAGGAATCACCCTTGAAAAGCTCCCCTACTCCCCAGCAACCCAAATGATTTGGAATGAGGTGGGGCAAGGCCCCACCCACCTTGAGAAATAGGCTTCAAGTACAAGGGAGGTCTTGGTGGGCAGGGGCACTGACCCTCATTTCAGAGGGTGAACCTGTGAGTGAGGTGGTCTCAGTGCTTCTGAGGTCAGGTCAGAATTTGCCTGGACCAGGTGGGAGGGGTGTAGGGACAAGCACCTTGGTGCCCTTCAGAAGCCCGGTGACACAGCAAGGCCGTTGGGGGGCCACAACAGAATGTGTTGGTAAAGGAATTTGCTGGGAGCCTGTATGAGGAATGCATGGAGCCCAGGGCTGGAGATTGACAGGTTTGCACTGAAGACATTAGTTATTGCAACTTGGCTCTTAGAAAAACAGGTTTTCCTTGGGTTTTTATAACCGATATATTTAAAAAATATATTTTGATTTTGAATTGTCACTGAGGTATAATTCTGAGCTCTATGTTCATCAAACATCAGAGTCTAGTCTCCTGAAACTGTAACCTTAATGATAGGCTTGTTCTCGGAATTGAGAGTATTGAATTTTCATCTTGTTAGGGATTGCTTTTAACATCAGGCGTTTTTGGTCACTGTCATTAAAATGCACACTTAATAACTGAGCAATAAGCGAACTCTCCTTTAAATATCACTGGAATTTCTGGTCAAAAATCCACTTGTTTTTGCCATTCCAGTGTTTAGTTTTGATTTTGGCCAGTAAGTAATGTTACATAGCTTCAGCCATTGGCAAGAACGAGGGTGGGGAGAGGATGGAGTGATGAGCATCTTCACTCCAGTTTGTTGTCAGTCTGAGCAGTTGGAGCTCCTCTTTCTTGAGTGATGTCTTTCTGACTTTCTCAGCCTCGTCTGGGGAACTAGAGCCAAGGTTAAGGGTGTGTGTGTGTGTGGTGGGGGCTTTCTGGTGATAGGAAATGCTGTATGGCAGAGCTTCTCTGAAGTGGGACAGGAATCTGGATGCATCCTGACCTCATCCCACCATCTGCAGGGGGTGGGGCGGGGCTGGTAACTGAGGGGTGGACGCGTTTGGTGGTTGATAGGATATTTTCCTGAATGGTTAACATTTGGGAGGGCAAGGCAGCCTTGCCCGAGAACATGCAGACCCGCTGAGCGGCGGTGGTATGGGGCGCCTCTGCTGGGTGTAAGTGATGTGAATTACAGCCCCAGACCCTGAGAAGCCCTGTGCTTTCTGAGCTGGCCTCCCAGCTGCCTTTCCCTCCCCTGCAGGCCGCCTGCCCTGGGCTGTTTCCACATCTCCCCCTAGTGTGGTTTAAAAGTGATCTGCGAGATGAAGAGGATTCCCAGCACCCTGCACCTTGATCCAGGGGGCTGGACAGACCTGCCCTGTGCCCAGGAATGAATAAAGAGGAGCTTTTGTTTAGGGCTTGCTGGCAGTTAGTTTCGTTGGGAGTGGAGAAGGGGGAAATTTGCTACAAGTGGTTCCAACCCTCCACAGGCCATCCATTATTACCTCTGGTCACAGTTTGGACTCACCGTGGCTGGGCTTGTGGCAACCTCCCCAAGAGGTGCCCTCACCAGGCAGGCACAACTGGCTCCCAAAAGCCCCAGAAAAGAGCGCCCTCCTGGCTGGGGCGGGTGCTCAGGCAAGACGGTAGGGGTTGGTGCCAGAGTGACCACCACCCTCGTGCTTTGGGCTTCCAGAGTTGGGCAGATCCTGCGGGTCCCTGGCAGTCACGTGGGTCTCCAGTGAGTTCCCCCAAACGTATGGGCCTGAGGTTGTGAGGTGAGGACACCCTTTCTTTCCGGGCTCTCCTGGGGTTAGAGAATAGCCACTGGAACTTTGGCGTCCTTGCAGCCGCGTATAGACCTCCTGCAGCCAGCACTGGCGGGGCTCATTTAACATTCCAGTGTTGCTCCCGAGGGCTTTTGGCCTCCATCATCACCTTTAACAACCCAGGGCTGGAGGCGGTGGCTCCTTCCCGCTCTGCGACAGGTGTCGCTTCTAGCGGGACCTTTGGGCACGGAGAACGCAGATCCTTAGCACCCTCAGGGGTCCGGACGTGTTTAATCCGGGCCCCGCCCGGCGGGGCGCTGTGGAAGACGGCACGTGGACTGTGGGAGCGGGCTGCCCCGGGGTCAGGGAGGTGCCAGCCGGTGTGGATTTTTCTGAAGGAATGGGACCTGCTGTCCCCAGGGTGGCCCTTCGCCAAGTGCGGAACACATTTTTCTTCTAGTCCTCTTTCGAAAGGGGTTAGACGCATGTAGAGGCCTGAGCTGGGGGCCGTGAGCTGAGTGCGGTAGCTTGCTGCTCAGGGACCCCGCCTCCGCGCCCTTGGGGACCCCGGGCCAGACGGCCTCCCGCGAGGGGGGCGACAGCGGCTGCGAGCCCTGCCCAGGGTGCACGGGGACGGAGTTCGCTGCCTCCCACTTGGCCCAGTCCGCCGAGTACGGCTCCCGCTCGGCCGTCGGGCCCCTGGGCGCGCGGGCGCCTCGACGGCTCCCCCTGCTGGGGCGCCTGGTCCTCCACCCTGCACCCGGCGGCTCGGGACTAGTCCCCCAACTTGTTTTCCGCTCTTAACTAGTCGCGCTGCCTGAACGATGGGATGGGGTTGCCACAGCAACCAGACTGGACGTCACAATCCGGGCATGTGTGCCGCTCCCCCGCCGTGCCGCCGCCACCCTCGGCCGGCTGCGGGACTCGGGCTGCGGGCGCGGTGGGCGGAGCAGCCCGGGCTTTCCGGGGAGCAGGGCGAAGGCGGCCGGAGGAAGGGGGTCGAGACGGGGGGGTGGACGTTTGGGGACGCGGGGGGGCAGGCGGCCGCCATCTTCTCGCCGAGGCCGCCTCGCCCGCCGCGCGCGCCCGTCCGGCCGCGCACGGGTTAAGGCTGGCACCGCGCCCGGCGGGAGGGGGCGCCCACCTCCCCTCCCCCCCCCCGCGCCGGGCATGCGGGGCCCGCTGGGCAGCGAGGAGGAGCTGCCGCGGCTGTTCGCGGACGAGATGGAGAACGAAGACGAGATGTCAGGTGAGCGGGGCCCGGCGGGTGGAGGTGGCGCCCGAGCTGCGGGCTGTGCCCCCGCCCCGCTGGCACCGCGCGGCCAAGGGCGCGGCGAGCGGGCGGCCAAGGGCGGGGTGCGACCGGTGCCACCGGGCCCCGCGCGGGCGAGGGGCGCGGGGGTGCCGCGCCGGGGTCAGCCCGCGTGCCCTTGAAGGGGGCGGGAGTCGCGCGCTCGCGCCGCGCCGCGCGCCTCTGGCCTCCCGGGGCAGAAGGGCCCCGACCCCGGTCTCGGCCGGTCGCGGCCCCAGGGCGGGCCGGTTGGGGTCCGGGGTGCAGCGAGGAGGATCCCCGCCTGGGGCGGCTTTCTTCCGAGCCCGCGAGGGCCCCGCGCTGGGGCGCGCGGCTCGGACTCCCGCTCCCGGTCCCCGGCCGCGGGGCGCTCCGACCGCCGCTCCCAACAGTTTGCCGGGCCGCCGGCGTCGTGCTGGCGCGCCCCATCGCCCACCGGCGCCGCCCGCCCGCGACGGCCCGGGCACTGTCGCTCGCACCCACCCCGTTCTGGCTGCGGGCCTGACAGCCAGGGCCACCGCCCCTGCCCTTGTGGTCCCTCTCGGCATTGAGCATGAACAGCTCGTGCGTCAGGGGCGAGCTTGCAGGATCCTTCTTTAGTTAACTGCTCGCCGTTTGTTTGGGACGGTTCCCCTCTTGGCACAGCTGGGCAGGGCCTCAACCTGTCAGCCAACCTCTGTCTCTCCCTTCCGGGGGAGTCCCACTTCTCAGCTGGTGCCTGTGGCCCCTCCCAGGCTCCTGAGATACTGGTGGGCAGTCCAGGGGCCCTCCCTGGCCCAGGACCCCGCTGTCTGCCCCAGGAATGCCCTCCCCAGGGGAGAACATGCCACCAATTGGCACCCCAACTCCTGTGTGCAGCAGCTCCCCAGCCTGTTCTTCCTGGTGAGGGGGTTCCCTCCAGGTGGGCATGCCCACCGCGGGCCTCCTCCCCCTCCCCACTTGTTTGCTTGAGTTAGCAGTGTGAAGGGGGACCCTCAGGAGCCCGGCCTCACCCCACCTTTCAGACAGTCTGGCCAAGTTTGCGAGGAGCCTCCTAGGCTGAGGGGAGTGGGGTGAGGTGGCCGCACACCGGCGGGGTTGCTTGGAATGACAGTTGAGGATTACATCCCCCTCCAGGGAATTAAGCCCCTTTCCCAGAAGGGAGCACGGACGCCCCGCACAAGCACGGAAAGGCTGTTTTCTACCCTAGAGTCCATCTCCTCCACAAGCTAGTCACTGGCTTCCTCAATAAGTGGCTTCCTGGTGGTGCTCGGGGCGTGGCCCCTTTGTGGCACTGATGGGCGCAGTGGACAGCTGAACATGCACTAACAGGCTTATTTCCAGGACGTCACCTTGACGGGATCTCCTGCCCTCCTGCCCCACATACTCTGGATCTCCGTGGTTGCGTCAGGGCTCAGAATGTGCAGAGGGGAGGGGGCCAGGGAAGGTGTCCCCAGGCCAGTGGGCGTGCCATTCACCGTTTGGGCCAGAGGGGTTGGGCCTCCATCACCGTTGCCCACCACTTCACCTCCCTGTGACTCCTGCTTACGCCCCTTACTCCAGGGCAAGGCAGGGCAGGGGGCCAGGTTGTCCCCAGGGCCACTAGGAATGCCCCCAAAGCCCTGAAGAGGTGGAGCCCTGCTCTGGCCCCCTGGCCTGGGGATTGCAGCCCATCCCGTCAGCAAGACTGGCTGTTCCACCTGCAGAGCACGCCCTGACTTCCCAAGCTCTCAGCTCTTCCTCGTGTCCCTGGTCCACTCCAGAGCCTCCCGACCAGCCCTCACTGACCACCCTCCATTAGCAGCCAGGGTCACCTTTGTAAACACAAGTCAGACCCAGAGGATCCCCTTGGCTGTGAGTGACTGCACGGTCCTCAGCGCCCCCTTGTTCCCACCTGCAGCCACGCCAGGCTCCTTGATGCCTCTGGAAGCCCCCCACCCCCCACTCCACCCTGCCTTGGAGCACCTGCTGTGACCCCTGCCTGACCCACTGTATCCTCAGCTCACGCTACTTCCTTCCTGTCACTTAGGTCCCAGCTCAAATGTCACCACGGGGAGGCCCTTCTTGACCTCCTGGCTCCAGTGTGGCCCCACCCCATCACTCTCAGGCCTGTTGTACCTTGGCAGACTTCCCACCCGCTGGGATAGTATCACGGGTGTACTTCCCTATGGACAGTCCCCCCCACCCCCACCGTCTGTGCATCTCCAGATCTCTTATCTCTCAGCACCTGGTACCCTGGGTGCTTAGGGGTCGTTGTGGTCTCAGTGTGAGGGCTGGAGGCCCCTAGGTCAGCCTGGCCTTGTTTCTCTCCTAGCCGTCACTGCAGCCGCTCTGCAGCCCTTAGCCTGAGGTTATGGCCGTTACCTGCTCCGACCCAGGGCCAGCCGGTGCCAGAACATGACCGTTTGTGGGCAGTGGAGCTGGTGTGCTGGCAGCTGTCACACTAACTTTGAAATCACAGCAGTTGGGCTGGCTACTTGTCAACCCTGTTTCCTTTCTCTGCCCGCCCCCTGCCCCCCTCAGTAGTAGTCTTGTTCCCCACACAGGGCTCTGCCCGCCTAGCCCTCTGGTACTGAGGGCAGGGTGGGGGTCTGCCACTGAGGTTCCAGGACTGGCAGCTGCCAGGTTCTCCTGGGAGTTCAGGGAGCTTGGGCAAGCTACCCAGCCCTGCCTCAGTGTCCCTACCTGTGGAATAGGACACAGCCCTAGCTATCTGACAGAGGGTTATTGTGAGGACTGGTGAGATGGTGCCCATGGAACATTTAGGTCACAGTGCCAGCACGTAAGTGGTGTCCAGCAAACCGTGATTGTTATAATTAATACCATCCCAGGGGGGCAGCTGATCTGCCTTCCCCAAGGAAATGCTTCTGAGACTTGAACCCTGGTCCATTAAGTGGGGGATGGGAGCCTGGGCTGGAGGAGGGCTGGGAGTACAAAACCCATGGTGGGGCTGGAGGGGAGGGGTGGGGGTGGTGGGTGGTACTCAGCACCCCAGGCCTTTTCCTCAGTCCCTTGACTAGCTGACCCAGCCCTTCCGCAGTCACACAGCCTGAGCAGTGGGTTTTCCAGACCTGGTGAGCCCAGTCTTTCTCCTGGCCTGGCAGTGTGACTGCTCTGGTCCCAGAGACATTTGACTGGGCCATGCCCACCATGCTCACAGGATGGCCCCAGTTACAGGGGTCAGGACAGCCCTGATTCCCAAGGTCTGTCCTTTGCTTGCCCTGCCCCCATGGGGAAATGTGGATGCGGGGTGGGCCTGATAGCATTTAACGCTCCTTGCTGGGAAGACGGAGGCAGAGCGACTTTGCCTGGGGACTTGGCCTGGGAGATATTCACCAGGTTCCCAATTGATCTATCATTTCATCACTTCATTCAATTACCCATTCACCTATTAATCCCACTACATGTCTCCACCTCCCCCCCAAACATCTAGCCATCCAACCACAGGACTCACCAACTGACCATACACCCTCCGCCCGCCAGCTGTCCATCCACTCACTATCCACACTTCCCACCCATGATCCATCCGTCTGTCCATCTATCTGTCCATCCGTCCATCTATCAGTCCATCCTACCTGCCTGCACTCCGTCCATCCTTCCATCCACTCACCATGAATTTCTCAAGTATCTTTGCTGAGCCAGGTACTGAACACAATACGTGGTGTCTGACTTTTTGGGTTTTGCAGGTAAAACTTTTGAGACTTTCTGCATTATCTCCGTGGCTCTGTCCTTATTTCCCTGTGTTTTTCTCCCTCTCTCCCCATGTCTGTCGCTCTGTGTGTCTCCAAGTCTGTCGGTCTGTCTTCCTGAAGTCTTTGCCTGGGCTTCTCTGTCTGGCTGTCTCTCTTTCCCTCCTTTGTCCCTGTCTCTCCCGGGCCCTCTGGGCATTTTCCCGTCCCCTCCCTCCTTCCCCACCTGGGGCTGCTTGGGGGCCTCGCCCTGCTTGCCCTGGCTCCTCCCCTCCCCCCCATCTGTACTCTCCCCTGGCCCCAGGCCCTGAGGGCAAGAGCCTCACCAATCCCCCTGCCTGCCTGCCCAGGGGGCTCAGGAATGATGCTCTTGGATGAGACGCCAGTGAGGGGATGTCTGGTTTTTGTTAAATGTCATAAATAAATTATTAATCCTCTGGTGATGTCCCCCCCATTACCAGCAGAGGGCCGGTGGTGGGGATGCTCCAAGGACTGGTGGGAACCCTAGTTTTGATGCCCCTCCTTAGCCAGTTTGAGGGTGGCCCTGAGAACCCTGGCCCAGCGGAGCCCCCACCCTCCGCCGCCCACCCTTTGCCACCTGCGGTCCGAGCCTTCTAGGGCCCTAGGCGCCACCTGCCATTCCTGTGCACATCCTGTGCATCTCAGTTTCCAAGTCCCCCTCACCCCTTCAGAAAGGCAGTATTAGGCCCATTTTAAGGCTGAAGAGTTGGGCTTAGTGGGGACAGGACTGGGGCGTCCCTGCCAGGAAGGGGCAGAGGTGTGAGGCCTGTGCTCCCCTGTCTCTCCCTCCTCCGGGTCACCAGGTGGTCTTGTTCCCTGCTTGGTGGTGGGTTGCGGGTGGGAATGGAAGGAGCCCCTGCTCCCCCAACCCCAGAGAGGGTGGTGGATGTTGAGCTGGGTCCCCATCACTGGCAGATTTGCCCGCCTTTCTGGACCCTGGTAACGGAGCTCTTGCTCGGGCACCTGACTTGGGTCCCCAGATCCTTCAAATACCCCCAAATCAGATGGTCTGACTTCCTCCTCCACGATCACATGCTTTCCTCTTGCTCTGGTCACCTGTGTCTGCAGAACCCCCGGGGGGCTGTGTTCTTGCCGAGGCCCCTCTGGGCTCCTGATAGCCTTCCGCAGAGGCGAGCCGGAGTGGGGCAGGAGCCGGGCAGGCATAACCTGCAGGGAGACCATGGGCACTTGTGCTGGACAAGCCCTGACTCCCCCGAGGGACCCCCTGTGACCTTCCAAACCAGGGTTTGGCCTGAGTCACCTCGCTGTCCCCAGGGTGCAGTCCTGACTTGGCACACAGGTCATGCTGCTTAAATGCTTGTTAAGTAAATATGGGCAAAGTCTGAATTCTGGGTGTTCCAATGCCAGGAGGGAGGGGCAAGGGCGGGGACCCCCAGGGTGGTGGGCACTTCCTGCCTGGGTTCCATTCTGGCTCTACCACCTGCCAACTCTGAAACGTCAGATGTGGTCAAGTCATGAGATTCTGTGAGCCTCAGTTTCCCCGTGGGCAAATGCGGGTAGTAGTCGAACCATCTCTCAGGTTGCTATGTAGAGAGTAGATGCATTAACATAAATTAACATACACTACCTGTTCCAAACCGGCGCAGGTGGCATGAAGGTACTTGTCCACTGTTACAGCGACTTACTCTGGGAAGGCCTACCCAGCCAGCCTGGGCTGCAGCCTGCAATGGCACGGTACAGGGCAGGGCGGGGCCACAGCAAGTGCTGGGAGCTGGCAAGGTCTGGGGTGAGCTTAGGAAACGGCAGCAGAAGGCACCTCTCCTTGCCCTCAATCCCCACCTGTTCCCTGTTCCCTGAAACCTGCCTCTTCCTCTGTCCCCAGCCTGGAGCTCAGGAGGTGGGAGATAATAATGCTAATGGGCCCCAATTATAGCCTTCCTTGGGTCGATGGGGCTTCGGGCCCTGGAGGGTACTGCCAGGAGGGCCGGGAACTGGCAGGCAAGGAGTCCTGACGCTGCTGTCCCTGGGACCCTCACCCAGGGCACACTGGCTGTGTGCCCTGAGGAGAGGGTGCAGGGCTGGGGGCTCAGGGAGGGGCTGGTAGGCACCAGTGGGGTTGCTGGGATGTGCCTCCACAGGCAGGTCTGGGCTCTTGCAGAAGTGGAAGGGTGCTGGGACTTGGGTGAGTGGGAATCAAGGGGGTGTGGGGAGGGTGGTGTCGCAGAGGTCAGCCCAGGGGAGAGGAGGGTTTGTCATAGATGGTGGTGGGCAGGGTGGGGGTCCCCAACCTTTGTGTGCTGGTTCGGGAATCTTCTAGAGGAAAATTTTAACCAGGCAGATGGCCCTGGGCTGTGATCTCTTCCGGGATTGGAGGAGGGGGTGTGTCCAGGGGCAGAGGGCTTGGGGCCTTATCCTGGCTATAGATTAAGGCTGGAGTATGGGGCTTGCCCCTGCCCCCTCCCATGGCAGCGTGCGTCACCGGCTTCCTTCCAGAACCCCCTGCAGCCTCCTGTTCATCCCCCTGTCTGTTCTACTGGCCAGTTAGTCAGTCAGTGACGCTGCACTGAGCTGGCCTTCCCAGTCTGGGAGGCCACCCTGCTGAGGGGCTGGGGGGTGCAGGGAGGTGGCTGAGGCAGAAGGGGGGGGCCCTTCCTGCTGCATCAGCCTGAGCCTGCTACATAACCGGTGAGGGGCACTGCCAGGGTGCAGGGGCGGCTCTGGCCAGACAGTTTCCCTGTGGCTTTGGTAGAGGCTGAGGCGGGCAGGGGGTGAGCAGGTCTGGACAGGCATCCAGTCCCTACCCAGTCCCTGAGCAACTCTCCAGCCCTGTCCCTGCCCGCCAGGCCCCTCCACTCTGGGATGACTTGGGGAGTGGTCGCTGTGCACATTTCCACTGGGCCCAGAAAATCCTGAGCCCAAGAGACATGACAGGCTCAGAGGGACAGCACCGGGCCAGTGTGTGTGGCCGTGCCTCGGCGTGGCTCTGCTGGAGACCTGAGCCACGTCAGACCCAGCTTCAGGCTGACCCCCCACTGCCCACCCCTGGCCAAGGCCATGGCAGCTGTGCCCTCCACGTGGTCCTATCCTCAACAGTGCCCCTCTCTGCTGGTCAGGGCCGCCAAGCTGTACCCTGGGGATGCTAGCACTCAGGCCACGCCTGGGCCCCCTCCTCTGCGGCAGCTCTCGGTCCTGCCTGGTGTCTGCCCTGCCTCCTCTGTGTTTGCCTGGCAGGGTGGGAAGGGGACCTGTGCATACCCTGCCCTTGCCCCCATGGACTCCCGGGGGGCTGTACAAGATAGGGTGGGCACTTGCTCCCTGGATGAGGAGACAGCGGATCCCAGCCATCCTAGAAGGGGGCCCTAGGGCAGAGGGGCACCCAGACAGTGCTGCAACCCTGGTAGGGAGGTCGCCCTGCAGGGGTGTGGGTGGGAGGGGCATCCACTTGGCTACCAGAGTCACTAGCGCCCTCTAGCTGCTCCCAAGCGTGGCGACGGGATCCACAGGACCCAGGGTGGGAGCATTCCCCTTCCCCCTGGGGACCCTGGGTAGACAGTGGTCTCTGGCTGGGGGGTGGATCTGTTGGAGGCCAGGAGGCCAGATGTTGGTGTACTGGGGCATGTCTGAGCATCTGCGGTGCGTATGTCTGCGCTCATGCTGCCTGGCTGACACATTCAACACCCATGACCGCACAGCTGAAGACTTGGTGGGTAGGTGGGTGAGGCTCTGTTTCTTTACACTTCATTCAGTGAGGACACCCTGCCCCTTCCTCCAGGAAGGTCTCCAGGTGCCCCAGGGCTTGTTGCCCTCCTCAGGGTCCCTTTGGTGCAGCCCTGTGATGGGGTCCCACTCACTTGAGGCAGTCTTTGGGCTGAGACACCCCAATTGTGTCTTCCCAACACCCCGGCAGGGCAGGACCCCGCTTAGCTCTTCTCTTTGCTACCCTGGGTGGACATAGGGTGATGAGAGGGTGACAGGTAGGGCAGGCTGGCTGTGGGTGCCCTTTTGTGGACTCGAAGTTCGGCCAGCTTCTTTCTAGAAGTCTCCTTTGTCCTGTGGACGGGTCTGTTCTGGGAGGTTTGTTTCTTGCTGCTGTTTGTCTCCCAAAAAACCTTCCCCTCTTTTCCTTCTGAAGCCCATGTCTGGTCCCTGGGAGCTTGGGGCTGGCTGTCCTTTTTCCACCCTGGTTTCCCCGGTTGGGAGTTAGGCCTGGGCCACCTGTCCCCTCTGCAGGGGCTCCATGCCAAGCCCTCTCCCCTTTGCGGGTGACATGAGGCTCGAAGCCAGCTGCCGCTTCAGAGATACCCCTTCACATACCCGCCCTCATCCCCTCAGCCTTTTGAATTCATGGAGGAGGAAGGGAATTCAGGAATCGTGCACGGCTTCTTGAAAACCCACGTGTTGGATGCAGCATCTCTGTGGAATTTCCCATCTTCCTGGGTGCTGGGCCCAACGTGCTTGCTGGGCATCCTGCTGAGCAGGGCTGCTAGGCGGGTGTGACCGGAGGCGAGTGGGAGCCTGGGCAGTTCGGGTGTGGGGCTGGGTGGGAGAGGCAGGTGCCCTTTGCTGCCCCATCATGGGCGGCCCGACATCCTCCTTGCTGGCCCCTCCCCTCCAAATCCTGGCACTTGCTGTGTGGAGCCCCATGGCCCCAGGGGGATGTGGCCTGTGTGTCCCTGTCCTCCTGCATTCATGAGCCATCTCCTGACCACATCATGAGCCTCTGGAGGGCAGAGATGGGCCCCGACCCCTCTCTGTGCCTGGCCGGAGAGGGCTCTGTCATGCCAGGGGCTGCCTTCTCGCCGGGGCACCTGTCAACAAGCCTTGGTCAGCTGCTTGCTTTTGCTTGGCCATTCAGTTCCCGGGCGTCTTCATGTCAGGGTAGGGGGGCCATTGTCCCATCTTACAGATGAGGGAGCTGGGGTTCCGGCCCTGTTTTCCCGGAGTGGGGGGTGGCTCTGAGGGGTGGGGAGGGGCCAGGTGGGGGAACTGTGGCAGGGAGAGGAGTGGTGGGGGCTGGGGGGGCGGGGCGTGCGGGGACCGGCAGAGGAGCCTGCTGTCCCAGCGCCCGGCTTCTCACCCTGTGTCGCTGGGGGAGGCTGCAGAGTAACCCCTCCCCTTTCTGATTCCTCCAGAAGAAGAAGATGGTGGCCTAGAAGGCTTCGAGGACTTCTTCCCTGAGGAGCCCGTGAGCCTTCCCAAGAAGAAGAAAGCCAAGAAGCTCAAGGAGAGCAGGTCCAAAGGGAAGCGGAAGAAGAAAGAGGTGTGTGTGGGGGCCCCCCAGCAAAGGGCCAGCGGCGGCGGGGCCAGCGGAGGGCGTGGCTGCAGAGAAGGCCCTTGGCTGCGGCCCCGCCGGGGTGGGTGTCCCGAGGGCTGAGGGTGGGTGAGAAGCCCCAGATGCGGCACAGCCCACGCAGTGCACAGGCCTTCCCGAGACGGGTCTCAAACGCACTGTCTGGGCAGGAGGCTCCAGGGTTGGGAGTCCTTGTTTCCATCGCGGCCGTCCTGGGCCACGACAACATCGGGTTCCCCGCTGCTTCCAACCTGTTGTGAGTTTGAATCCTGATGAAAATGATAAACGTGGAGAACAGTAACTGAGGCCCTGGGAGAGACGGGTTCCCTGAGCCACAGTCGTGAGCTCTGGGACCTCGTTTCCAAAATGCTTTCACAGCAAGATCGATGTTGGGACTCGGTGGGACAGGGATGGCTGTCCCCACCGGCAGAGGGGAACACTGAGGCTGACTTGCAGCCTTAAGACCCCCCCACTTGGAAGGGGGGTGATAATAGGACAGTGTGACAGCTCCTATCTCACTGCGTGCGGGCCGTTCGCCTCTATTTGGACGTCATCCCTAATCCCCCAGGTGGCCCTGTGGGGCGGGTGGTGTGCACCCCAGTTTGCAGACCACAGGGTGGAGGCACGGGGATGAACTTGCCCAGGGCCTCACAGCGACACAGCTGAGACCTGAACCCGCTTCACAGGCTGGCCCATCTGCCCTGAGGGGAAGCTTGTCAGTTCTCTCAGTCTTGGCCTTTTGGCCTCCCTGTCCACAGGCGGACCTAGTGGTCCAGTCTCGCAAGGGAGAGGTCTCAGTGGCCCCCAGACAGCTCCTCCACGATGAGGGCTCAGTGCCTGCCGGAGTGTTCTGGATGGGACTGGTGAGAGTGGCTCGCCCAAGGAGGCCCTCTTGCCGGCCCCCTGAGTGCGGTGAAGTCTCTGCAAGGCTTTGCACAGGGGGGCTGTGGGGTGCTGGAGCTCTGAAGCCACTGTGCACACCTCTCTGAGCCTCAAGTCTGTGTCTGCAGTAAGGGTGCCATGGGGTTCAATCAGATGTGGACCAAGAGGGCGCCTTCATGTGAGAGATGCCTTGGGGAAGGCTGGGGGCATCCAGGTGTCAGTTCGGATGCGTCTGGGGGGCAGGGCCTGCCCTAACTGTGTCCTGGGTCCCCATGGCAATCAGCCTAGGCTGGCCTGTGCCCTCCAGTCTGAATCACCCCAGTGTTTCCTGCCTCTGCTGTTTGGTGAAGTTGGCATTTCTCACCCGGACCATCCCACTGGGGGAGATGTGGCAGGTCAGCCCCTCTGAATTCCCTGCTGCGGCTCCCTCCTTCCCTCCTGGCCTGGCAGGTCCGTCCTTATGCCTCCAGGCATGGCTGGTTCAGGGCTGGTGGGCCCTGGGGTGCAGGGACCGCTTCCTGCTGTAGCCTGTGACATGCTGTTTTGCTGCTACGAGCCTCACGCCCCAGGTAAGGCTCTGTGGACACTGGGGTGGAGGTGGAATCGGGGTCCTCGGCCTGGTGGTTGAGGGCAGGAGCTCCCTAGCTCCTCAGCGGATTCTCCCAGCTGCTGCTTTCGTGGGAGCTGGCCAGGAGGCTCAGTGCCATCAGGCCCTTGTCTCAGGTCTTCAGGCCGGGTCAGCCCAGTTCCCAGATGCAGGTGAAGGACCACCAGGGGGCAGCCCCTCCCCTCCTACCCTAGGCAGGGCTCAGTTTATTTTTTCTCTCCCTCCTGGGCACAGAGGACAGCCAGACCCTCCCCGGCCCCTGGCCAGGAAGGAGGCTAGAGGTGGGCAGTGTCCAGGCAGGGGAGAGGCCAGGACTGGGGTGGGTGCATGCAGCAGGGGGCAGGGCGGGCCGGGGGGCCCTCTGAGACCTAGGGGGGCTGGTGCCTTCTTCCCTGGCACCCCGTGCCGTGCTCGCTTAGCTCTTGTGTCTTGCTTCTTCCTGTGGACCCGCCCGGACACACGTCTGCTCTCGTCTCTGCCCACCTCTCTCTGCCTCGTGTGCCCTCACTGTTTCGGCCTGAGCTTGGCCTCTGCCCTCCTTGCCCTCTTTCTCAGTTCTTTCCGTTTCTTCTCTCCAGCCTCATCTCTCTCCCTCTCCCCCTCCCTCTCTTCTCCCTTTCCCTCCTGAGATGCAATTCTGCTCCTCAGAAGGGACGGAGGGCCAGGTGGACTGGGAGCCTGCAGATGACCGGACTGTGCCAGACAGGCCCCTAAGATGACCCTTGGCCCTTTGCCACCTGCTCACCCTCCCCCCGCCGCCCCGCCCCACTGTCCCTGAGAGCCCAGCTCAGCCAGCGGTCAGGTCTCAGGTCTGGAGCAGGCTGCAGCCAGGGAGCAGGATCCTGGCACCATGTGCCTCCAGCCGTCCACCTGCCTGCCCACCTGGACGCGGGGAGGGGTCTTCACCCCTTTGTCCCTCTCCAGCTCCAACCAGGCGGCCCCAAGATAAGGCGGTGGGTGGAGGCAGAAAGGGGAGGGGCACCCATGCAGCAATTTTTCCTTGATGGGGGGAACAGGCAGCAGGTCATGGATTCTGATTTACATAAATAACCGGGCTGCGGCCAGAACCTGAGCATATGTAGATGAAGCTCCTTGTCAGACCCAGCGCAGGAGGGAGAAATGATTTCAACCTGTACTGCAGCAGTTACCATAGCAACCAATTATTCAGTGCTAAATTATAACTGTTTATAACACTCGTGAATGGGAAGGCTCATATTTCATTCTTTCTTTTTCCCCCTCAATCTTGAAGGACCCCAAATTGAGAATGACCAATTCTCTGAGTCCTGCCTTTTGAGTTTAAATGCCTCCTTTTTTGAGATGAGGTGTGTTTGGAGAACTGGGTGTAGGTGGAAGTGGGGGGAGGCTGGGATGAGACACATCCGCAGAGCTGGGGAGCAGGAAGGGTGGGAAGGGGCTCCCCACTTGGGGTCCCCGAGGCCTGCACTGGGGGCATGCTGTGCCCGCAGGGGCCCTGGGGATCAGGGCAAAGACCCCTCCTGCCTCCCCTCAGCTCCTTGTGCACACAGCCTGGGCATAGTACTTAGGGCAGCTTTGTAGATGGATTCTGCCAGGACTCCAAGTCCACTGGGATTCTCCCACCGCTATTCCTTATCCCCTGTAGTCACGCCTGGGGCTGCTGTTGTGCAAAGGGCAATGTCAAGGTCAAAGGCCTGACTGCTGAGGTTGGTTCAGGGTTCGATTAGGGCGTTATTGCTCTGTGCCTGTGTCCCCTCCCCGGAATGTGGCTTGGTCTGCATCCCCCCTGTAAGTTTCATCGTATGGCTGGTGTGCCCCTGGTTCTTAGTCATCCCTCCTGCCATGAGCTGTCACTGCATCCACCCAGGTCTCGTTGATGTGTCACTCCTCTTCGAGTTTTCAGACCCATTCACTGCCCTTCTCCTCACTCCTTTCTCTATAAGGAAATATTTTTTTGGAAAAAAAAAAAAAAGAGGCCGAGGGCTGCAAGTGCCCAAACATGTGGGTGTGGAGATGCGCTGTGGATGCAGAGGAGTGTGCCAGCAAGCAAGAGACCAGTCCCCAAAGACTGTCCAGCTCCTCCACCCTCAGCCAGCCCAGCCTCCCTATGGGCAGGAGGGCCTGGACAAACATGTAGGTGAGGGTGGGCCCCAGCAGTGTGAGCTTCCCATGGTGGAGGGAGAAGGCAGGGCCCGGACCGCGTCAAGGACTGGCCGGTGAGTCAGGAGCCTTCTCTCTGAGCTTCCCCGTGCAGGCAGACTGCAGAGGGAGAAGCCCCCGCTTCCTTGAAATAAGGGGCTGCCATCACTGCCTTCATCGAGTGAGAGACTGGGAGCTGGAGAGGGGCACACGGCCCTGCCCCCTCTGTAGCTCGTTTTCTGAGGTGGACCTCTGACCCCTTCTCTCCCACTGAGCCCTGGAGTGGATGCTGGGCCAGCCCCCAGGCACTGCCCCACGTGGGCCTTCTGCCAGGCCTACCCCCCTGCACTGTGCACACACAGACAGCTAGATTGGCTTCTCCCTCTCCCTGCCTCTGTCCTGCCTTCCCGCCTGCTCCCTCTGGGCCCTGCATTTGGAGCTGCGCCGGCCGCTCCTCACCACTCCCGCCCTTGGGAGGTGTCAGTGCCTGCTTCCCGCCAGGTGCTCAGGTGTGTTCTCCTCAGATTGCTCGTGTGCCCGGTAACCAAGGCCCAGCCACAGGCACCATCTCTGCAGCTGGCTTTAACCCCATCCGATCTGCAGAAACAAGCTGGGTGAGGCTGGTTGTGTCCTCCAGTTTGATGTCCTGCCTGCATCTTTGGCTTCCAAGCAGAATTGGGGGTGTCATGGGTACGTGGGTCTCTCCCATTTCAAACTGTTCAGGGCCTTCTCTTCCACGATCTGCTCTATTGCTCTTACCACCCTTGGTGGCACCCCCATTTCACAGATGAGGAAGCTGAGGTCAGGGTGCTGGAATGACTCCCCCGGTTCCAGGCCGGCGAGGGACAGAGTGCCAAGGCATTCTCAGTCTTGCAGGACTCAGTCCTAGGGAGCCCCAAGACCCACAGTCAGGTCCCTTGGGGGTCATCAGGCATCAGCATGGGCCTCCTTCCTCATCCCTGGGCTGGTTTGTGGGTCCTCCCAGGGCAGCTGAGGGCCAGCCCCATGCCCCTCCCTCTGGCAGCTTCTGTCCCTGGTGCTGAAGCCCATGGCGGCCTTACCTTTGCTGGGGTGAGGGCTGGGGTAGAGCCTGTCTCAGGGCTGTTGAAGGGTGGTCTCTTGAAGCTTGCCAGAATCTACACCCTTGGGAGAAATGGATGACCCTGTCTGACACCTGCCTTCGCAAAGGACTGAGGCAGAGCTGGGAGTTGTGGCCCTTGGGCCCCGCATCGCCAACAGCCCCAGGAGCGAGGGCGCCCATAAGGCTGTCCTGCCCAAGGCAGCCTCTGGCAGCAGCCAGGACTGGCTCTGCTCCGGGGCCCGGTTGCGTGGTGGAGGCACGGCGAGTCAGAATTCCAGGAAACACCCTGTTCTGGAAAGGCGCAGAGGCCCTGTCTGCCAGCCGCCAGCCAGCACACTGACTCAGCGGCATAAAGAGCAGAGGAGGTTTGGGAGCACGGCGCTGGCGGAGAGTGCAGGCTGAGCGCCCAGCAGAGCCAGGAAGTGCAGGGAGCCCATCCGGGGTCCTTTCCCAGTGGTCGCTCAGGCAAAGCCTCCCGCCTGGGAGAAGACTCGCTTTTTACCGGGTGGCCAGAAAGGGCAGAGATCCAGCTGGGTCCCCCCAAGATTGTCCAGACAGACCTGCCCGTGCTGCCCTCCCCTCTCCAGCGGCTCCCGTGCCTCCCCACCACCTCTGCTTTCCCCTCCTTCCCCCTCCTCTTGTGCCTTTCTCCCCATTGCTGTTTCCCGAGCTCATTTTTCATCTCTCCGATTCTCTCTTCATCTTTTCCATGCTTCTCTTTACTCACCTTGAAAACAGTAAACAGCCAGCACAGAGATGACAGGCCTGTGCTGGTAACTGGAGCATCCGCGCCCAGCCTCCCCCCGCAGGCACAGGCCAGGAGGGGCTGCAAAGGCCTTTGCCAGTCCACTTGCGTCTTGAGGTCTCCAGTAAACAGCTTCTCGGAGGGCCCGTGCCTTTCTGGGGATGCTCTAGCTGTGAACGCCCCTATCTCCATATAAATGGGCCATTTTCTGCCTGTACAGACGGGAAACTAAATCAAGGAAGCCAAGCTTAAGAGCTGCTTAAATTACCTTGTCTCATATAGAGATGAAATGGCTGGGGTGGGGGTGGAGGGGGGAAGGTGGGCTTCATCGCAGCTGGGGTGGGAGTGGAGGGGGGAAGGTGGGCTTGTGCCATCGCAGTTTCTGGAGAGACCACAGGCAGATAAAACTGGGACGCATGCTCCACGTTAACTGTGGGATTCACTGGACACTCGGAATTCCATAGGATGCGCACAGACACAGAGGGGCTAGGGGCTGGCTGCCGCCCGCGGCTCTCTGCCCGTCTGCTTCGGCTCCTGTGGTGCACTTTCTTTTTGGCTCTAGACATCATGTCCTCTACCACGAGCTCCTGGGTCCAGGTGTCATCACGCAACCCTGGTTAAAATCCCAAACCTGTAGAAACCTGGTTGTGATTGAGCCTGCGCCACACCGCAGGGCAGTCCAAGCAGGCTGCAATGAGCTTGCCAAGTGGGGTAGTCTGACTTGACAGAGGCTTTGCCTTACCTGCGGGGGTGGGACCCTGGACTCGTGCTGGCTCAGGGCAGCCCCTCTGGCCGGGCTTTGGTGCTGAGCTGTGAGAAGCCTGAAGCCGAAAGGCCCACTGACTTTGCCAGGAGGCCGCGCTCAGGGCAAGGATGCTGGCCTCATGGTCCCTCTCTTCCAGGGGAGCAATGACGAACTGTCGGAAAACGAGGAGGACCTGGAGAAGTCGGAGAGTGAGGGCAGCGACTACTCCCCCAATAAAAAGAAGAAGAAGAAACTCAAGGACAGGAAGGAGAAGAGAGCCAAACGGAAAAAGAAGGACGAGGACGAGGATGACAACGATGACGGGAGCCTGAAGGTAACTGAGGCCCCACGGAGGGAGCCCGGGTCCGACGGGACACACGGGGGCAGGGGTTGGAGCTGCGAGTGTGCACGCATGTGCCTGTCCTTGGCGGCTGGCCGCATGTGTGTGAGACACTGCACGTCACGGAGGCACGTTGGAACCCCTGCCAGGAAGCATGGAGGAGCTGGGGGGACCCCTGCAGCCCGGTGCCCATGTGCTGCCCGCCCCAGCATGCCCCTCTCTTTGAGAGGTGGTCTGAGCTCAGGTTTCATGTCAGGAGCCTCTGGCTTGGAGCAGTTTGGGAAAACAAAGCAACAATGGAGCTTTTGCAAACAAGCAGAAGCTGGACTGCTTTTCTTCTGGTGGACAGAGAACTTTGTCACTGGGTGTCATGTGGGCACCCGAGAGGCTGTCCTGGTGAACAAAAGGCGCAGCTACAGGGATGGCCTGCCGCTCTCCTTGGGGAACAGTGTGAGCCTGGCAAGGGCTCCTTGGGGAGGGGACAGGCCCAGGCCCAGCTCTTGGACAGTGGCAGGTGACAGCGACTCTCCAGGAGCACCCTGTGCCCTTTGTTCTTTTACCATGGCTCCGGCTCTCTCGGGTTGGGGCTAGCCGTGGGTTTAAAGATAAGTGCTCCCTAAATCTTAGTACAATGACTTGGGTGACGCAGACACGGTGACTGCTGGTGACTGAAGTGTGGAGGCTTAGGTGGTGTCCCGACACCCGGGGGATCTCATCAGTTGGCACATGTGTTGTGAGTCACTTGGGACTGACAATAGTGGAGGGGCTGACAGCTTTGAGAGGTGATTTACAACAGTGATCCAGGGCTACCTGTAGCCATGCCATGCATACTCACCAGCTGCTCTGTGCCCTTTGGGAGCAAGGTGAGGTGCCTCCAGGAGGGAGGGAGATTCCACGTGGCTGTGTGTCCCACCTGGTGGCCTTCTGCTGCAGGAGCAGACAGCTCACCTCTGCTCCTTAGGCAGTATAGGGGTTTGTGGTGTCATCCGTGTCTGCATGGCCCATCCTGCTTCTGTGGGTCGGCTCTAGGCTCAGGCCAGGCTCCCTCGTGGCTGAGAATGGGTGTAGCAGCAGCCTAGGGCATCTTGGCCACCCACTGCCCAATCCAGCAGGAGGGAAAGTAGGATGTTGTCCATGTAAGAGACCCAGCAGTCCCCCTGATTGGACCAGCTTAGGTCACATGCCCACCTGGACTGATGACTGTGGCCTGGGAGTGGCTTGTGCCAATTGGCTGGGGGGCTCAAGGCTGCCTGGAACAGGTGGACAGTTGGGGTGAGGGTCCTGTCCTAAGCACATGTGCTCACTCAGCCCCTCCTGTGAGGCAGGGCTGTCACCCCGTTCTGCAGATGGGACACCGAGGCGTGGGGAGGTGCAGTCGCTGTCCACCTCTTACTGCCAGCACATGGCAGAGCCCCAACTAGACCCCAGAGCACAAGCTCACAGTGAGCACCCCCACCCCTATCCATCCCAGCCAGTCCAGTCTGCCCAGTGATCTGACCCCTGGGCTGGCTGTCTTGAGAGCTTACTGTGTGCCCTGGGGAGTCACACACCTCTCTGGGCCTCAGCATCCCATCTGGAAAAAGGAACATAGCCGGGGGACCAGCCGGCTCTGCCCCTAGGTGGACCGTTGTCCTGTTCTGCTCCCTTGGCCAGGGCACACTTTCCTGGGCCCCTGTCCTGTCCTTCCCCAGGGTCCATGCATGATTGTGCTGGTGGACATTCAGGGGCAGCCTCCCCAGGGACATCTGCCTTCCTAACATCCATCTTCAGGCCGATGTTCTGTCCCGATGTCCAGATTCCTGAAAAACATTCCTCCTAGAGATCGAGTCCTGTTATTATTCCTGCTGGTGGCCTCTCTGCCAAACCCCACATTTATCCCACACCTACACGAGCTGGTGTTGAGCCATTCCTACTGATTGGGGCAGGTGGGCTGGTGCCGTATGGTGTTCAGGGGTGGGTGAGAATTGCACTTGTTAAGTTGCAGATACCCCGTCCTCCCCGACCCCAGTGGTCAGGGTGCGGGTTAGAAGGACCCGCCTCTGATTCTGCCTCTGGCCTGTGTATCTGTAGGAGCCCAAGTCCTCGGGGCAGCTCATGGCTGAGTGGGGCCTGGACGATGTGGACTACCTGTTCTCAGAGGCCGACTATCACACGCTGACCAACTACAAGGCCTTCAGCCAGTTTCTCAGGTGGGCCTCAGGGCCAGCTGCCATGGCTGGGGACCCTGGGGAATGCACCCAAGGCCTGCACTCCCCCAGGCATCACCAGGTCAGAGGTGGTCAGAGGGTCAGAGGGCTCCCGGTGAGGGGCGGGCTGTCAGACGACGGGGACCGTAGCAGAGCTGGCAGGAAGGAGCAGGACCCTCTTCATTTGAACGGATGGTTCCACCTTCCCTTGCTTGCCCTGAGTCTGGGGATGGGGTCCCAGTCAATCCCAGGGGCCATAAGCCCCTATGGCCTCTCTCCGCTCTGGAAGAAATGGAACCAGACTCCCAGGGGCCTGCAGCAGGTCCCTCCCTGGGGTCCCTCAGGTCTTACAGGACCTGGAAGCCTAATTAGGAGATCCCCAGCCACGTGAACAGGGGACCAGTGTTTTGTGGGAGAACTGCTGTCTCAAGCTTTGTCCTAACCCTCTTGCTGCCCAGTGTTGGAACATGGGGCTGGTACCACGTATCTTAGATGTGGAAGCAGAAAGGATAGACCCTTCCGCGGTCACTTGGGTGGTCTCATCCCCTCCCCCTCAGTGCCCTACCCTCCCGTCTCTTCCCTCACTTAGGCCGCTCATCGCCAAGAAGAACCCGAAGATCCCCATGTCCAAAATGATGACAGTTCTGGGTGCCAAGTGGCGGGAGTTCAGCGCCAATAACCCCTTCAAGGGCAGCTCCGCGGCCGCGGCGGCTGCGGCGGTGGCTGCTGCCGTGGAGACAGTTGCCATCGCCCCTCCACTGGCTGTGAGCCCCCCGCAGGCACTGCAGCCTGTGCCCATCCGCAAGGCTAAGACCAAGGAGGGCAAGGGTGAGGCTGGGGGTAGGTGGGCACTCAGCCCTGCTGGCAGAGGCCGTCGCAACTTAGAGCTGCCTGGGGGCAGCTGGGGAGGTCTTTATCAGGGACCCTACCTTGGCTGACCTTGGACCCCCACGCCCTTTCTCACCTGTGTTATGGCTTCGCAGCTCCTGTTCTGCCCCCCTTTCAGGCTGTGGAGGAGCAGAGACGGTGTGCTCAGAGCTTTGGGAGTTGGCACCTGGTCCCCTTTGACTTGGGTGTGGAGGAAGAGGGGAGGCCCATGCCGTAGGGAGTTGGGGGGGTCTCACTGAGGCTGTGCTGTTCCTGGGGAGAAGGGGTCCCAAGGTCAGAAGGGGGCCTACTGAGCCCTACTGAGCAGCCAGCCTTCAGGGTAATGGATGTGCACGGGTGTGGTCGGGGCGGTTTTCTGGGGAGGCCTGAAAGGAGGTCCAGCTACAAAGTCAGGCTCAGTGGTAGGTGGGGAGAATAGGGGCAGCAGGAGCTCTCTGTGACTTAAAGTCCCAGGGGCGGCTCCGCTTGGGGCAGGGACGTGGATGTCACCAGGGCTCTTAATGGCTGCTGGCAGCTTGGCCTTTCTGGGAATCCTGATTAGATTTGGATGGGGGAGTCAAAGGAGCTCTGGGGATCCCTTTTTTCAACCCCAAGGAGTTTTGGTTTCTGGGGCAGTGTGCCCCTTTGCCACTGCAGGGGACCAGCGGGCAGCGACGTGCGGTTTAGAGTCCGCTCCCGCGCTCCCAGCCTCTGGCCTGGACCTGCCTAGCCTGCCTTGCTTCCTCATTTCCTCTTGCACTTCAGCCGCTGAGCTATTGATTCCCTGGCCTGCCTATTCAGAGCCTGAAAAATTGAAATAGATTTTCTGTGGCGCCACTGAGCTTACAGCTGGGCTCGCAGCCCCGTCTCCCTGTGAGCCATGTGGCGGGAGGAGGGCCCGGGGCAAGGCCACCTGCCTCCAGATGCGTGTGTCCCTGCTCAGTGCGGTGGGAGAGGGTCCGAGGGGTCACCACTCTCCAGAGGGCTAATTGTCCTGTGGCTGGCTCCATTAACACAGCCTCAGCCCTGCCGGCCTCTGGGAGCCAGCGTTTCCTGGGGCTGATTGGCAGAGGTGGCGGTAGTGTCAAGTGGTACCGGTGTTGCCTGGACTTAGGTTGACCTGGAGGCTGGCCGCTGGGGACAGGGCTTCCCGCTCCAGCACGGCCCTCCAGGGCCCATAGGTGGACCACCGTGGGGTGCTTGTGACTTTGGTGGCCCTGCTGGCCTATGGCTCCATTGGGGACAGCTCCTTTCTGGGGAGAGGGGACAGGAAAGGGCTGTTCTCTGTCTCCCCCACATTTGCTGAGCCACTTTAAGCAAGGGCTCCACCTCTCTGAGCCTCATCTTATCTGAAAAGGGGTGACAGCAAACATAGTCCTTTCCTTACCGAGTCCCTGCGAGGGCTCGGTGGCGTCGTGGTGGGAAGCGGGCAAGCCACGGCATGTGCTGCTCACGCCGTCCTTGCCGCTCAGGGCCAGGAGTGAGGAAGAAGATCAAGGGCTCCAAGGACTCGAAGAGGAAGGGCAAGGGGAAAAAGGCGGCCGGGCTCAGGTTCCGCTTCGGCGGCATCAGCAGCAAGAGGAAGAAATGCTCCTCGGTGAGCGTGTGAGTGTGAGCACGTGAGTGTGTGTGAGCGTGGGCCAGAATGTGCGTGTGAGAGACAGCAAGACCGGTGTACTTGGGAGTGTCCCTGGGTGCGTGCGTGCGTGTGTGAGCAGCTGAGACGCGTTTTGCACGTGTGTGCATGTGCGGAACGAGCACATGCGTTGTGAGGGTTGGCTGACTGGAAAACAGGCTGTCTTCTGAGCAGGGCTCGGGGGCAGGTCCTGCACCCACCGGGCTGCACCCCCCGCACCCTGCCCCCCACCCCCATTCCAAATGCAGGCCAGCTGGGCCTGAGCTTCCCAGCCCGCCTGGGAGGGCTTCAGAATGGATGCTCCCCAGGGCCTGTGCAGCTTGGAGTCTGGGGGGGGGGGCTCCCCGGGAGAGGTGTCCTTAGGGCTGCCTCTTGAGGGCTGCGTGGGAGTTTGGCAGGGTGGAGGGCAGGGCCTGGGGGCGGTTACGGGGGCGGGGAATGGAAGGGGTGTCTGAGGGCCTGAGAGCAGGGCCTGGGGAGGCTGGGCTGCTGGGTGTCTAGCGGGTGGAGAGGCCAGGTGCCCCCCAGAGAGCACTGTGCCTCCGGAGCCTCCCCCTCGCCCCGCCCTCGGGCGAGCCCCCAGGCCAGGCTTGGGGCTCACAGGCGCTCCCCGGCACCCCTGCCCGCGCGCCCCTGCAGAGCGAGGAGGATGAGCGGGAGGAGTCGGACTTGGACAGCGCCAGCATCCACAGCTCCTCCGTGCGCTCCGAGTGCTCCGCGGCCCCGGGGAAGAAGAGCAGGAGGAGGCGCAAGAAGAAGAGGGGTAGGGCCTCCCGTGGGCGGGGCTCCCGGCCGGCGGGCGGACGGGGGGCGTGCAGGGCCCCCTCTGGGACGCAGGGAAGGGCGCCCCCCTGCTTGGCCTGCCCCCGCCTCCGCCAGGCCGCTCCCGCGTACTTCCTCGGCCACCCAGGAGGAGGGGCTCCTGCCCCAGTGAGTTAAAGTTAAATCAGGGACTCGCGGTGTGACCCACCCCAGGCCTCTGCACTGGCGGCGGGGTGGGGGGGGCGCACCGGGGAGGGACGTGCTCCTCCGCCTCACCCACCGCCCGCCAGTCGCTGATCCGCTCCGTCCCCCTGCCGCCTCCCTCTGCAGCCCTCCCTGGCCCTCCTTCCGTCCACGCGTTCCTTTCTGTCCACCCCTCCCTTCTTCCGTTCATCCCTCAGCCGTTCTCCCGACTTTCGTTCACCCTCGTCTCTCCGTCCTTCATTCATCCGACTCTTGGACACCTGCAGGGTGCCGTCCGGCCCGGGGGGGAGAGTGGGTGGGTGCCGGCGGTGGGGCGGGGGCCCTCCACGGCCGCCTCTGCCGCTCCCCAGCGGACGATGGCGACGGCTACGAGACGGACCACCAGGACTACTGCGAAGTGTGCCAGCAGGGCGGGGAGATCATCCTGTGCGACACCTGCCCGCGGGCCTACCACCTCGTCTGCCTCGACCCGGAGCTGGAGAGGGCGCCCGAGGGCAAGTGGAGCTGCCCGCACTGTGTAAGCCCTCGGCAGAGGCGGGCCGGGCGCTCGGGGCAGCACGTGGGGAGGCGCCGCGGGGGAGGGCGGGCGTCGGGCCCTGGGCCCCGGTGGAGGAGTCGCGGCCCAGGGGGCCTCTGCCTGGACTCCCCCAACAGGAGAAGGAAGGGGTCCAGTGGGAGCCGAAGGACGACGAGGAGGAGGAGGAGGAGGGCGGCTGCGAGGAGGAGGAGGACGACCACATGGAGTTCTGCCGCGTGTGCAAGGACGGCGGGGAGCTGCTCTGCTGCGACGCCTGCCCCTCCTCCTACCACCTGCACTGCCTCAACCCGCCGCTGCCCGAGATCCCAAACGGTGAATGGCTCTGCCCGCGCTGTACTGTGAGTGTTACGCCCGCCCCGCGCCGAACGCCCCGCCCACCAGGGCCAGGCCCCGCCCCCGCGAGGCCCTTCAGTCCCCGCGCCGGCCCACGCACCGGGGCCTCCCCCGGCAGGCCCTGCCCGCCAAGGCCCCGCCTCCGCCAGGCCGGGACACGTTCCCAAGGCAGGGCCCCGCCTCCTGGCCCCTCTCAGTGTCCGCTGCACTTCCTCAGGCCCAAGGCCCCGCCCACCAGGTCCAGGCCCCGCCCTCGCCCCCGGGAGGTCCTTGAGTCTCCGCGCCGACCCACGCACCGGGGCCTTCCCCTGCAGGCCCTGTCCACCGAGGCCCCGCCTCCGCCGGGCCGGGCCACGCCCCCGCCGGGCCGGGCCACGCCCCCTAGGCAGGCACCGCCCACCAGAGGCCCCGCCTCCTGGCCCCGCTCAGTGCCCGCAGCACCGCCCACCAGGGCGCCGCCTCTTTCCAGGCCCAAGCCCCCGCCCACCACCGGTTCCCCACCTCACCCAGGCCTCGCTCTGCTTCTCAACTATTCAAGGACTCACCCGAAACCTGAGCCATCATGGAGAGAGGTGGCGGATAACCCTATCACCAGCCACACAGCCACTGTTCATTGGGCATCCCTTTAACGCCGAGTGCCCCCAAGTACCAGGCCTTTTGTTATTCTCATTTTTAGATGAGAAAAGAGGCTCAGGGAGGTAGAGTGACTTGTCTAAGGCCACACAGCAGCAGAACTGACCACTCAGATCCACCCAGACCTGGCTCCTGTCCCAGACTTGGGGTGCTGAGAGGGTAGGGGATCTCCTGGGGCTGGAGCCCGTTTTTGCAGGAAGAGGAGAGTACACACACACACACACACACACACACCCTCCCAGTCATCACAATCATTTGAAAGCCCCCATGCACTGAGTTGTTCCCCAGGCCCACCCCTAGTGCCCTACTGCTGGATCCCCCAGCCCCAGCCAGGGTCCTGCGCTGCACTGTGTGTGGCCAGCCCTGGGTTGCCCCGTGTGTCTGGGCTTCTGTGGAGTGTGAATGTGTGCGTGTGCTTGTTGTGTGGACAGATCCACATTGCCCATTTCTTCTGTGCTCAGTAGAGGGCTCCTGAGGACAGGGTGATATTGTAGGGTCACTGTGCACTTTGCTGGAGGGAGCCTTGTGGTGATTGCTGTCAGGGAATCTTGGGGTGGGGCCCTGTGGCTAAGCCCTGAACTTGGGGACCCTCCTCTGTCCACAGTGTCCCCCACTGAAGGGCAAAGTCCAGCGGATCCTACACTGGAGGTGGACGGAGCCCCCAGCCCCTTTCATGGTGGGGCTGCCAGGACCTGACATTGAGCCTGGTGTCCCCCAACCCAAGGCCCTGGAGGGCATCCCGGAGAGAGAGTTCTTTGTCAAGTGGGCTGGGCTCTCCTACTGGCACTGCTCCTGGGTGAAGGAGCTACAGGTGAGGCACCTGGACAGATGTGGCTGGGTGAAAACTCAGGGCCTGAACCATGCCGGCCAGCTCCCTGAGTGAGGGGCACCGCTGGGAATCGGGGTGGGGGAGGCTGAAGGCGAGGACTGTTCTGTCTGGGACCTAGGCTGGGTGCTGGGGAGGCCCTGACCCATCTCCCTCCTGTAACCTCTGCCCCCTTCTCGAGCAGCTAGAGCTGTACCACACGGTGATGTACCGCAACTACCAAAGAAAGAACGACATGGACGAGCCGCCGCCCTTTGACTATGGCTCCGGTGACGAGGATGGCAAGAGCGAGAAGAGGAAGAACAAGGACCCTCTCTATGCCAAGATGGAGGAGCGCTTCTACCGCTACGGCATCAAGCCCGAGTGGATGATGATCCACCGCATCCTGAACCACAGGTGTGCGCCTGGCGTGGTGCCCGCGTGTCCTGACAGGGGCTCCTTTGCTCTGTAAAATGGGCATAGGGCCACGTCAGGTGCGGTGGCAGCAGGAGGAAGAGACCGAGGGCCTCCATTGACGGCAGTTTGTCCAGCTGGGGGTTGTATGCACACATGCACACATGTTCACACTTGTGCACACTCATCACACTCATGATGGGAGAGCAGCTCCAAAGTCATATACATAAAGGGGCAACTTGACACATGGCCTGTGAAACCTGCACAGAGCTAGACCCTTGTAGGTTGGGACTCTTGTGCTCCTGGGCTTCTGCTTGATACCTTTGGAGGGTCCCAGGGACCAAGGTGGGCCTGAGGTGTGGGGGCGAATACACATTTGCCCCTCCTTTATAGCAACAGCTAATGCTACTGGGCACTACCTACCCAAGAGGTAGGCATTGTATTTCTGCCCGTTTTATGAACGCAAGGACAGGCTTAGCAAGCTTAGGTCCCTTGCCCATGGCCACCCAGCCAAGAGGCGGTGCAGCTGGGATTTGACTCAGTGCTTTCTGATGGTGGGATGTGCTTTCTTGGCCACTATGCCAAACCCCAGCGACCCCAAGACACCTCTTGTTAAGCAATCCAGAAATTTTCCAGGTGACAGTGACCAGAGGCTGCAGAAGGCTGGATGAAGAGGCCGGGGCAGGAGGCCCCCAGACTGCGAGTTCGGCTTTGGTTTGGTGAGCTCTCGGAGCTCACGCTCATTCTGAGCTCGAGTGTGTGCGAGCTGGTGGTGGCCGGGAAGTGGGCGCAGGGTGGGGCCCAGGTGCCCGCTGCATGGCGGCAGGCTCGGAGCCTCTCACTTGCCACCCATCTGGACTTGATGGGCACTGCCTTGGAGGGACTTGGGAGCCAGCAGATCCCAGGTGTCCTGAATGGCAGGAGTCGGGTAGAGCAGAGGTCACAAACCTGAGCCACATGCTCAGCTTCCAGTCCTGGGCTCTGTGCCTCTGTGCATCCCATGGACCGATGAGTGAAGGCTGCAGGGCTGCTGTGAAGGCCAGAGGAGGGTGCCTGGGCCTGCTGGAGCAGCCTTCGACAAGAGGTAGATGGAGAACTTGGCCATGAAACACCCCCTCTTCCTATTCTTAGACTTCACTGAGAAGAACCCTTAGAAACAGGATCAGCTTCTATGGAAACCCAAGCCACCATTGACCTGACCCACAGTTTTTCACCTTTATTAAATTGCAGGTTAAAACCATTAATGGAAATTTTTCTTACTGCCTCCAAAGCAGGGTAGGTGAATTTCCCGTAAAATTTATTACCCAAAGTCTGAGTAACTAATTATTAATTGAAAAAATGTCTATCAGTTTCCTTAGTGACTGGAGACGTTCTCTTGATGGTGCCTGGGCCAGGTGCAGCCACAGCCAGTTTGGGGAGCCATGGCTCCCTGGCCCCCAGGAGCAGCCTGGGCTTGTTTGTGTCATCAGCTCAGGTTGGGTGGGAGGCCTTGAGGACCCTCCCAGGGGCCAGAACCAAGCTGACGTGCAGGTTGGTTCTCTAGAGCACTTGCTCTGTGTGCTGCCTCGGCTGTCAGGTCCCCACAGCCTTGGGCTTCTCCAGAAGAGGTCATCTCACCTGCAGGAATTGCGTCCTTGTTGACTTTGCAGAGGTGGGCCCTGGACTGGCATGGGCACGGCTCTGTTCCTTTGGGTTTTTAAAGTTAGAGCAAAGGTATACAGTCAGGGGAGAATGCTGTCCAGCTCAGAAATTCAGAATTCTGGTGCCCAGACCCCATGCCCACAGGATGCATTGCTGCAACAGAGGCTGGAAGGATGCCGGCTCTGCCCCTCTGTTAACACGGCCTCTCCAACATCCCTGCCTGGTTCTGCCACTCACCCAGTGCCCTCATCCCTCCCTCTTACTAGCTGTGGCCTGGGGCAAGCTGCTTCATCTCTCTGGAGTGGCTGCCCTGGTGCTGCCCTACCTGATGGGCTGGGGTCTCAGGGGACCATGGGAGTGAGGGGCTTTGCCTTCCGTGCGAGGACTCCTGCAGCCACTGCCTGCGTGACCCCCTCCCCGCCACCTGTTCACTGTGTTGCAGCTTCGACAGGAAGGGCGATGTCCACTACCTGATCAAGTGGAAGGACCTGCCCTACGACCAGTGCACCTGGGAGATCGACGACATCGACATCCCCTACTACGACAACCTGAAGCAGGCTTACTGGGGCCACAGGTAGGCTGCGGCCACGGTGCCGGGCTGGGGCTCTCGCCCCTGCTGGCCTGAGCTCTGCTCACTGGCCTTGTGTGCTCCTCGCCAGGGAGCTGATGCTGGGGGAAGACGCCAGGCTGCCCAAGAGGCTGGTCAAGAAGGGCAAGAAGGTGAAGGACGATAAGCAGGAGAAGCCTCCAGACACACCCATCGTGGATGTGAGCAGGGATGCGGGCAGCGGGGTGGGGTTGCCAGGGCCTGTCCTCCAGGTTGGCCGGGGTGGTGGGGGGCGTGTTCTGCAGAGGACTCTCCTCACCCACCGCCTGTGCACAGGGAGCCGTGCTGGGGGTGGAGGCGCTCGCCAGGGGCTTGTGGTTCAGTCCACTTGCGCCAGGCCCCTGACAGGACAAGGATGACAACACCCAGCCCTTCGGTACCTGGTGCACAGACAGGGAGCAAACAGTCTGTCTTTAGCACACAAACCTACATTACTGTAGATGAGCTAATCTTGGGCATTTGAATCAGAAAGTGTCTCCAGCTTCAGGAGCACCAAGCTGATAGGATAATTGTGCACGGTTCTTATTTGTTCAGGGATAGAAGACCCCCCAGCTTGCTGCCCCCAACCCCCACCAGCTTCGAGCCCATCAGGGAGTGGAAGGTTGACTTTAATTCATTTAGCAAACCTCTCCCGTGTGTCTGCCAGCTCCTGGCCCTGGGGGAACAAGGGCCCTGGGCTTGTTTCAAGAACTGCTCATCTCCCAGGGGCCCAAGCGGGGCACACGCAGAATATGGGGGATGCCACAGAAAAGAGTCTGGTATATCAAGAGGACTTCATGGGGGAGCTTGCCTTAAGCTGAAGGGTAAAGGAGGCAAAGAGGGTGATGTTTGGGGTCAAGTGGGGAAACATGTCAGACACATATCAAACAAATGTTGACTGTTGTGTCCCAGATACTGGGACTCAGAGGGAGCAACGGTGAACAGGATCGGTGTGGTGACTACAGTCTGGGCTCAGAGAACACAACTATTGGGAAATTGCTCTGAGAGGAGAAATACAGGATCACCACGGGAGGACATGGTAGAAACACCTAAGCCAGACTGGGAATCAGGGAGGGCTTCCTGGAGGAAGTGGCATTGAAGCAGAGACCGGAGGGATGAATATGTTAGCAGGGACAAGAGAAGTTGGAAGAGTATTCCAGGATTTCACTTCCAACTGTGTGTGCGAAGGCTTAGGGTGGGCTCTGGTGGCCCAGGACTCAGGGTGTGTCTGAACCTCTGCCTCCCCTGCAGCCCACAGTCAAGTTTGACAAGCAGCCCTGGTATATTGACTCCACGGGCGGCACACTTCACCCATACCAGCTGGAGGGCCTCAACTGGCTGCGCTTCTCCTGGGCCCAGGGCACCGACACAATCCTGGCCGACGAGATGGGGCTGGGCAAGACGGTGCAGACCATCGTCTTCCTCTACTCCCTGTACAAGGAGGTGTGCGGGCTGGGCGGGCCGGGCGGGCCGGCGGGGGCTGGGGGCAGGCAGCCTCACTGCCTCTGTCTCCCCTCCAGGGGCACTCCAAAGGTCCCTACCTGGTCAGCGCACCCCTGTCCACCATCATCAACTGGGAGCGTGAGTTCGAGATGTGGGCGCCCGACTTCTATGTGGTCACCTACACTGGGGACAAGGAGAGCCGCTCTGTGATCCGGGAGAATGAGTTTTCCTTTGAGGACAATGCCATTCGGAGTGGGAAGAAGGTGTTCCGCATGAAGGTGAGTGTCCCTCATCCCCACGGAGGATCCCAAGAGGTGCCACATCTGCCTGGGGGCACAAGGGCCCTGCAGTCCTCCAGAGGTCCCTCAGCTCAGGCTTCTGCAGAGCCGGTGGCAGGCGAAGGGCTTCTCCGTGGAGAGGGTTATTGGCTGCGTCATGCTGTGGGGGTGCTGCTACAAAATCCATAAACGTGGGGGCTTTGAGCAACAGAAACTTGTTTCCCCCAATTCTGGGGGCGGAAGTCTGAAATCCAGGTGTGGGAGGGTCATGCTCACTTCAGAGGCTCTTGGGCAGGCTCCACACCTTTGCCAGCTCCTGGGGGCTGCAGGCGGTCCTGGGCAGTCCTTGGCCTGCAGCTGCAGCCCTCCAGGCTCTGCCTCCGTTGGCACGTGGCCTTTCCCCTTCATGGCTGTGTCTCCTCTTCTTATAAAGACCAATGCATACTGGAGTTAGGACCCACCTACTCTAGTATGTCCTCCTCTTAACTAATCACACCTGCAAAAACCCTAGCTCCAAAAAAATGCACTTCCTGAGGTTCTGGAGTGACATGGATTTTCGGGGGCACACAAGTCACTGTAGTATGCCAACTGTGTGACCTCTGGCAAGTCACTGTGCCTCTCTGTGCCTCAGATTCTTCTCAGCAAAATGGGATAACACACCTGCCCCACAGAGTTGTGGAGGGTTGAATGAGTGAGCATGTCATGAAGGGCAGGTTCTGATCCAGCTGTTCACGGGTGGGACCTGAGAATGCATTTCTGACAAAAGTCCCAGGTGACATGGAAGCTTCTGGTCCCTGGACTGCACTTTGAGAAGCACCCAGCACAGCAGTGGCATGTGGTAGGCCCTTAATAAATCTCAGCACCCACGTGAGCCACAGGGCTGGGGGTTTATCTCTGGGCATAACATCGTTGGGGGTCATCCTCGTAGCAGGTGTCCGATCTCCTTCCTTTTAAGGCTGAATGACATCCCGTTGCAGGACTAGACTGCATCCCGTTTATCTATTCATCTTCAGGGAACACTTGGGTTGTTTCCACCTTTTGGCGATTGTGAATAATGCTGTGAACATGGGTGTGCAAATATTGGTCCAGATCCCTGCTTTCACTTCTTTTGGGTCTATACTTAGAAATGGAATTGCTGAGCCATGTGGTAATTCTCTGTGTGATTTTTTTGAGGAACAGACTTAGCTCTTTTAATTTTCACAACGTTCCTCACGTAGACAGTAAGGCTTCTGTTTTACAGATGAGGAGACTGAGGCTCAGGTTTGCTAATTAATGTGACCAAGGTCTAGCTTAAAAGGGCGGGGCCAGGTGCAAACCCAGGTGGAGCCTACAGGCAAAGCCTGTGCCACGAGGCTCCCCTCTGCCCCTCTCTGATCCCTTTCCACGGGCACCCTGGGTCGCTGGGAGAGCCAGGGCTGGTTTGGCCAGGACAGCCTACATCACCTGCGGGGCCCACTGCAGAATGAAATGCAGGGCCCCTGGCTCAAATGCAGGCCACAGCGTTTTTCTTTTTTTTCATGCTCTCTCTGCTGGCCTGTTGTAGTGTTTTTTATTTGCTATTTAATGTCAAGTTCCCTTGGTACAGGGCTACTTTTGGGGTGAATGTCCCCTCATGCCCAGGCTCCCACCAGGGGCAGAGGTGCCCATGATCCCTGGGCAGGACCAGGGTAGGCTTCCCTGGAGGCGGGGCTGCATGTGAGCTGAGGCTCCAAGCCCCCAGCACTCTCTCCATTGTTCCATTGCCTTCTCTTACAAAACACAAATTTGGCAATCGTGAAGAATTTCTAACCTGCAACTGCGGTGTGTTAAGCCCCAAGTGAGGGGTCCCTTTCTCATGTCCCATGAGCAGACCTGGGGAGAGCTATCCAGGGCCCAGGAGCATGTAAGTGGGGACAGTGGCAGTGTAACCCAAATGGCTCGTGAGGACAGAGCGAGGAGGTGTGCCCAGAGCTGGCCCCGTGGTCATCGCTGTGTTCTCCTCGGGGACACGGTGCCGTGGGCTTTAGCTCACCCCTGTGCTCAGTGGCCAGTGTCTTCCCCTCCATCCCAAGGGCTCCCTGGCTCTCTGGGGGTCCTGTCCACACCTCCCTCTCTGTGTCTTCTGAGACTCAGATGCACTCCCCTCCCAACTGTCCTCCAAACGTGCCTCCTTACCTCCAGAAAGAAGTGCAGATCAAATTCCATGTCCTGCTCACCTCCTACGAGCTCATCACCATTGACCAGGCCATCCTGGGCTCCATCGAGTGGGCCTGCCTCGTGGTGGATGAGGCCCACCGGCTCAAGAACAACCAGTCCAAGGTAGGGGGACTGGTGCCCGCCCCGGAGTTGTCCTGCTGGGCTGGCCACCTGTGCCCCCTAACAGGATCCTCTGCTCCAAAGTTCTTTAGGGTCTTGAACAGCTACAAGATCGATTACAAGCTGCTGTTGACAGGGACGCCCCTTCAGAACAACCTGGAGGAGCTGTTCCACCTCCTTAACTTCCTGACCCCAGAGAGGTTCAAGTGAGTCAACGGGTCCGCTGGGAGGTGGGCGTGGGCAGGCGCAGCCGGGGAAGAAGCCTCAGTGTCAGATGCCAGCTCTGGGGTTGCTCACTGGACCTCGGTTTTCTCATCAGTAAAATGGGAGTGCCAGCCGCACTTGCCCCGGATGACCGTGGCAGGGCTGTGGTGCCAGCACGTGCAGATTTTTAGTAATGTGGTTTTTCTTTGGCTCTGCCCCAGAAGACCCCCAGGGGTACCCCAGGACCCTGTCCTGCCCCCATGTCCTCCACAAAGACCTAAACGATCACACAGGTGACAGTGACAGGAGGCAGAGGCTAGGGTAGTGGCAGAGTCAGAGTCCTAGCCAGCGGAAGTCCTCTGGCTTCCTTGTCTTTACCTACCCACCCAGGGCTCAGGGTGGAGAGGCTGATTTTGGAGTCATAAGATGCAGATTGGAGGGAAAACTGGAACTTTAGGTACCCCCCAGGCTCAGTGTCCTTATCCGTAAAATGGGTAAAAGTCCTGGAGAGTTCATGTCCAGGGCAGCTCTGGGGACAGAAAGGTATCTGTGACCAAGAGCTGTCATGTGTGAGGGTGACACGGACAGCCAGAGACAGGAGGATACCCAGGGAAGGGTCAGGGCTCCCTGGCTCACCAGCCAGCTGGCCTGCCCTCTGACTCTGGTGGCAGGGGAAGGGCTGGCCTGGCTGCCTCTGCAGAGGGCTTTGGCATGCTCTAGGTCCCTGCTCCTGGCTCTCATCCCAGTTCTTTCTTGCAGCAACCTGGAGGGCTTCTTGGAGGAATTTGCTGACATCTCTAAGGAAGACCAGATCAAGAAGCTGCATGACCTGCTGGGGCCCCACATGCTGAGGCGGCTCAAGGCCGATGTATTCAAGAACATGCCAGCCAAGACCGAGCTGATCGTCCGCGTGGAGCTGAGCCAGATGCAGAAGTGAGTGGAGGCGCAGCTGCTGGGGGCACCCCCGGAGCAGCCTGCCCGTGTCCTCTGGGTTTGCCTTCTCCTGAGCTGGCCTGACCTAGCCTTCCCGGGTGGCTTCCTGGAGGGGGTGGGATGGCTCTTGGGCCCCGCTGAGGCCTCGGCTCACCTTCTGCATGTGCTTCCTTCTTGGGGCCTCTCCTCGGATGTCAATGACCAGGGCTGGGACTGTAATGTCCCTTGTAACCTGCTAGGTGACTCTAGGCCTGCAGCTCCCCCTCTCGGGGCTCCCCTTGTTCTCTCTGTAAGTGGTGCATGGCCCGCAGCCCCCTGCCTCCCTGCAGGGCAGAGAGTGGCCTCTCAGAGGCTGCTGCGGCCCCGGGGGGCTGCACCACCTCTCCTGTTGCAGGAAGTACTACAAGTTCATCCTCACGCGGAACTTTGAGGCGCTCAACTCCAAGGGGGGTGGGAACCAGGTGTCGCTGCTCAACATCATGATGGACCTGAAGAAGTGTTGCAACCACCCCTACCTCTTCCCCGTGGCTGCCGTGGTAGGTTCTCGAGGCTGCTCTGGTGGGTGCCCGTGGCCATGCTGGTAGGTTTCCCGTGGCCGCTGTGGAGGGTGCCTGGAGCTGCCGTGGTAGGTAGGTGCCGAGGCTGCTGTGGGTAGTTCCCGTGGCCATGGAGGTAAATGTCATGGCTGCTGTGGTGCCCTGGCCTTTGTGGCAGCTGCTCAGGCCCTCAGTCTTCCTCGAGTAGGCGGACTTGGAGGTGATGCGGGTCCCCTTTGTGTCGGAAGTTTCTGAAAATCGACCCCACCCACTGCTCAGGGAGGCTCCCTCCTTTCCTGGGCTCCTCCTTGTGATCACAGAGCAATGGGTGGCACTGGGTCACCCCAAAGTCCACTCCAGCATCAGGAGACCCCGGGCCAGGGTTCCTGGGGCTGACCTGGCTGCACTCAGTCACCGGGGGAGTCAGGCGGGTCCGGGTGGGCCCCGGGCCCTGGGTCAGACCACAGTCCTCTCTGAGGCTCAGCTTTTCCCCTAGGAAGGGGGCAATGACAGCATCCACAGGGAGGGTAAAGGCCGGATGAGAAAGCGCCTTGGAGAGCACGACACACCCGTTTCCTACCAGTGTCCTTGCTGCCCTCCTGCTTCCAAATAAACCCCACCTCCTCCTCCAGAATCGGAAGGTGGTGCAGTTAGGGGTGGGAGGCCGTGTGCCCGCACCCAGCAGCCCTCGATCACTCTCAGGACTCTGGTGGGGCAGAGGCCTCTCGACTGCTGTTCTACCCGGCTGGGGTTCAGGGCTTGGTCTTGCCTGGATGCGTCCTGTAGTGCATGTGGAGACCAGGCCAGATTCCTGCTTGGAGGGTGGCTTAGCTTAGGACTGTGTCATCTGTCAGTTCCCTGCCGTCTCTGGTCTTGGTGGAATGCCATCAGGGAGAGGGAGAGTGGGACTGGCAAGTCTAGACCCTGCTGGGTAGCATGGGTGCTGGGTGTAGCTCCTGCCAGTCCTGGCCTGACCTGGCTTGGGCTTTGTGCTCAGCCCACTGCTGGGCCCTTGTCCCTCCCTGGGGCCTCCTTGGTGCTGCACCAGAGAGGAGAGGGGCGACCCCAACACCCCACCTTTGGCTGTGTCTGCAGGAGGCCCCTGTCTTGCCCAATGGCTCCTATGATGGTAGCTCCCTGGTCAAGTCCTCAGGGAAGCTCATGCTGCTACAGAAGATGCTCAAGAAGCTGCGGGATGAGGGACACCGTGTGCTCATCTTCTCTCAGGTGAGTGTCCCTGGAGGCCAGCTGGCCTCCCCGCCTCCCTGAGCTCCAATTCCACACCCTGCATACATGTCCTGCCCCTGCTAGCTGGTGTGCCCGTGTGGGCTGTGTGTCACGTCTGTCCTCAGTGCCCTGGCATGGTGCAGCCCTGGCTGGCTGGCTGCCAAGCTCAAGGTGCTCAGGGCCTGCTGCCTGTAAGACCAGCGCCTTCACCACCTCCTGCCCCTCCTGGCCTGCTCCTCCCCAAGCAGTGTGGAGCCTGCCTTCATGTCCAGGCTGGTACTGTAGCCCTGGCCCACAGCCTGGTTTCTCATGAAGGTGGGCCCTGGGGCTGGTTTGGGGGGAGCTGGTGTGGGGGCAGCCCCGGGAGGCAGTGTTCCTCTGTGACCATTGTTCTTCCTCCCTGTTTGCATCTGTCACACGTCAGTCCCTGGCACGGGGTCTAGTCCCTGTCCTCAAGACACTCACAGTCTAGTGTGGGAGACGGAGGTGGATGGTTACCCAGCCCCGAGGCCATCCCTATAACAGAGGTCACGCTGATGGTCCTGTGGCGTCCTGGTGCTGAAAATGCTCCTGGACGGCGGGACTGAGCCGGGCGAGACTAGGGTGTGTGCAACAGTCAGCTGTTACTGCTCCTGCCCCTCCCCAGGCCTGCAGCAGGCTGAGGAGTTTGGGGAAAGCTGACCAAGCCAGAGACTATGGGCTGGCCTGAAGATGGGACTCACAATCCCCCATCCCTACTGACACAAGACGTGGTTCTAGGCCGAGGCCTTGAGGAACCAAGTCAAGGGAACAACATATTTCCTAGAAATGTGCAGACGGAAAGTGACAGGGGCAGAGCCTTCCCACCCCAAATGCACCTACAAACCCTGATTCCAAGACTCATGAAAACACTGAATAAGACATCTCACGAAGCAGTGCATAGAACCCGGATGAAAAAGAATAATAGAATAGCCTGAAAAAGACTTCAGATAAACGTATTTAGGATCCTCAGAAATAATGGAGTAACACCCATAAATCATGAAGAAATCAGTCAAGCACAAGCAAGAGGAAATGAAATGAATAGTTGGCTAGAAAAAGGATCTGTGTGGAATTGAGATTAAACACCTCAACAGACTGGATAAACTCTCGACACTGTTGAAGAGAGAGACCAAACAATGGGAACCTGGCACTGAGGAATTTCCCCAGAATGCAGCACAGAGAAACAAAGATAAAAGTGAGGAATCCTGTGGTGGACGCCCAGAGAGTCTCCAGGGATTTCCAACAGTAGTAGTCAAAGAAAATATAGAGAGAAAATGGTGAAGAAGCCAGATTCAGTGACAGTTTGCAGACCTGGAGAAAGGCGTGAGGTCTCAGATCTGCAGTGCGCTGTGGAGTACCAGGCAAGATAAGTGTAAATGAATCTCTAGGCTCGTCGTGGGGAAGCCATAGCATTCAGACCTGGTACCTACAAAGGAGTGACAGACAGACTGTCTGTCCTCAGATTTCTCATCAGCCACAGCGGGTGGCAGGAAACAATTGCAAAATATTCAATACCCTGCAGGAAAATGGCTACTGATAACTTCGTATCCAGCTAAACTATCTCTCAAGAGTGAAGGGAAATACACAGGGTTGTGGGAGCTCAGAAGGGACTGCTTTTCTCTTCTCATAGGGAGGAGTGAACTTAGGGATGACCTCACAGAGGAGATGCTGTTTGGGTCCCCTAGGCAGTAATGGGGTGCACATTCCAGGGAGCATCCAGGTGTTTGGCAATGGCTAGAGGATATAAAGGAAGCATTGGGAAATGAAGCCCAGATGGATGGGGTGCCAAGTCCTGCCAGCCTGGAATGCCAGGGGGAGGGTTTGAGACTTTGTTCTGTGAGGTGAGAGTGGGGAGGCCCAGGGTCTGAGCTGTGTTCAGGCAGATGGCTTTGGGGCTGGTGTAGGGGATGGAGTGAGTGGCTCTGGGGGTTCAGGGGGAGCCTGTGCTTCTCTCCAGAGAGCCCCGTGTCAGGTCTGCCTGGGTCCCATCTGTCTCCCCGGTCAGCCCACCACCTGCAAACTGTCATGGAGTTCCTGCCCACAGCCCCGTGGGAGTCCTTGCTCTGGGGCAGCCTCTCAGGCATACCATGTCCCTTGCAGATGACCAAGATGCTGGACCTCCTGGAGGACTTCCTGGAGTATGAGGGCTACAAGTATGAGCGGATTGATGGGGGCATCACCGGGGGCCTCCGGCAAGAGGCGATCGACAGATTTAACGGTACCCCTGCCTCACTGAGGGGTTCTTGATTGGGACCCCATGTCTGCTTCTTCTCCCAGGCTCAGATCGTAGCCAGGTCACCCATTCAATGTTTGGATCAGCTGCTCCCCAAAGGGCTGAAGAAGGCTACCAGTTCTTCAGTCCGAAAAGCTGCCCCTTAGTTTTAAATGCTAAAAGGAATTGATTTTAGGGACCCTCCAGGGCCTGCTGTGGTGCTAAGGGGCCCAGTAGGTAACACCTGTTCAGAGCTGAGAAGGGACCAGAGAAGGGCAGAGTGGACGTGAGAGCTTTTGTTACTGGATGAAGCTGGTGCTGAGGGTCTGGCTGGCACTGGTGGGCTTCTGATACCGACACCAGCAAAACCAGCAGTTACAAGCTGTGCTGGACAGAGCCTGCTGCCATAAAAGGGATGGCAGGGAGGGCTGGAGTGTGTGAACCGTGCGGCAGCTTCCTAGAGAGCCGGGGAGCGAGGGGCAGGCTGCACATGCCAGAACCCCCGGTCTGCTTGCTTCCTTGGCTGGATGGAGAGGCAGGTGGAGAGGCCGGGAGCCCACCCCGAGTGGAGAGGGGAGAGGGGAGGTGGTCAGCTGGACCAGTGCCTCCTCAGTGTCAGGTCTGCGGCCAGCAGCCACATGCCCTTTCCCTGGTCCCACCCTCAGAACAGGGCTGGCCCCCTGCCCCAGCACCCAGAGCGGCGATTCCTGCTGCCCACTTACCAGCGGTGAAGCAAGTAGAGTTTCAGGACCTAGCCGTGACCCGGCCACACGTAGAAGTGGGCGTGACTGAGGCATTGGGCGGACCGGAGACTTGTTTGTAGCTCAGGGGACCGTGGTCAGTCCACTTAATGAAAGGCCCCAAAGGTCCTGAGAGCCAGCTGTCCCGAGACAGTGGCCCGGGCCCTGGAGCCGTGATCTGAGGGTCCCCTGGCCCCGGGGAAGCTGGGAGGGCATGAGGGATGGGGCTCTCCTGGGCCTCAGGGCCTCCTGGGGGCTGACCCTCAGTGAGCGCTCTGCTCCTGTTTGCTGGCTGTTTGCAATTTGTTCCTTGTGTGGGCTGTGAAAATAGATTCCCTTTCCCTTCTGGTTCCCTCCTGCTGGGCCAGGGCCCAGAGCACAGCTGGGGGCTGAGTGGGGCTCAGGTGGGCTGCTCTCTGCTCACCCAGGACACAGCCGCGGCCGTTGCTGTCTGTGATGAGGCCACAGCCGCCCCCTGTGGCCACTCCTGTCCTTCTCTCTGCTGTCCCCCTCTCCCTACACCCCTGCTTGAGGCCCTTGCTCACCCTCCTCTCTTCCTCAGCCCCTGGGGCCCAGCAGTTCTGCTTTCTCCTTTCCACCCGGGCTGGTGGCCTGGGCATCAACCTGGCCACGGCAGACACCGTCATCATCTACGACTCGGACTGGAATCCACACAACGACATTCAGGTCTGTGGCCCTGACCTCGGAACCCTCTAGGCAGGCCCCTTGCTGCCCCTGGTCCTTGGGCTCTCCCTCCCTCCCCGAGGACCACCTCAGGGCTTCACTCCCCCTTGGCCAGCCTCGAGGTCTCAGCCTCAAGAGGGGTCCTAGGAGGTGAGCAGGGACCCAGAGAGGACAGAGGACGTGTCTGCGGACATACAGTGATCCGTGTGGCTGGCGATAACCCCTGGTCTGTCCTGTCACTCTCAGGGCCAAGACTGTGAAGGGGGGCAGGATGAGGAAATCCTGGGGTCCAGAGGGGGCCTGATTGGGAGGGAACCTGGAAAACAGTGGGGGCGACAAGGCGTGTTGGAGGTGGGGAGAGGAAGAGACGGGACAGGGGCCAATGGGGCTGGTGAGGAGGGATGAGAGGCTCGGGGGGCTGGGAGGCTGTGGGAGCAGAGACATATCCTGCTGTCCCCTGACTGCCCCGCTCTCCCCAGGGACATGCAGGCACACACATGTATACACACACTCCTGTCTCATGCCCACACGTGTACACCTGTACAGTCCCCACACTGCATGTGTGATAATCACACAGGGCTTATAAAATGATACATGCCAGCAGACCCCTAATGCAGAGCCCTGGGTATATCCTCCAGTCATATGGGCAGCTCCTGGGCCACGTGGCCCTCAAAAGGTGGCTGTGTGTCCCCAGCACCTGGTCCTGCAGCCCCATTAGGGGCTCACTCCCAGGGAGGTGCAGCCCCTTGGTCCCATGACCACTGTCAGGGCTCCATGTAGCCTCACAGCACCCTGGCCCACTGCCCCTCAAATGCCCCTGTGGTCCGTCTAGTTCCACTTGTGCAGGTACCGCCCCCGGGAAGTGGGCTCAGCTGCCCTGGTGCACCCACATCACGCAGTCACGCGGCTGTTGCTGAGAAGCTCACACGCGTCCGACCTTACAACGCGGCACCCAGCTGTGCACCCCGGGCCTCTGTTGAGGCGTGGTTGCTGAGCTGCCTGCCACCCCCAGGCCTTCAGCCGTGCCCACCGCATCGGGCAGAACAAGAAGGTGATGATCTACCGCTTTGTGACCCGGGCCTCGGTGGAGGAGCGCATCACGCAGGTGGCCAAGCGCAAGATGATGCTCACCCACCTGGTGGTGCGGCCCGGCCTCGGCTCCAAGTCGGGCTCCATGACCAAGCAGGAGCTGGATGACATCCTCAAGTTTGGCACAGAGGAGCTCTTCAAGGACGATGTGGAGGGTGGGTGGTGGGGTGACCAGACCGTGGGGCCCCCTCCCGGGGCCGCCCCAGCTCGCAGCCTCCCTCTCCTTGGCTCCCTGTGCCTGCCTCCTGGCCGGGCTGGGCAGGGCAGGGTGGCTGGCTGGGCACCATCCGCCCGCCCTGCAGCCCTCTGCCTCTGTCCTTCAGGCATGATGTCTCAGGGCCAGAGGCCAGTCACGCCCATACCTGACGTCCAGTCCTCCAAAGGGGGAGCCCTGGCCGCCAGCGCAAAGAAGAAGCATGGCAGCACCCCGCCAGGTAGGGGCTAGCCCGCCTAGCCCCCCACTCCTGCGCTTCTGGCGGCCGTTCCTGGAGGGCCAGGGGGTCCCGTGCCCTGCTGCTCCTGGTCTGCCCCACCCTGGCCCCTCACCTGGCTGCCTGTGGACTGCCAGGTGGTGGGCAGCTGGGCTTGTTCCTGGGCATGCACTCTGTTGCTGTGCTCCTCTGCGGAGGGCCGGAGGGACAGGCAAGGACCACCCCAGGGATCTGTCCCAGTGGGGGCCCCCAGCCGGACCTGGGCCTCCCCATCTGTCCCCCTCGCCCTGTCTGCCCCCAGGGGACAACAAGGATGTGGAGGACAGCAGCGTGATCCACTATGATGACGCAGCCATCTCCAAGCTACTGGACCGGAACCAGGACGCCACGGACGACACGGAGCTGCAGAACATGAACGAGTACCTGAGCTCCTTCAAGGTGGCGCAGTATGTGGTGCGCGAGGAGGACGGCGTGGTAAGCCCGAGGCCTGCCCCGCGGCAGCCCCCTTCGTCTCCGCCCGGTTAGCCTGTCGAGTGAATGAACAAATGGGGACTGCGACGGGGGCAGGAGGTCCAGCTGGGACTAGGGTGATCAGGGAAGGCTTCCTGGAGTAGTCGGGCTTTGCAGTTCATCCTGGAGTCCCTGCAGGGAGAGGCGTGGAGGCAGCGTGAGGCCTCCCGGGGGCAGAGATGCCCCCTTCTGGCCCCACCCCACCAAGCCCCTGGCCGCTGGGTCCCCAGGAGGAGGTGGAGCGGGAGATCATCAAGCAGGAGGAGAACGTGGACCCCGACTACTGGGAGAAGCTGCTCCGGCACCACTACGAGCAGCAGCAGGAGGACCTGGCCCGGAACCTGGGCAAAGGCAAGCGTGTCCGCAAGCAGGTCAACTACAATGACGCCTCCCAGGAGGACCAGGGTGCGTGTCCTGGGGCAGGGCTGCCAATGGGAGGGTGTCTGGAGAGGGTGTCCCTGGGGGAGGAGCAGGGCTGCCAGTGGAGAGGGCGTCCCTGGGGCAGGGAGCCCCTTGGGCTGACGAGTGGGAGCTGCCAGGAGGTCTGAGCTGGGGTGCTGGGTGCTGGAGAACGGGTTGCAGCAGGTGTGGGGTGCCGGTGTTTGGGGGAATAACACGGACAGTGGTGCAGTGACTTCACAGCTCGTGGAATGGCCCTGGGCAAGCCTCCGTTTCTCTGCCCGTACCTGGCGTGATAACGGTACGGCGCTCAGGATGCAGTGAGGGTGGCTGGGATTTCTGCGTGAGCTCACAGGAAGCACTCCGAGCCCATTTCATTACTGGGCTAGGCCCGGGGGCTCGGCATGGCCCTGGGAGTGGAGGCTCAGGGTGGGGTGGCTCACTCGGCTGCCCTCGGCCTGGTGCCCGCAGAGTGGCAGGATGACCTCTCAGATAACCAGTCTGAATACTCCATTGGCTCTGAGGATGAGGACGAGGACTTTGAGGAAAGGCCAGAGGGACAGAGTAAGTCTCAGAGGTGGTCACCCTGGGCCGGGGCTGGGCCGTGTGTCAGAGAGCAGGGGGTCATCTGGGGTCCCTGGGGGCATCAGGACAGGCACCTGTCCTTTGGAGGATGTCCCGAGGGGTCTTGTCATCCTGGAATGAGTGGGATGGGTGGGGGGCTTGACACTTGAGGCCCCACTGAGGGCTTGTGGCGGGGCTGCTCCCCAGGTGGACGGCGACAGTCCAGGAGGCAGCTGAAGAGTGACAGGGACAAACCCCTGCCACCCCTTCTTGCCCGTGTGGGCGGCAACATCGAGGTGGGGCTCGCCTGCACCCCCGCTTTCCCAGATCCCTTCATCTCATTCCCCTCTCTGAACAAAGAGCTCACCCCTGCTGCTGCCCCTGAGTATGAGGGGGTGCTGGTGGGGGGCTAAGGGCCTGCCCAGGGGCACAGCCAGGCAGAGGCGGGGCTGGGACGGGTCCTGCCCCAGCACAGGCCCCGCTTTCTCTGGTCCCTTCCCTGCTGCCTCCCCTCCGGTCCCTGAGTTCTCCGCTCCCCGCCTGCTCCCCGCCTCCCTGCCGTCCAGGTGCTGGGCTTCAACGCCCGACAGCGGAAGGCCTTCCTGAACGCCATCATGCGCTGGGGCATGCCCCCCCAGGACGCCTTCAACTCCCACTGGCTGGTGCGGGACCTTCGAGGGAAGACTGAGAAGGAGTTCAGGTAAAGGGGGCTGTGGCGGCCCAGAGCCCGGACTGGCCCGGCTCCGGCTGTGCAGTGCGTCTGGGCTCCCAGCAGGCTGAGGGCGTCGGGGGGATTCACGGACGCCTGATCTGTGGGTGGCCGGGTTCAGGTCTCAGCAGAGAAGGATGAGCAGCCACCTCTGAAAGACCAGCTGGTGCTAACGGCGGGGACAGGATCTGGGCTATTGGGGCCAGGGCTGTTCTGGGGGGGTCCCCTGCCACGGGAGACCCCCTCTGCCCTTCCCTGGGGGCCTGACCAGCAAGCCTGGTTGGGAGGCAGGCGACAGATGATTCCAGCCAGGAGGTCCCTTGGGGGTCCTGCCCTCTAGAGGGTCCTTGCTGACTCCCCACCCCCTGAGCCCCAGTCCCCCCCACCCCAGAGCCTATGTGTCCCTCTTCATGCGGCACCTGTGTGAGCCGGGGGCTGATGGCGCGGAGACCTTTGCGGACGGCGTGCCCCGTGAGGGCCTCTCCAGGCAGCACGTGCTCACGCGCATTGGGGTCATGTCACTAGTTAGGAAGAAGGTGGGTGAGTAAGCCTTTCCTGGGCCTTTCCTGGTGGCTGCCCGTGGCCCTGGTGTGTCCCTGGGGGTCAGCAGGCAGAGGACAAATGCCTGCCTCAGGGTCGCAACAGCTGCCCAGGGGCCGGGTCAGGCTAGAGAGACTGGCCCAGGGTGCCTGTCTGGGTGGGGAATTGGGGGGCAGGCTGGAAGCCAGGATGGCAGGTCACAGAGGGGAGATCACACAGGGAGACTGAGGTGGGGGTGAGGCCAGTCTTGGGTGGAGGTGACATCTACCCCAAGCCTGGGATGGCCCAGCTGCCCTGAGGCCCTGAGGTCTGAGCTGCTCCTTCCCACCTGCCTCAGGTCCAGGAGTTTGAGCACGTCAATGGGAGGTACAGCACCCCGGACTTGATCCCTGAGGGGCCTGAGGGCAAGAAGCCGGGTGAGGTCATCTCCTCTGATCCCAACACGCCAGTGCCTGCCAGCCCAGCCCACCTCCCAGCTGCCCCGCCGGGCCTGCCAGGTCTGCACTCTGATGAGTGGGAGAGGGCCCCTGGGTCATGGGCGACAAGGCGCAAGGACACCCCGAGCCCTCTGTGCGCCTCGCAGAGGGCTGCCTCCCTCTCCCATGAAGCTTCTGTCTGCGGAAGGGTTGGCTGCCAGAGTCATTCTTTTTAATGACAGCTTTGGGTTGTAATCCACATGCCACAATACCCAACTTCTCCCCCCAGCCCCTGGCAGCCACTCATCTACTTTCCATCTCTGGATTTGCCTATTCTGGACATTTCATGTCAGTTACACAATTTGTGGCCTTTTGTGACCGCCTTCTTTCGCTGGGATAATGTCTCCCAGGCCCGTCCAGGCTGTGGCATGTGCCAGCGCGTCTCTCCTTTGTATGGCCGAGTAATATTCCATTGTGTAGATTCAGCACATTTTGTTTATCCAGCTAATGGATTTTGGGTTGTTTCTACTTTTTGGCTATTGTGGAAAATGTGAGTGGTCCTGTGACTCACATGAACATTTGCATTCACGTGAGGACAGGTGTTTTCACTGCTCTTCGGACTATGGCTGGAGTGGAATCACTGGGTCACGTGGAGTGACATCTTGAGGAACTGCCAAACTTTGTCCCCTTTCCATTCTTACCAGCAATGTCTGAGGCTTCTGGCTCCTCGACATCCTGTCCGACACTTCCCTGACATCTGTGCATAGCCGCCCTTGTGGGTGTGAGGTGGTATCTCCTGTGGTTTGCTTTGCATCTGTCTTACGGCTGAAGATGCCAAGAATCTTTTCCTGTGCTGGGGGCCACTGTGTATCTTTGCAGAAATGTCTGTCCAAATTCTTTGCCCTTCCGTAATCGGGCTGTTTATCTCTGAGAGTCTTTTTAGTGGTCCCTGTATTTATTTGGGCAAAGCTCCTGGTTCCCTTAGTTGGACTTTTCAGGCCTGGGGCCCACCTACCTATCCCCAGGGGACAGGTGGCAGGCGCCTCCGAGGACATCTCCTGGGCACAAGTGTGCCCTCTGCAGGTGGACCTGCCTGGGTTTGCTTCCTGGCCCTGTGTGACCTTGGGTCACTTACTGTGTGAGCCCCGTTTTCTCAGCCATGGTGAGGGCTGGGATAGTGCCCACCTCCCAGGGCTACTGGGAGCACAGGTGTCACTAGCGCTTGGCCGTGTGTGAAGAACTGACTCAGCGTAGAGGAGGCACATGGCCGGTCAGCTAGCCGGGAACCTGGAACTGCACCCAGCTGTCCTGACTCGGCCCGGGACCCCACCCACCTCATTTCCCTCCTGGACGGAAGACCCTGCTCTGGGCAGCCCTATCCCAGTGGCCCCTGGCTTTGGCCTCACTGGACCGAAGGTCCTCCAGGGTTCCCCATGTTGCTGGCCTGGCCTGGGCACTCTGGCTCACTGGTCCTTTCCTGGGGGCCCAGACGGACCTCCCGAGGGCCAGGCCCCACCTCTCCTTTCTGGCACTCTTTCCTTCCTCTCCCCACCCCTGCCTGAGCCCACCTCTCTACCCTATTGCTCTTGATCTTTCAGACAAAATGGAAGCCCAGCTGGGCTACATGGATGACAAGGAGCCGGGGGTGCAGAAGCCAAAGAAGCCCCCAGAAATGCAGGTATGCTAGATGCTGGTATCTGGCCTTGGCGGGCATGGGTGTGGGTGGGGTCTGCGAACCTTCTTAGGCCTTGTCCAAGCGGCTGGGACCCAGGCCCCTGGCTCTGAGTCCAGGCCTCTGGGTCTGGGGTAGGACGTGGGAGCAAACGATGGAACCAGGAGAGGAGGTTCCTGGCCCAGTGTCCCTTCCCTGGCCTCCATGCTTCTGAAGCCCCAGGCCCTATGGCATCCCCAGCCTGTCTTCCCTAGGCCCTGCCAGCTTCCTTGGACAGACTGGAGGGTGACGACAAGCATGAGAGCCCAGATGGCAAGGAGAGGGCCCTGGAGGAGCGGCGGGAGGAGATGGAGAAGGCCCAGCCCTCCCCGGAGCAGCTATTAAAAGGTTTGGCTTCCCACGGTCACCCACCTCAACGCAGTTTCTGGCCTCAGCAGCCCTGGGCCAGAGAAGGGGGTGCCCAGGCTGTGCTTTACCGCCTGTCTCCCCAGCCGAGTGGTGGACTCTGTGTTGCTCTGTCCTAGTGTGACAGGCCCCAGGATGAGGGGAGAGCCAGGGCTCAGGGCTCTGTGCATGGGCTTTAACCTTTCCTACTGTACAGTTTTGGAGTTGTTGGGCTGTCCCTTTAGTGATTTCTGTCTCATTTACATTGTGATCTGAATGCATGAGTCTGTGTGATATAGTTTCAGCCCGGTTTCTGGCTTAAATATGGTCAGATTTTGTAAATGCACAAGTGTGCTTAAAAAGAATGTTTTCTGATTGCTGGGTATAAAGTTCTAAATAAATGCATTAGAGTGTTGTTCAAATTTTTTATATCCTTACTCATTTTTGGTTTGCTTTCATCAGTCAAGTCTGAGAGACTTGTGTCAGAATCTGTCACTAATTGTGGATTAATCTCTGTCTCCTTGTAAGACCAGGTTTAGCTTCATATCATTTGAGAGTGAGTTGTTAAGTGCATATTGGTTCATGTTTTTTTATATTTTTCTGGTGAAGTGTGCCTGTGCCTTAATTATTATTGGAATGACCCACTAATCCCTCCTGATACTTTTTTGCTTTAAGATTTATTTAGGCTGATTTGGATCAATCTTACTTATGTTTAGTATGTATTTGGTATATCTTTTCCTATCCTTAAAAAGAAAAAAACATATATACAACAGCTTTATTATGGTATAATTCACATACCATACAGTTCACCCATTTAAAGTGTACCATTCAGTAGTTTTTAGTATATTCATAGTTGTGCAACCACAGCACAATTCATTTTAGAAAATTAAATCTTTTCATCACTCCAAAAAGAAATTCTGTGCCCATTAGCAGATACTCCCCATTTCCTCCTCCCCTCAACTCCTGGCAATCACTGATCTACTTTCCGTCTCTATGGATTTGCCTGTTCCGGATTTTTCATGTAAATAGAATCATAAAACATGTGCCCTTTTGTGTCTGGCTTCTTTGTTTTCACGGTTCATCCATGTTGTAGCTCGTGTTAGTACTTCATTCCTTTTTACGTCTGGGTAAGATTCTGTGTATCTTACACAGATACTACATTCTATTTATCCATTCATCAATTGATGGACATTTGAGTTGTTTCTAATTTTTGGCTGTTGGGAACATTTGTGTACAGGTTTTTTTGTGGCGATCGGTTTCATTTCTCTTGGGTATATAACTAGGATTGGAATTGTTGGCTCATTTGGTAACTCTAGTATTTTGAGGAACTGCCAGATTGTTTTTTACAGTGGCTGCAGCATTTTATATTCCTACCAGCAATGTATGGGGATTCCAATTTCTCCACATCCTCACCAACACTTGCCCTTATCTGTCTTTTGATTATAGCCATCCTAGTAGATGGGAGGTAGTATCTGAGGTGATTTTGACTTGTATTTCTCTTATGGATAAAGATGTTGAGCATCTTTTCATGTGTTTATTGGCCATTTGTTTAGCTTTACTGGCAAAATGTCTTTTCAGATCCTTTGCTCATGTTTTAAGTGGGTTGTTTGTCTTTTTATTGTTGAGTTATAAGAATGCTTTATAAATACATGTTCTCTATCAGATATGTGAGTTGCAAGTATTTTCTCCCATTCCTTAAGTTTTCATCTATTTGTGTAATTATGTTTTAAGTATGTTTCTTATAAACAATGTATAGCAAGAGTTGTCATTTTAAATCACAGAATCTTTTCTAACTGGCAAATTTAATCCCTTTACATTTATTAAAATATTTGTAGATATTTGGATGAATTTCTACTCTCTTATTTTGTGCTTCCTATCACCCTCACCTTTTCTTTTTTCTCCTTCCTGCCATCTCTTAGATTGGTCATATTTTCTTTACAAACTTTCTAAAGGAGGTGGTGGGAAAAGGGAAATACAGTCAATTCTATGTTACACTCTTACATTTTTAACAAATATTCCTCCCAAATAATACAGGGACTGTAGGCAACTTTCACTCTAATATACTCCCTTCCATTTTCCATGTGCTGTTGCCCAATGTTTTAATTTTAGTTTGTTTAAACCTCCCACGTTTGTTATTATGCTTTTTTCTAAATCTTTAATCCCCACTTCAGTCTTCCCACATTCACAGCGGTTTTTGTTTGCTTATTTCATTGTTGCTTTGTGTGATGTCCTTCCTCTTAATGTACAGGCATTGAATAGCGTGCTCAGCAAATTTCTGTGCATGTCCCCTTCTCTTATTGTGCATTGTTTTCCCTTTACTCTTGAATAATAGTCAGCAAAATTCAAAGTGGGGTGGGGTTTTCCCTCAGCACTCTCAGGATGTTGCTGCTTGTGTATCCTGGCTTCTGTCGTGCCGAGAAGGCTGCTCCTTTGTAGGATACCTGTCTTTTCTATCTTTCCTAACATGGACAGACCACTTTAAAGATAGCCTCTGTGCCTTTGGTCCTGTGAAGTTTCACTCCAATGAGAGTTTTATCTTGCTTGCAGCTCGCTGTGATTCTTGAAGCTGCGTATTCTGTCTGTCATCAAGTATGACAAAATTCTGCCAGTCCCTCTTTGAATCATCTTTGCCTCCCCCGTGATTATTTTCCCCTGGCATTGCTCTTACTCATCATCCATTCATCTAACAGTCTGTACTGAAGGCCTGATGTGTGTTGGGTGCTACCCTAGGCACTGGGGGCACAAACAATGGACCGAAACAGCCAGAACCTCCCCATGGGATCTGTGTTCTAGTGGAGGAGACAGGCGACCCACAATAAGCAGAAGTACGTCTTGCTCACCAGCAGACTCCAGATGTGATGAAGAAAGCAGGTACCGGGTCAGCAAAAGACGGGGGCTGACGAGCCTATCACGTCTCCCCCTTCTTGTTTTCTCTCTCTGCGAGGCATTTTGAATCATCTCAGATCTAGCTTTCATTTCCACCTTTATACAGCTGTTTGTAACGTATCCATTTGTACCGTTTTCTATGGCTGCAAAACAAACTGTTACAACCTTAGCCGCCGAAAACAGCACCCCTTGATTCGCATGGCCTCACCGGGCTAGAGCCCATCACATTCACTCACCTGCCCGAGGGCTCCGCGAGGCTTGCACTTCAGCGCCGGGAAGTCTTGGAGGACATCTTGGAAGTCTCAGTGAAAATGTTTACGATGTCAATGATCGTGTGTTTTATTTCTAGTTTTACCTGGCTTCTTCTCATTTTTTTTTTTTTTGACTTGTGGATCCTCTTCCATCTTGCTTCTCTCTCACTCTGGCAGATGGAGAACTGTTTTCTGTTTCTGTTGGGTGGTGGGAATGTCCCCCCTCTACTTCCGGGAGCTCAGGGCCCAGTGGCCTCCCTGGTGGTCTGGCTGACCCAGGACCAGTCTTTATGGCACGCTCTCTGCTGAGGCAGCACCATTCAGATCTCGCAGCCTGCGCGGCCTTTATGCTGGGTTTGGACCCCCCACTGGTCTTCCTGCCCCGGTTCCATGGGGGACGCAGTGGTTCCATGGGGGACGCAGCCTTCCTCAGCTTGGCCGTGAGCCACTGCACGCAACTGTCTTGCGAAGAGCACACAGCGCACGGAGGGTGTTGGTCTGATTCCAGTTTCCTGCATCTCTGGCTCTCGAGGCCTCGTTCTTCTGTCTGGTGTCAGATCGCAGCCCTCCAGGCACCTGCCCACCCCCTGCCCAGAGCCCCCAGGGTGTGCTTCTCGAGCTTCTAGTCTCCCTTCATTTATGGCACCTGGCAATTCCCTTTCCTTCTTGTGAGCCTCACCCATGTTTTTTTTAATGTGATAGATTTTGCCTGACGTTTCTGGGTGTTTGTGGGGTTTGTGTTGACGAAGGCCTGCCATGTGGCCAGAACTTGAGCCCTCCGGTCTTTGCTGCTGCCGGAGGGCTTCTGGATGCTGTGGGGGAGGGTGCGCTAGGTGGGTGGGGGGAGGTCCATGCCCCCTGCCCAGCCTCCCAGAGGACCTTTCCTGGTGGCACCTGAGTAACACTGACGGATAGGGAAGGTTCTGTGTGTGGCTACAACAGAGTTGGAAAGCCACCAGTCCAGGGTCCCCTCTGTCCTTCCCGGACCCCTCCCCACTCTATGGCACCCTTTGTCTTGCAGAAGAAGTACTTCCTGAGAAGGAGAAAATTCTGGATAAGCTGGAGCTAAGCTTGATTCACGGCAGAGGGGACGGCAGTGATTTCAGGCCAGGTTTGGGGCTCTGTGTGCTCTGTCCTGTGTCCCTTGGTTTTTTGAGGCCATCCCCTGGACGCTGTCAGGCCCCTCCGACAGCCTCCTGGGTGCCATCCCCTCGGCCTCAGGCCCTGATCCGGGCTGGTGGGTGGGAGCCTGGAGCTGGTCACAGAGCTTGGCCGGAGCATCATCGGCAGCTCTGCTGGAAGCTTTGTGCTGGAATGTTCTGGAACAGCCATCCTCAGATCAGGCCCTAAGGCAGTGCTGCTGTTTTTGAATGTAAACTGCTTTTAACAGTGCAGTCACCTCGACCCCCACCCCAGGTGCTTCTGACCTGGTGGGGGAGGGGCCCTTGGTCCCCCGAGCCAGACCGCCCTGTCCAGGGCTGAGGGCGCTGCTGGTTTGTCTGTTTAAAGCCCCTCTTGGCAATGCGCCTGTGAGCATGGGAGACGTGACTCCCGCTTGCCTTTGGGTCCCCTGTGCTTGGCAGAGTGAGGCTACTGGACTGTGAGTTCTGGATGGATGAATGAGTGTGGCTCTGTCCTCGCACAGATAACACCAAAGCTGAGGAGAAGGAGCCCATTGAGACACAGCAAAATGGTGACAAAGAGGAAGACGAGGAGGGCAAGAAGGAGGACAAGAATGGGAAGTTCAAGTTCATGTTCAACATTGCAGATGGGGGCTTCACAGGTACTGAGTGAGGCGGTGGGCAGAAAACTGGGGATGTTGGTGTCCCAGGTTCTGACTGTGTGGGTCCCCAGAGTCTGGGCTGATGGTTATTTTATACTAAAGCATGAGTGGTTGGTAAAAGTCCATTCCGTAATCTTTCCCAGTAATCCTGCACCACTGAACCTCCAGGGGTGGGGTGATGGTAGGTGGTGAGGGAGAGGCTTTCTCAGGCCTGCCTCTGTGAGAGGCCTTATTCTTGCCCCCTTGGCTGACTTCCCAGAGCTACACACCCTGTGGCAGAATGAGGAGCGTGCTGCTGTGTCCTCGGGGAAAATCTACGACATCTGGCACCGGCGCCATGACTACTGGCTGCTCGCGGGCATTGTGACGTATCCTTGGCCAGACCAGGCTGGGCAGGACCTCAGGGATGGAGGTGGGGTGCGTGGGGTGAGAAGCCAGGAGCCAGCACCCCAGACCAGGAGCCAAGGGCCCTGTCCTGGTGATGGCGACGGTGCCAGTGCCGGTGCCTGTATAGCAGCCCATCCCCTTACTCTCCATGCTGTCTTCATCCTCACAGCGGCCCTGTCAGATTCCATTACACAGAGGAGGTGACAGATGCTCAGAGAGGCCAGGGGGCTTGCCTAGGGATGCATAGCTAATAGGTCACAGCCTATCCCTCTGACTCCACAGCAAGTGCTCATAACTCCTCTGTGATTCAGACCCCAGCACCTCCCAGTAATGACTCCTGAGGGTGCTTCACCATGTAGAGGGTTTCATTCATCCATTCACTCATTCATTCATTCGGTCAGTCTTTATTGATCACTTACTGTGTGTGAGGCACAGAGGATGTGGCCAGAACAACATCCCCAAGTCCTGCTACCTGGAGCTCATTTCCTGGGGGGAGATGAATGCCTGAAGCTAGTGATGTGTGGGGTTCTGCGGGTAAGGCAGGCAAGGGGCGAGTGGCAAAGGGAGCCCTTGGTGGGGGCTGCATTTCCTGTGGGTGGTCAAGAAGGAGGCTTTTGTGCACAGACCTCACAGAGGCGAGGAGAGGGTCTCACAGCTACCCAGGGAGAGCCTCCCAGCACAGCCGGCCTTTGTGACAGCCTCGAGTGGGGCTGGTCATTGCAGTGGGAGGTGGAGTGTTAGAGAGCGGTGGTCAGCAGACCTTCCCAGTAAGGGTCCAGGGAATGGACCGTTCAGGCTTTGCAGAGCGACCCCTCCGCTCGGCCGTGGTAGCAGAGCCCTGACAATACATACATAAATCAGTGAATGTGGCTGTGTTCCAATAAAACTTTACTGACAAAAACAGACTGTGGGCCGGATTTGGCCTGGAGGTCGTAGTTTACGGGTCCTTGTTGTGGAGGTCAAGGCGTTTGGAGCCACCTGCCTGGGTTCAAATCCTGACTCTGCCCTTCAGTGACTGAGACCTTGGGTGAGATAACTATTGTGCCCCCCTTTTTCCCTCTGGAGTATCTCAGGGAGGACGCTTCCTGCCTCTTCCCAGCTTGTGGTGGTGGCCTGTAGCCCCAGGTAGGTCCCGGCTTGTAGCCCCATTCCTCCAGTCGCCACCTCCACCGCTACATGGCCTTTTTCCTGGGCATCTGTGTCCAAATTTCCTCCTCTTCAAGGACATCGGTCACTGGATTAGTGCCCACCTGCACCCAGTCTGGCCCCTTCTTACCTTGATTACATCCGCAAAGATACTCTTTCCAAATAAGGCCACACTCACTCACAGTTCCCGAGGTGAGGATGCGCCGTTTCCGGCCTCCAGGCTGGGGACGGAGCGGTCAGCCCCGGGAAGTCTGGGGACGGAGCGGTCAGCCCCGGGAAGCCTGGGTGCCCTGTCTGGGCCCCCGAGGGCAGCTGTCGGTGTGCTGGTGGCCGTGCCCTCGTCATCCGTGTGCTCATGCGGCAGCCGAGGTTAATGACCGGCCTGAGAGCAGACAGCCAGGATGCCGGCCCCGGGCTGGCCCCCCGCCCCCGCCCCATGGCCGGGTTTGCCCTTAACGGTGCCCCACCAGGCATGGCTATGCCCGCTGGCAGGACATCCAGAACGACCCGAGATACATGATCCTCAATGAGCCCTTCAAGTCTGAGATCCACAAGGGCAACTACCTGGAGATGAAGAACAAGTTCCTGGCCCGCAGGTTCAAGGTCAGTCCCGGGCAGGGCCAGTGGCTGCTGTGGGGGAGGGGGCAGCAAGAGGTTCATGTGAGCGCCTGGGGCAAAGGACTTAGCGAGCAGCAGCCCCCATCCCCCAGTATATCTGGACATGGACCAGGCTGTCCACACTGGGGTCATGTGGTCAATCAGCCGGTGGGGTCCTGTGGTCCCTGCTCTGGGCCAGGCCCACCCTGGGTGATGGGTACTGAGCTCCCGGCTTGGTGAGGGCTCTAAAGTATGGCCCAGATAAGACGAGGGTGGAGACCCGGTGGGCGTGTGTCCTCTGGCCCTCCTTTCTGCCAGAGGCCTGGCTTGCGGGGGTGGGCGCTGGCGGAGGAAGGACCAGGCCAACGCTCAGTGCCTCCCCACTGCCCCCAGCTGCTGGAGCAGGCGCTGGTCATCGAGGAGCAGCTCCGGAGGGCCGCGTACCTCAACATGACCCAGGACCCCAACCACCCAGCCATGGCCCTCAATGCCCGCCTGGCTGAGGTGGAGTGCCTGGCTGAGAGCCACCAACACCTGTCCAAGGAGTCCCTTGCTGGGAACAAGCCTGCCAATGCCGTCCTGCACAAGGGTGAGCGGGCCTTCGCCCTGAACGCAGGCCCACGCACCTTCCCCTGCCCGGTGGGTGAGGGCACTGATGGGGCGTGGGGCTGGGGGCAGAGTGTCTGCCCAGAGGGGTAGCTTCCTGCCCAGGATGGGACGGGCCGTCGTCTAGGCCCTGCTGTTACTGGTGGGGGAGGGCGGCCCTTCCTTCTCTGGCCTCTTCTGAAGGCTCCATGGAGTCCTGGGCTGGGGGAGGCAACCCAGAGAAAATTCCATTGTGAAGCTCTTGTTCCTCAAGCTCAACAATATGCTTTAAACATATTCTCTCTTTAATCCTTGTAATGTCCTTAAGTGGGACATTTACTGTCCCATTTTTAAAGACGGGGACAACTGCCCGAGACCTCCTGGGGTTCAGGCCTCTGACCCTGTGCTCCAAATCTTTGGGAGGCCCCCAGGCTGGTCATGGTGAGGGCAGGGAGTCAAGGCCACGCTCACACCGGAGTGCCTGGATTCTCTGGCAGGTGTCTGCCGAGGCAGCTCTGCTTGGGAGCTCTTGACCGTGTTGCCCGAGGCGGGCCCGGGCTGCGGGCCTCCCCTGGGAGCCAGAGGCCGGCTGGGGGCCTGGAAGGAAGCCCTGTCTGGCTCTCATCTCTGCAGCCCTTGGGCCCCTGGGAGAAGCTCTTTGGAAGAAAACCCCTCTTTCCCCAGTTGGCATCCCTGCTTTGTGGGCCTGGGAGGGCTGGTGAGGAGCCACCCCGGGGTCCGCTGCCCAGAGAGTGCCGTCACTCATTCCTGTAAGTAAGCGTCAGTCCTGCCCACACCGTCGCAGCCTCTCCATCCCTCCGCAGTCCTGAACCAGCTGGAGGAGCTGCTGAGTGACATGAAGGCAGACGTGACGCGCCTGCCCTCCATGCTGTCCCGCATCCCCCCGGTGGCCGCCCGCCTCCAGATGTCAGAGCGCAGCATCCTCAGCCGCCTGACCAACCGAGCCGGTGACCCCACCATCCAGCAGGTCAGGTTCTGCCCATGCGCCCTGGGCCTGGGTCCCCCCACGCCCGTCCTGGGTGCCCCGGGGGTGGGGCGAGGGTCGGGGCGCAGGCCTATGACCTTTAAATTTGAGTCCTTGCCTCCAGGGCGCTTTCGGCTCCTCCCAGATGTACAGCAACAACTTTGGGCCCAACTTCCGGGGCCCCGGACCGGGAGGGATTGTCAACTACAACCAGATGCCCCTGGGGCCCTATGTGACCGGTAGGTGCCCGTCTGCTCCGGGCAGCATGTGCAGGAGAGCCCTGCGGGGACCCAGCATGCTCACTGCACCAGACAAGCCAGGTTTCCCCTCTTTTTGACAGATATCTAGCCGTCCCCGAGATTTCCCTCTGTTGCAGCGCTCATTTCCAGCTGAGGTAAGGCCTCCCCGGTGCTCCGCTGTCCCTGGTCCCCTCCTTGGCTTGGCGAGTCAGGCCTGGCCAGAATCAGTCCATGTGCTTGAGTCACACCCTGGGGCCTGCTGGGGCTCCGGCCCACATGCCTGGGGCCCCTCTGCCCAGGGAACTGTCTCCAGACCATTGTGTCTGCCCAGGCTTCTAGGCATTTTCCTGGGAAGCTGGGAAGGCACGAAGGGGTGGATGCACAGGCAGGGTGTGCTCCTGTGTGTCCACGTGGGGGTGGGTGTTTGTGTGTACATGTGTGTCAGCGCGCACTTGTGTCCAGGGCAGTGAGTCAGGGACCACTGCCCCCAGCCCAGACCCTGTCTCCCCTCTTCTGCCTCCACTGCCCTGCTGGGAGGTGGGTGGCTAGGACATCAATGCCCTGCACAGGACCAGGAGGGGTGGCTCAGGGTTGGAGGTAAGTGTTCCTGGCTAGGAGGGGTGGAGGGCTCACTTCTGAGAAACATCCAGTTCTCTCTGGCGTCTTCCCTGTGGACTGTCAGTGGCCGCCAAGCCTTGTCTGTCCTGAAAGAACTGCCGCTCAGGTGGAAGTGGGGGAGGTTTCCAGAGTGGCCGCCCCTCGGGATGCCGCTTCCTAGGGACTGTGTACCTGGCCTGCCGCCTGAGGCTGGGTGATCTCAGCTCTGGGGCTCCTTCTGACCCTAGTTGGCTGTGACAGGTGGCAGGTGGGTGGCTATAGGGTGTTGGGTGTCTCCCCTGTGGAGATCTGGTCACCCCACTGCGTATGTAACCTGTGATCTGCCTCTTGCAGCCACGCCTGCTGGGCCACCTACCTGACCCCCACGGGAGAGAAAAGCTACCGCCTTTTTAGGAGCCACCTTGGGACAGAAAGGGCGAGGGAGCAGTGCCACCATATGGGGGATGCGGTCCTGTCCGGCTGGTCCAGAGCCCAGAAGTGCCACCTCATCCTGATTCCAGTGCACCACACAGTGTCACACCCACACCAGGACGGGGCCCTGGCCGCCTTGGCCAGAACGACTTCCTAGAAGAGATTTCATTTATTTGTGCATCTTTTGCACTTTCCTGTTGAAAACTTGAACGAGTTTGTCTTGATAAAAGTTGAGTGACACATGTTGGGGCCTAACCTGCAGCCCTGCGTCTCTCTGTCAACGGGCTCCAGACCAGAAGGGAAGCTTCCAGAAGCCCTGCTGCTGGCAGACTTGGCCTAGCCGGGGAGAATGCAGCGTCTGCCCTAGGAGCCCTCAGGGTGCCCCTTGCCCACCCATCCTGCCTGACTGCCCATGCTCTGCCCCTGCCTGCTTGGGGCCTCCCGCGCCAGGTGGGTCAGGGCTGGGGGGCACTGCCTGGCCGGAGGGTAGAGGCCCTGGGTCAGGGCGGGGCATTTATTCCACCCGCTTCCCTCCAGGGCTGGAAGCCACCAGGTACGTGCTAGCTCTGGGGGGTAGGAGGCTCTGTTGGCAGGTGTCTGTCCCTGCCCTGGACTATGTTGTCACTCGCAGAGGGCCTGTGGCTCCTGCCCTGTGTGGCAAGCTGCGGCTCGGGGACTGTGGCTGTGGCATGTGCTCCCGGAATGGGGGAGGGCCTTGTGCACGTCTGCCTAGGGGCCTCCAGACCCTTCTTCTCAGGCCACTGTGGGAAGGGATACTGTGGTTAGCATCCCAGCAGGGAGGTCACAGCAGCCCAGGAGCCCCTGGCCCTGCCCTGTGCCCTGGGAGGCCCCTCACCTGCCTCCAGGTACACACTCTCCGTGCTGTCTCATGGCTGCAGATGAGGGGAAACCAGGCCACCCTCTGAAGCCTGGATTTATCTCTGTCCTCTTGTCCCTGGAGAGGCCTTGGTCTGGGCACTTGCCACCTGGGGCAGGGTACCCTGCCCTTGTCTTTTCAGGTGGCCTGGGGAGAGCTCTGCCTGAGGCAGGGTTCTAGACCCAGTGGGCTCTCCCATCCTCCCATCTGGAGCGCTCCGGCTTCCTGCCTTGTTGGCTGCCAGGAATGCCGTGGGAATCCTGACCTGACCCTCCCCAGCTGGTGGGGTGACCCCTGTGATGGCCCCAGCTGGGGGCGGGGAGAGGGGTGGGCCAGGCCGCAGCCGGTGTCTGATGCTCCCTCAGGCCTAAGTTCACCCGGAAGGGGTTTCTGAGCTTTGAACAGGGGCTCCCTGGGGAGGGGCCCTGGGCGCAGAATCCTGTCTGAGTGAGAAGCAGGTTGGGTCTGGGGATGCTGGTACCAGTGGGGGCTTAGCTCAGCTCCCTGGCCAAGATGGGGGCTAGGATTTGGGGCTTGTTTGGGGGACACTTGGGTGACTGGCTGGCCATCAAGATCCCCAGATGTCCTCATCTGTACATGGCTCTCTCTCAACCCCTGGAGGGCTGGACCCCCAAGGCCCTTCCATTTTGGTGTTCCCGTACTCCAGTATTGAATTTCCAAGGCTGACTCAACCTTGGCCTTGCGGGTGGGCCGGGTGGGGTGCATCCCGGAAGTGGCACGCAGGTTTCCAGGACACGCCGTAACAGTGGCTGACCTCACCTTCCGGGAAGGGTGAGGTCATTCCAGTCCACTGTGGCTCGTCCAGAGCACGTCGACATCGTGAGTGTTGTGCCCTCTGGGCAGTGCCTCCCTGCAAAGGTTCTTGGCTCAGGCCACCAGCGGGGTGACTGCCACAACCCCCACCCATCCCAGGGCCCTGTCCTGCTCCCTTTTCAGACTGGCATCACCCCTGTGGCTGGCCTCATTGGGAACGTGCCAGCGTGCCCTGGCCACAGTGGACGGGTCCTGAGTGTCAGGCCCAGAGGCACATGGTGGCAGGTCAGGGGTCTGCATCCCCACTGCCCCGCGTCCACGGGCTGGTGGTCCCTGCCCTGCCAGCACTCCCTCCCTGGGAGCCACCCTCTGTCCCAGTGTCCCCCCGCAAACTCCGACCTCATCAGTCCCCCCTTTGCACTTCTCTGCCATGGCTGGCCCCCCCGGCACTGCCTGGTCCAGGGAGAGCTCAGCAGTCCATGATGGGCACCCCAGAGCTTGGGAAGGGGGCTGCAGATGGTTGGGGCAGGGGCTTCTGCTTGACTGGTTTTGGAGAGGATCTTAAGACTGTCTGCTTGGTTCATCAGTTACCGCCTGTGGAGTGGGGATGGGGGTGGCCACCCTCTTTGGCATCTTCAGGCTGGGCTGGGTCTTTGCTGCTGGCAGGATGAGGGCCGTAGTGTACAAGCGGAATCCCAAAGTGCCAGCCTGCATTTGTTTCCAGACACCTTTTTATTTAAACCGGTGCCCAGCAAGGTGTTTGTCAAACTGCCTTTGGGACAGGGTCTTGGGAAGCACTGCCTGCTGGGCTTCCAGGTGACAAGGGGGGTTTGGGTTGGACCTACCGTGTCCAGAGGGCCTTCCTCTCGCGCGTGCCCACCATGGAAGCACATCTTGAGACCCCCTGGGCAGACCCTCCCTGCAAGCCACCCTCTGAAGTTCCTTTGTTTTCTGCAGATTATGCCTAAGGTCCTGGTAATACCCTCTTGCTCGTCGGAGGCCCCTTCCCAGGGCCCTCTGGGGGCTCCCTGGCCTGGGTTGGGGGATGGCTAAGTCTTGTCGCAGTGATACCTGTAGCCCTTGCTGAAGGTGGGATCCAGGGCTCTTTGAGGGCCTGAGGGTGCGCTAGGGGACTGGACTGCCTCGTGGGTGCCAGGAGTGAGGTGTAGAGGGACAGGGCTTGGTCAGGACGCAGGGGCCGAGGTTGTGGCCTGGCCACGTCCTAGGGTCCCTCCCTGCACCTGCAGCTGTCCTGTGCCCACCACTCTCTCCCTTGAGGAAGCTGGTTCCTACTCCATTTTATAGTCCCAGAAGTTTACGAGTCTTGGTGCATCAGCCCAAAGTTATTGGCGTTGTGTTCTGGGTTTTTTTCTTAGTTTTCAGATTTTTTTTAAACAAAGTATTTTTTTAGGTGCAATAACCCAGAAAGGGCCCGTTGGGTGTATGTGTATGTCCTGAACCCTGACATCGAGATGGCAGCCCGAGCCCCATGGCTCCTCTGCGTTCACGTCTGGAGATGAGGGAAGCCGCCCGCTCCCGGTGCGCCAGAGCCCCTGGGTGTGGGGACGCAGACCCCAGCCCGCAGCGGGCCCAGCCAGGAGGGGCCGGGCCCCTTGCTCCAGTGCAGCCCCAGGCCAGCGGAGGGTCCCGCCTGGGAGGGTCCCGGCTGGGGCTGGGGCCGGAAGCTGAGTCTGAGTGGTGATGCGCCAGTTCTCGGGAGCACGTGGGGGGCTCGACAGATTGTAGCAACACAATCCCGACTTTGTACTCTGTGTCTGTGTCTTGGTTTTCTGTGTTTTAATAAATCCTTTGGGAAAGGATTCAATCAAACTGTTTTCCTAGATTTTCACTGATCTAGGATGGGGATGGGGGCCGGAGGCAGGGAAGGATGTGGTCACTAAAGCCACCTTCCACCTGAGAAAAGGCCCTGACAAGGCTGAGAGGCTCCCTGATAATGGGGCGTGCCCCAAAGGGGATGTGTGTGGGGTGAAGCCTGCCCTCGTCTGCACCCCTAAACACATGCACTGAGCCCCCAGTGACAGCTCAGAGGCCTCCCTGGACCCTGGACCCTCTGTCTTCAAAGGGTACAGCAGCCCCCAAGGAGCCAGCGGTTGGCAACAGAGAATGTGGGTTTGGGGGTGGCTCACCCTGCACCACTTGGGAGAAATGGGGGGGTCTGCCTCTCCCTGAGAGCTCATTTTCTGAACCTACCTTTGGCACCAGGCTCAGGAGTCAGGGGTCCCCAATCTGCCAGTCTCTTCAGGTGGCAGCCACCCCCAGCCCCCTACTGCCACTTCTGCTCCGGCCTGGCTCCTGACCTGGAGCGTCACTCAGCACCCTGGAAATGAGAGGCACTGAGAGCCGTAGACCCCGATGGGCTCGGGTTTTATTTTGTCATTCCATAAATACAATGGCTGTGTCTCGGCTGAGTGTCGTCTGGAAGCTCGGGGCATATGGCCATCTCTGCCTACACAGGGGATGCAGTTAGCTGAGGACCCGCAGTCATTACAAAAGAGAGAAAAACACATCAGGTGTATGTATGACTGGGAGAGGGCAGGGGGCAGGCCTGTTGCTCCCCAGGACCTGGGGTCCGCAGTGGATTTGGGATGGTGGTGGCTCCGTGTGCCAGTGAGGACCGAGCCCACCCCTGCCCCCAGGGCCGGCTTGCTTCCTGCACAGGCCCTCCTGGAGGGGACCCCCAGCCAGCCTCAGCCCACTTGGGGCCCAGGCCACCCCGCTGGGGCCTGCCTCCTCAGTTCTTCCCTTTCTGGGCTGATTGCCTTTGGGCCCCCTTGACCCCCACCCCCCGCACTCCATCGCCCTCTTAAGTCTGGGGACCCTCCTCTGGGAAGCAGAGCTGTCCTTCCTACAAGGAGGTGTGGGACCATAGAGGATGCCCGAGAACCGGGCTACGCACAGCGCCCCTGGGCTGGGAAGCTGCCTGGCTCCTGGCACTGGGCCTTATGGCCTTGCTGGGGCTCGGCCTTCTCATCTCTCGGCAAATGTGTAGTCAACAGGCGTTCAGCCTTCCCAGGTGTGGTTCCCCTTGGGCATCACCGCAAGCCCTGGTCCATCCACCAACAGTGGGCAGGCTGGGGGTGGCAGTGTGGGGAGGCCCGGCCACTCTCCCAGTGAGGGCTGGGCCATCCGGCCTCAGCATGACCGGACTGCCTGGCCCAGGGGACGCAGTCACTGCCTGGGATAGAGGCCAGCCCACTGCAGGGCTGTCCGGAAGTCAGACACTGACCCTTGTGACAGTGGCAGGTGCCACAGGCCTGGGACTTCTGCTGGGACACACTTATTGCCCCCTCCCTGCACCCACAGGGTGAGGCTTGTAGGACACTCGATGGCGAAGACTCCCAGGGACCTGGTTTTCAAGGAGGGGGCCTGTTCTAGACTCCAGGGTCAGCACAAAGGTCAGGAGTGCGGACAGTCATGTCCCCTGCCCCCACCTTTGTGGCTTTCTTAAAGCCAGTTCCCAGGCCTCAGCCCAGCCAGGCTGGACTGCAGGCCCTTTGAGAAGGGCAGGGAGGAGCCTTTCTGAACAGCACCTTCTCCGAGGGGCCACGCAGGGGGCGCTGTGTCTGTGGGGTGAGCGTGAGGGTGTGGGGTGCGCCTGGGGCACACTGGGCCCCCTGGGAGGGGGCTAGTACATTTGTAGAGCCTGGCTCCCGTCCCGACAGAGGCAGCAAAGGCTGGGGTGCCGCAGGAGCTGGGCCTCCGGGCACAGCCCCTTCCCTCCTCCATCCGCAATCTCCAGGTAGGTCTGACAGTTCTGTCTGCCCGGCCCTGCTCCAGGCTGTGGGGCGAGGGGGGGAAGGAGCAACCTCAGCCATCCTGCCCTCGCCACGGTGTGGGGGGTCCTGGGAGGACCACCGTTGCCTGTCACCTCAGTAACCAGCTCTGAGCACTTAGCGCTCTCATATGGGCACCTCACCCTGGCCTGACCTTGCTCACGAGGGTACTGCTCCAGGGTGGGGCTCCTGGGGTCTTTTCCTAGATCGTGGGGCACCACTGCTGAGTGTTCAGGTCCCTAGTCCCCGGGCACGCAGCACGGGACCCCAGGCACCTAAGCATGGCCTCTCTGCAGACCCTAAGGCCACCACCCCTGGCAGGGTGGGGCAGGCTGCCCTGTGCGTGGTCAGCAGCCAGCCCAGCTAAGCACGTACAACCTCGGGGCCTTCTGGGGCAAGGACAGGGTTGGGTCAGCACCTGTCAGGGAGAGTGGGCAGGGCCCTGGAGGGACCTGGCCTGGAGCGCTCCTCAGGCCCCCTCCAAGTGTGTCAGGCTCATCAACTACGGGTGGGGAGGGAGCCGGTGGGCCGATGACCCCCAACTTTCTGTGGGGCCCATGCTGCAGAGCAAATCCCCCTGGCTGCCTGCCCCTGCCAGCAAGGGTGGGGGTGGGGGTCAAGAGACAGCTCAGGAAGCCCCTCAGAGACCCCCTGGGGCAGGCGCCAGTGGTGAAGGGGAAGAATCTGAGGTCAGGACCCTCAGAAAGTACCTGGAGCCCTCGGCAGGAGGGATGTTGAGGGGACCCCAGTGCGGAGGGCCCCCTGAGGTCCGGGTCTGACATCAGGGAGCAGCTCTCTGCAGAGGAGAGGCCAGTTCTGCCCGCCGCCAGCACCCAACCAGTCCGGTCTGACCCGGACTCGGTGGGTCTCCAGGGGGCGAAGGCTGGGCAAGAACATGGCGGCTTCTTCCTGTGGGATGAGCAGGGCAGCAGGCTGGGGAAACGCCTCGAATGTCCTTAATCAAGGCCGTCTTCCCCGCACGAATCTGACACTGGTCCTGCGAAGCAGCGGGGGTGTCTTGCAAGGAATTTTGGGATCTTTGTCCGATGACATCTTGTCACGTTGTTTTCTTTTGGATGCAAAGCACACTCTTGACTTGGCATCAAAATAGCTTAAGCGAGCGGACAGACTGGGAGGGAAACGGAAATGGCCCAGGCAATAGCCTGGCTTCTTAGGATCTGTAGTCCTTTTTGCTGTAGGGTTTATTGCCCAAAATGCTATCGATCTCGTGGATAATGGAAGATGACAGTTTTGGAAGGACCTGTGTGTGAAGACAAGAGCTAATTGGCACTCCACGCCCAGGACTGGCCTGGCCTGCAGAGGCGATGGGCACTGCCCCTCTGGACTCCCGGCGTCCCACCCGCCTCCCAGGCTGCTCTGCCCCCCTCACACCAGGCTCCAGCTGGAACAGATGGCACCACACTGCTTGTGTCTTCCAGAGGGCCTGTCCTGGTTTATACTCTGCCTGTCATACTCTGGAACCTCCTGAAAGGCATAAAATGCAGCCTCCAAAGCCAGGCACCTGCTTTCCACACCCACAAACTGCTTCTCCCAGCTGCCGCCACCTCATCTGACAGAGGGGCAGTGACGGGGATGCAGGGGCTGTCTCTGACCCCATCCCTCGTTTGTCAGCCAGTCCTGTTGTCCAACCTTCCCAAACATGTAGGATCCAACCAGCTCTCCGTCTCTAAACCACTGCCGTCCCTCCCCTAGGACAGTTGTCACTGCCCAGATCTCCTCCCCCTTCTGCCCCCCAAAGCGTTCCCTCCACTCAGCAGCCTGAGGGACCCTTTTAGAATCTAAGGTCACACCCTTCCTCTGCTCGTGGGGGGCTCACCTCCCTCACAGGTCACCAAAGCCCTCGGAGGGCGTGGAGTGCCCTATGGGATCTGTCCCCAGCGTCGAGCGTGTCCCCTGCCCCGGGCCCACTGGCCTCACTGATGTCTTTCAGTTGGCCTGGAATGTTCTTCCCCAGGTATCTGCCTGGCCAGCTCCTCACCCAGCAAGTCTGCTCACATGCCACTTTCTCAGTAAACCAACGCTGACAACCCTCTTCAGCCTGGGCCCGTGGTGCCACCTCCCCTGCCCCCACCAGACTCCCCTGATTGAGCTCTAACACATTTCCTGATTTCATTATTCCACACGTTTAGTCTCACTGTCCCAGCTGGAAGGCAAGCTCCTCAAGAGTGGGGCTCTTTGGGGGCTCACTGATGTGGCCCAGGTGCCCAGAGCAGTGTTGGGCACAGTAGACAGTAGGTGCTGGCACACAGTAGGTGCTCAGTACCTATGTGTTAGGCAGAAAGACAGACATGAGAGGCTGCAGAGAGCATAAAGCCAGGAAAACCCACTAGAAGGAAGCCAAAGAGTCGGCCAGATGAAGCCAGACAGCCAGAGAGGACTCACACTTAGTGAGTCAATCAAAGTTGCAAAGGCCAGGAGTGACGTGGAGTGTCTGGGTATTCCCCAGATGAAAAACAAGTCCCCGGATGAAGAGGAGCATCGGAGCCCGGCCCGTGTCTTCGCTGTGCCGTCAGAGCAGGCCGCCAAGGCCCAGGATGGTCAGTCAGGGACTTCTCTGCCCTGCCCACGAGCTCCGCTGCTCACCCACCTTCAAGGAGGCCCTCCAGTCGGGCGGGAGGTGGGCCAGCGGTCCTGCCACTGTGACATCTACTCAGCCTGCTCTTCTGTCATTTAATCTACATGCTGTTCTTCTTCTTCCAGCCCCTTAATCAGTTGGGTAACTTTGTAACCAGGACAGGAGATAGACCTCTGAGGTGTGAATGAGGCTGTGTGGTTAAAGAATGCCAAGACCCGCATCAACACCTTCACCTAAATAACCCTAGTCTTAAAATGGAACGTCAAGGGATATACGTCATGCCTTATGCTGACTGTAGCCCAAAAGGCCCTACAGAACCCCAAACCCTGAAACATGTAAGTGAGCCTTTCTCTTGCCACATTTCCCTTTCTTTGAGTGTGTACCTTGATTTTTGCCTTAAATAAAGACCTCTTACTGCTCAACTTGCTACGTTTTGTCTCTGCGTCTTGTCACTTTGCTGTTTCATTCTGTTCTGCAGACTTAAGCACAAGTCTTCCCTCTGTCTCTGCCCCACTCCAGATAAGTAGGGAGGGGCTGCTGAGAGCTCTGATCTGGGCCTGCAAGTTCCCGCGCCTGAGAGACGCGACAGGACCGCAGCTGCACGGCCATGCTCTTCAGCAGCCTGCCTGTCTCACCTGAGGCAGCCCCCTCTGTTACTCTATTACAGGGTGCAATGAAATTTACTGTGCTTTCCATCCAACTTCCCTGTGTCTCCACACCAAATTCCTTCCCAACATTATTTGCTAGACAAAGACCGTGAGGGACCCAGCCCCAGACCCACCTGTATAGCTCCAATGTTCTCCATCAGCTGGTCTGCACTGGAGGCGCCCAGGAGCACGGAGCTGACCCCCTCATTTCTCAAGCACCAGGCTGGGGTAGAAGACAGAGGTGAGGGGGGCACCCACTGGGGGCCCTTCCCAGTTTGGCTCTGCTTCTAGGTCATGGGCTCAGGGGATCGAGGGGGCCTGGAGGGGGTGTTGGGGAGCCCTGGGAACAGCTTCCTTGGTGGAGAGGTGGCCCAAGTTCAGGGTCCCCCATCCTCCTCCTGCTCCCCATGGTTGGCTGCTGGAGGGCGTGGCCCAGGCACCCGAGGCCTCCCGACAGGTACCGCGGAGAGGATATCAACGGGACGCTGGCCCCCTGCCCAGCCCGTTACCTATGGCCAGCTGGGGGAGGGTGCAGCCCAGGCGCTCGGCGATGGCCTGCAGCTCCTTCAGCTTGGCCTGCTGGCGCCGGCCCTCCTCGCTCAGGATCTTGTCCTTCAGCCACTGGTAGCCCTGGTCGGGGTGCGGGGAGGACAGCCCACAGGTGAGGGTGGGTCCCCAGATCTCTGTACGTAGACGGCTTATGACTGGTGCCAGGGCAGCATTCCCCTCCTCCCCAGGCCCAACCACGTCCCTCTGGGGCCAGCCTGGGTCCCCGAGCCAGGACAGGGAGGTAGACAACCCGACCTTCCCTTCTCTCAGGAGGCCTGGTGCGTGGGGAAGAGGCCCCCTCACCCCAGCTGCGGGGGAGCGCCTTCCCACCTGCCCCCATCCTCAGAACCGCAGTGCCTCCCAGGGGGTCCAACTCTGCTGTAGGTTGGGGAGGAGTCGGGGTGGCTGAGCCCAGGCTGGGAGCTCCAGTGTAGGACCTGCCCTGGCCTGGGCAGGCCTTTCTCTGCCTGCTCATTGTCACCCAGTCCCTGCAGTCTGGAGAACCTCCTGAGACCCCACTCCAGAGAGGTGTGCCTGGGGTGACAGCTGATGAGGCTCTGCAGCCCCCAGCCTCAGTGATGGGCCAGAGAGAGTGGGGGGTGTCCACCAGGGGGAGGGGCATCCCAGATGGCATGTGTGGACTTAGCCCAGCTTGTGAATGTTGAGCTGAGGTGGGGCTGGGCAGGGGAGTGAAAGGGCTTCCTCCCCGGGGTCATGTCCCAGAAGGTGGGTGGCCCTTCCAGACATGGGGTCAGGCCAGCAGGACCTCTGAGTCCCCCTGGCCCGGAGGCCTGCCACTGGGAAGCCCTGCTCAGCACCGAGGTGGGCTGCCCAAGGCCCCACTGCTCCAAAATGCCCGTCCCTCTGCCAGCTCTGCTGCTCACCCACCTTCAAGGAGGCCCTCGAGTAGGGTGGGATGCCACTGTCGTACTTTCCAGAAACGATGCCGCAGGCCAGAGGGGACCAGGTCATGGCGCCCACTCCTGGGAGAGAAAAGCCAGGCAGGTCAGAACGAGTGCGTGGGGTGGGGGTGGGATGGAGCGGGCGTCGGGGAGGGGCCCACCTATCTTGTGGAAGAGCTCAGGCAGCTGCACCTCCACCTTCTCACGCTGGAACATGTGGTACTCAGCCTGCTCACAGATGGGCGGGATCAGGTTGAACTGCCGGGCCACCGAGTAGGCCTCCTGTGGACGGAAAGTGGGCCAAGGACGGTCGCATCCAGTCAGCGGGTCTGGGGCCACCGGGCAACAGGGAGGAGACTCAAAGGCATCCCAGAAAACAGCTGGCCCTCCTGCCACCCCTGCCCCCCACCCCAGCCCCACTCTCAGCTTCCCTGGGAGCCTGTCAGGCAGCACCCTCTGTGAGTCAGGAAAAGGGGGTGGGTTGTAGGACCCCAAGGCCAAAGGCACCGTGCGGAAAGCACACCCCAGTGGTGAGACATGGGATCTGGTGCTCACTGGCCAGGTGGCCTGGGGCAAGGGTCCTGCTCCTCTGCACTCAGTTTCCCCATCTGTCGTGAGGGTCAGTGAGCCTGCTGTGTTTGCAGCCCTCGGGACAGTCAGCCCGTTGTGCTGTTACTGTTCTTATCATGGTCATTATGCCGGGCCCGGACCTGGGCTGGGCTGTAGCAGAAAGCACAAGGTCAGCTGGGAGAGCAGCTGCACCAGCCCGTTCTGGGACTTGGAGTGCACGGCCTGGACTCCACAGAACCCCCTCCACTCCCCCCGGATGGGCAGGAGCCAGGCTCCAGGGAGCCTTGTGTGCCAGTCCGAGAGGCCCTCTGCCCAGCTTTCAAATCTGTAAAATGGGGTGAGGATGACATCTATTGAGCTCTGCTCCAGGAAAATGCCTGGTGCTCATTATTGCTCCAGACACCAAAGGCTGATTAATACCATGGGCTTCCAGAGTTGTGTTCAACTTGAAAACCCTGTTTATGTTTTTTGATGAAGCAGAAATCAGGGACTCACTGGAGGGGAAACCCCTCCCAGTGATCCTGGGATATGGGGAATTCTGGGGGGATGGGGCACGGTAAGGGGTCTTGTTCTTCAGGTGGGGAAACTGAGGCTCAGAAAGGATAAGCCATTTGTCCAGGGCCACACAGTGCTGGGTGTCAAGCCAAGATCCCCATCCACAAGGCCTGCACACATAACCACCACGCGCCACTATACTGTCCCTCCCCTTGGTACCCAGTAATCCATGCAACGGGACAGCACTGAAGCCCCAGCCCTGGGTGCCTCAGCCCTAGAGCTGGGCACGGAGCCCCTGCTCATGGCTGGCATACAACGAGACGTCACCATACCATGATCTCCATGGAGCTCCAGCGTGACGTGCCCCAGTACATGGCCATCCCCTGGTTAATGACGTGGGTCATGGCGCGCACGGTCTCTGTCATGAGGGAAGGGGAAACTGCAGTTGGGGGTGCAGCTGGGGGCACGGGGCCCAGCCTGGGGACATTCCGCAAATACAGGCAGGGCGCTGTGAGGGAGAGGGGGCTGCACAGACGTCTTGCAAGCAGTATACCTCCTGGCTCTGAAGCCAGGGGTGGCAGGGGTTTTCTGGGATGGCAGGAAAAAGTGAACTGTAATCCAAGAAGTCAGTTTTGAAAACAGTTTCCATGAATAAGTTACAGGTTTTGTGGGATCTTTTAAAAATGAATTATGGATGGACTGTGACACTTCTGTGGTGGACGGGAGGGATGAGGGAGAAGTGAGGTCAAAGATGTGACGCTAGACTCTAGAACTTCCCCAGCTCTCTGGTTGGGGAAGAGCCAGGGCCCCTAACCGTCAGGAAGAACCGGATGAATGGGTTGAGGTCACGGCCAGATTGGCAGAGGGCACAGTCCCTAAGCACAGGTCTCCGGCTTTGGGTGAGTCCAGATGCCCACTGGGGTTTGAGGGACTGGATGGAGAGGTGATGATGGCATCCGTTGGGACAAAGGGCAGGTCAGGGGCCTGGGGAGTCCCAGGCGGAGGGGTTGCTGCAGGGTGGAGCCCCCCTCATGTCTAGGGGAGCCAGAAGGGGACATGGGAGCCCCATTTGGTCCACGCTCTGGCTTCCCAAACCAGCAAGGGACCCTCTCTCCACCTGCATGATGGATTCTGTCTGTACTCAAAAAAGCTTTTGAGGAAAATCTGCCAGTTACAGTTCCCTCCAGGCCTTTCCAGCCCCGTGGGGATATTGTGGTTTTTAAAACAGACTTGGCCTCAGATTTAAAACTGTGCCCGTGTCTCCCGGCTTTGCGGGGAGGCCATGCCACCACGGCCCCATACAGTGCTTGCAAGTCCCTTGCCGAGGGCAGCGTGGGAGGTGGGCTGAAGGGCAAGTGTTTCTACCAACAAAGCAGTGACATGGACCCTGGGAGGCCCCGTCTCTTCCAAGGGGCTCGCTCATCATTTGCCTGTGAGGTGGGGGAGCTGGGGTCCCCGAAGACGGCAGGGGGCCAGCGGGGAGAGCTGGAAGGAAGGAGACCGCTGGATTTGTTCTGGAAGCTCCACCTTGGAGTGGCACAGGCACCTTGTCTAGCAGAGGGAGGCAGCTCTATTATGGGGTGTCACCTCCCCCCCATCCCCATTCCCTGATCACCCCTCTGGCTGCAAGGGCCTGTCTTTCAGTAGAAAGCTACAGTAGCTGGGGCTTCGGAGGTGGAGGCCTTAGCAGGTTCCCATGCCTGCAGGCCAAGCCCTGCGTTCTCCTTCCCTCCAAGGCCATGGCCTGGGCTCCTCTCCGCCCATCCCTGGGAGGAGGGCTGGCAGGGGGCACCCCACCACCGCCAGCGGGCCGCCTGCTCTAATTGCCGGCACCGTTCGACATGAAGCAGAACGGTGCTGGGCCGGAAGGCTTGAGGGTCCCAGGGGGATATCTGCCCACATCTGGACCCCGAGCCCAGGCTCCCAGCCCAGCCACCCTTGGTCAGGTTCTTTAGAAACACTCTGGGGTGCACCTGTGCCCATGCAGTGTAACTGCCCGATTCTTTCAGCCAGGGCTCAGGGCCACATGCCAGAGAGAGGGAAGCAGAGGACAGCCCCGTCCACCAGCCTGGTGCCCACATCCCTCGAGCATAGCTGTGTCCCCAAGAGTGCGGCTGGACAGTGCGCTGCAACGCCCCTTCCATGCACAGGGGCCCCACCGGGCACCACGGACAGGCCGCCAGGGCAAGAGCCTGCAGCTGGCCTCAGAGCCCTCACACGGCAGCAGGGCATTCTGCACTTCTGCCCAAGCCCCAGTCAGTGGCCCCAGAAACAAGGATAATTCGGGGCAACGGTCCTTCTCAATATTTAATGCTATTGAATAGGAGCGGGAGGGCCAATCCTCCCAGTGGCTGCCCAAACCCAGGGCCTCTGCTCCATCGCAAATAATACATGGGAAGGGTCAGGTGGCAGTGCCAGGTGGCAGGCAGCAGCCCAGCTCCCTGGGAGACCAAGCCGTGCCCTTGGTGTGGGGTCCTGGGAGCCCTGAGCTGAGGGGCAGGCAGAGACCAAGCATAGCCACAGGCGCAGGGTTTCGCCAGCTCACGTAGTTATCCTTCAAGGAGGAAAATGATCCCGTTTTGATGGAGAGGCGAGGCCGCATGGCCAGGGGTGAGAGTGGCAGGTGGCCCAACCCACTCAGGGAACATGAGCCCCACGCAGGGCATGTGTACTAACGGGACCAGCGAGGGATGGGACGTCTTGCCGTTGGTGGTTTTTGCTTTGAGGCAGGAGCTCAGCAAATGCCAACTACGGAGGAGATAAGACTTGGGACCACGTGTCCTGGGATCCCCGGTATGTTCACTCCTGTGGGAACCTGCTCTCCCAGCCCGTTCCCACACCATCCCAGGGGTAGGTTTCAGGCGCTGATCTCAGCACCCCCAAATCAAGAGGAGGCCCTGCAGAGAGCCGGCAGACCCCCAAACACCAGGGCAGTGCTAGGCAGGCAGGGACATGCACAGGACAGGAGAATGAAATGACGGCGTGGGCTGGGCACGGTGGGGGTCCACACCGCTTGGCTGTTCCTTCACTGGCCAGGTGTTCTCATAGGGCATTTGGTTTTCTTAGGCGTTTTATGGAGAGGTTTGTCATGGGGGAGATAGTGAGTCATGTAAATAGAAACACTGTCTCATAAAACGCAGCTTGGACACCGAAGTCAATAGTCAGGCCGAGGGTACCGTGTACCTTCTATGATGAACGTCCTTGACTTGGAGGAACTAAATGGGTCCCCTGGTGATAAAAGAAAGATTTAAACAGACCAGAGTTTATAGTTGTGGGGACAGCGAGCGGCATGGCGTGACGAAGGGCAGTGGGAGGGAGGCACAAATCACTTCTCACAGAATACGGTTTGTTAAAGAAAAGCAAACCACAGACAGATACATATATCAACAAATGAAGAAAAAAGAACTCGAACACAACTTAATTTTCCAAGTCCCTGAAGCAGCAAAGCACAAATGAGAAGGTGCGGAAGCAGGGGGTGGGGGAGACGGGAGGGGGCGAGGCCGCGGGACTGGAAAGAGTAGGGGGCACCAAAGAAACCAAAGCCGCTTTTCAAAGCGCCGCGCACTTTGTGAGGGACACTCATCCCCCTGAGCAGAAGACCCCTAGACCTGCCCCAGAGCCGCCACGTGAGGACGTCATTCAGACATGAACAGCCCAGAGGACAGAACATCCCACACAGTTCTAGGCCCGGGGGGGCCTCAGGGCAAGGACAGGAACGCAGCCTGCAGGTGGCGGGGTGCACCTGCTGGGGTCACGGTCAGGCCGAGCTTGGGCCCGCCCCCGCTTGCTCCCCCCACCCGCCTGGCCCTCCTCTGGTGGCTGGCCTTGGTGCTCAGTGGGGGCCCTGTGGCCATCGGGGCCTGGGGTTCAGCAGCTTGCATCATTTTGGAGCCCCGCCTGGTGAGCTGGTGGTTCCAGAGAGAACCTACCTTCCATGGGTGTGTTGGGGTCTGGGCGGTTGGCAAACACCACATCCACATACTCTAGCTGCAGCCGCTCCAAGGAGGCCTTCAGACCTGGGGGGGAGGTGGGGGACACTGTTACCATCTTCACAGACATTTCTGGGCCCTGTGGGTGCAGTTCAGGGAGCAGGGCACGAAAGAGAAGAGGCCCCTGTCACCAGAAGCTGTCACACAGCTGGCGGGGGGACACTGTGTTAGAGAAAAGCCACAATAGAAGTAGGCACACACCCTGGAAGGGGTGGGGGTGGGGTCCACAGGCCAAATGTCCTGTGACTAAGTGACAGGGTCCCACCCTAGACTTCCTGGGGGCCAGCCAGCAACCACGCAGAGGGAGCTGTAGCCGTGTCTATGGTGCCCAAGGCCAGCGGTGCTGAAACACCCAAATGATGAGCCCCACCCATCCCCCTGCCTCATCTCTCACGACTGGAAGGGTCCACCCTGCGGGAGGTGGCGGGGGGAAAGTGGGCCCAGAGCACTGGGTGCCTACAGGCTGGGGCCCTGCGTTGGCTCATGCATGGAGTGAGGTGCTACGTTTTCTTTACTTCTGCATCCACAGGAGGCTGCTGTGGGTTTAGGGGGCCGTGTGGAGTCCCAGGCTCCGCCTCACCTTCTATTATGTGCTTCCTGGAAAGGCCTCTCTCAGTCTCCGCTCTGAAACACAAGCCGACAGCATGTGAGCTGTTGCAAACAGTTTTGGGGAAAATGTTTATGATGCCATGTTAGGCGAAGAAAGTAGGTCAGCGCATGCCACGTGAAGTCTGACTCCATGCACAGCACGAGGCCACAGGGCCACGGGGCTGTGCTCATGTGGGTGCGTCCCTGGCTGGCCTGAGCCAGTGGGGTGGCTGTGGGGCATGGAGTCTTCTGTTTTTCAATTTGCCTTCAATTTGGAGGCTTCTGTTTGGCTTCAAATTTTTTCTAAAAATTAAGAATGAATAGTATTTGTAACTCCTCTGAAGCAGGCTTTGCCCAGAGGAGTTATGGGGCCAGACCTGGAGGCATGCAGGGGTGGTCTGAGGCCCAGGGAAGGTGGAGTGATTTGGACAGTTCACAGATTTTCTGTGTTTTCCATAAGTTTTATGATGTTACTTTTGTAATCAGAAAAAATAAACACACTAAAGTAAAAATAAAGAAGTTTGAGTAAAAGGCGACTCAGCCAGGGCTACTTTTCCGGAACTGAACATCCCTCATGGGGCAGGCAGGCACCCTGGGGCAGACAGCTGCTCAAATGCCAGACCCTCCAGCCCGGCTTTGGACACTGGAGGACACTGCTCTGGGCCCGGGCTCTCCTGGAGGCTGGACGGTCCAGTGCCTAGACAGATGCACTGGATGACTGCCCCTGTGCCAGCCCCCACCCGCCTCCTAAACTGGGGTGTTCACAAATCGCAGGGCCATGGCCGCTGGGCCTGACCACTGGCCAGGAGCACCACCCAGGGCTGCACCTACTTTCCTCCCCAGAAGATCTTTGTGGTGATGACGAGGCTGGATCGTCTGTGGAACAGAAAAGGAGTGTGTTATTGGGGTGGTCCTCCCAACACCCTGCTCATCTGGGGCCTGCAAAGGGGTGCTTCTTTACCACTCCACCTGGAAGCAACTGACTAACAGAGGATGCAACTACCTAACCACTTGCATGCAACTAACTGCATACATGCAACTAACCACATGGATGCAACTAACTAACCACATGCATGGAACTAACTAACCACATGGATGCAACAGTGTAACCATGTAACTCTAAGTCAAGCAGTGTGGAGGCAGATTGAGTCAGAGGAGGAGACTGATTCAGGAGAGGGTGTAGTGGGGCAGGGGCATGGCTCAGGGGACAGCAAGGCCACCGCCCCAGTGGATCATGTCGGGGGAGGAGGCAGGTAGAGGGTGGGGTGAGAGCAGGCTGACGAGGGGGGAGGTTGTACAGGGCTGGGGCAGAGGGGGAGGTGTCTCTGGAGAGGACACCAGGAGGTTAAGGGCTGGGCAGTCTGGCCCCTCCCTTCAGGCCAGACTATGTCTCCGAGAAGCTGTGCGTGGGCTGGCTCTGGGGTTCCTGGAGCCACTGAGGGAGGGAGAAGTTGGGGGCAGATCCCTGGGTTGTGAGGGGGCAGAGCGGTGGGCTGGCGCTTGGGCAGCAAAAACCCCAGGGAAGGGACTGGGTTCCGGTCCTTGAATTCCCAAGAAGCTGATGCTGACACCAGTGAGACTGGGGCATAGATGATCCCTTCCCGGCCACATCTGACCTTCACCCTTCCCAAGGGAGTGTGACAGTGGCCCCCTGGTTGTGTTTTCTTCCCACCCAGGGGGAGGGCTCAGAAGCTGGGGCACCCACAAGTGTCACCTCCAAGCAGGAGCAATGACCTCATACATATCTCCCCGAAGTCACCTAAGATGTAATTGGGCTTTGCTAATATGGGCAGTTTCCTTTAATTAGACTGGGAGGAATTTATTTGGGGATCAATTAGAAGGAGCTAATTTGGAGAGGCAAGAGGAGGCGTGTCAGCCCCCCTCTGGGGCTGGGGGGTTCTGGGTGGCCCTCTCGAGGGGAGGGGGAGGGGTGCCCAGCTCTGCGACGGCGCTGATGGTTCTGAAAATAAAGACACAGGGGCCCCAAGGGGCCCCTAAAGTGAGGTCCAGCGCTCAGCTGGGTCTGTCCTGAGGAGGGTGGGGACTCTGGGGACATAGGGGATGCTGTGGGGATCAGTGTGAGAGCTGCCACTTCCCAGGGGAGCCTGACATCTGCCCTGGGCTCCGGGCAGCCCTGCCAGGGCAGTGAGACGCTCACCCAGTGAGATGAACGGGCAGGTTGGATGTGGATTCCAGCCCGGGGTATCTGCTCCCCTCTCCCCTGTGGCAACCCGGCGGCCCAGCCCTCTGAGTCCCTGCACCGGCAAGCTGGGCCAGAGGCGGAGGGGGCAGAGTTCGGGGCCAAGGGCCTCCGTGTGACTCCCCTCTCCAGCAGGGCCTTCTGGCCGGGAGAACTGAATCTGGCACTCCACTTGGCCACTCAGCAGACCCCACCCCACCATAGCCTTGCCCCTGGTGGCCACCTGTATGATGTGAACACTCCCTCCCTTGGGGGAAGTACAGGCTGCCTCCGTTCTGGGACATTTTGCCCCTCCCAGGGAGAAAAATTCTGGGACTTTCAGGCCTTAGAAAGCTTGGCTGTCTGTCTGAGGGCTGATGGGCCAAGTCTGGGGGCTCCGTTGGCAAACAGAAATGAACAGCAACGGGTCCTAAGCCCATGTTTGTCCTGGGTGACCCGCCAGCCCACCCAGGACCCAGCGCCTATCCGCCCGTCACAGTACCCTCGCCCCCCCTGGCCTGCCCAGCTCTTCCTGGTGGGTACCCCGGCCGCGGCCTACGGAGCGCAGAGCCCTCACCTCCAGCCCTTCTTCTTAATGACGCTCCCCAGGACCACTTCCGCCCTGCAGAGAAGACCAAGACGTGGGGTTTCATTGCAGCACAGTGGAAACATCAAACCCACCCTGTGGTGACAATGGGCCCTTGGGTGCCTCAGCCAGGCACTTCACGCCTGCCTTGGCTCGGGTGGCTCATTCCAGGGAGAGGAGAGGGCCTGGGAGTGGATGGGTTGTCCCCTCAAGGTGGCTGTGGGCTGTGGCCCTGCGGCTCCTCAGGGAACGAACAAGACATGCCCTGCTCAGCAGGCCAGAGGCATCCTGCTTCCCTGGCCCGCTGGAAATTCACCCGGGGAGCATCTGGCAACATTGTGTGAGTGAAGTTTCCTGACAACTGCATTTTTCAAAAGGTTAACCGTTCATCAAATGCATCCTCTGTTTTCAGAGACAATCAACACGTACTCAGGGCCAGGAGCTGGATTCCCAGCGGAATGCGTGGGTGCACAGCATACACCCGAGGGTGAGGGTGGCCTTCCTGTGTGTTGCCTTTTAACAACAGACAGACAGATGATATGCTGACCGCTGTCTGTCCTTTTTAGCGTCACTCTGGGCCCTGCAGCAAACTGGGGCCAGCCAGGGTCGCGGGGGGCTCTCCCAGCCTCTCTGGGCACTGCAGCGCTCTATTGACTTGTAAGAACTTTCCGAGTGGAGAAAAATGTTTCTGAGCAGAAAACAGCAGACAGAGAACATACCCAGTGCTGTTTCCCAGTTATAAAAGCGCCTGAGTCATCAGCTCAAAAATAACGGGCTCTGACTGGCAAGTTGCTCAGCATATATTCTGAATGCTCTTCGTTTACCGCCAAGACACACAGAGATGCACTCAGCTCTGGGCCTCTCCCTTTCACTCCTTGGCGCTTCATTCCCAGGACGAAGCATCAGGAAGGCAGAAAGCAAGCGGTGGTCCTGGGACGACAGACGCTATAGACAATGAGTCAACCGAACCCTGTGGCTTGTAGCTGTGGTGGCTGTGAATCGGTAAGGCTGACATCTGTCCAGGGGGCACAGAAATATTGCAGCAGTCCGGGAAGTGCCCCCATTCGCTGCAGCATGAGAAGCAGGGGGACTCAACAAGACATGCATTCGGCAGTCTGGCTGGTGAGGGGCCATGCCTGACCCACCACCCGCCGGAGCTGCCTGGCAGCCCTTTGCCTAGAGCACTGTGTCCCGGCCTGTCCTGACACACAGTGCCCCATTTCCGCAGGTGGGCAGCTACTGGCACTGAGGTCCGAAGAGGGGCAAGGGGGCAGGTCATCTCTGGGCTGCACTGAGAAGGAGCTGCAGGGGCCAGCGGAGGAGGGCAGGGCAGGGTGATGGCAGGGGGCTCCAGGGCCACAGTGGCTCACAGGGAGTTGCTCCAAGTCTTCAGCTTCTGGCAAGGGGCTTCCGAGAGGCATCGAGGCTGCCCAGGAGCCAGTGTGCTTGCCCTGGCAAAGCAGCCCTTGGTGCCCAGTTAAGCAGGAGCAAGGGAAGAAGACAACAGACATGCAGAGTGTGGCTGCTGTGAAACGGAGATGCCGGTCACACAAAGGAGCGGGGCGCTCTGGAGCGGGAGGGGGTGCGTGGAGCTGCCCCGGCACGTTCTCCTGGACGGCAGAGACAAGGCAGGAGCAGGCCAGGGAACAGGCTCGGGGGCTTGGGCCAGGGAGCGTCTGTGGGCTTGGCACGGGCACTGGGCTTTTCCACCTCTGACCCTTCGGCTTAGCTCAGCTCTCTGGAAAGCACTTCACCTTGATGGGACGCGGCTGCCTGTTTGGAGGGATCTGGCGGTGGGTTGCGGCATCCAGCAGGGCAGAGGGCTGCTGACTGGGGCTGGAGGTTTGAGGGTCCCAGTGGACACCTTGGGGTGTCAGATTCTCAGGCCCTAGGTGGGGACTTGAGCTGGGCTCCCGATTCTCAGCACTCTAGGCCCCGTTGCAGGCAGCAGGTGATGACCCAGAACTGTGCTGGGCAGGTGCTGGCCCCGCGGTTGCCGGGCACAACTCGCCAGGCTGCTGCCAGCCCAGCTGATGGGGACTTGGCTCGCCCCAGGCAGCAGGACCAGAGGGAGGGCGCACAGAGCCGGCGGAAGACTTCACAAACAAAAGCTGACTTTTGGAAACCCTACGCGGGAGAGTGGATGATTTGATTACAGCCAGTCTTTAAAACTGAAGCCAGCGGCCTTGGTGAAGAGGGCTTTTACATAATTGAGTAGGAAGCTCACTGCCAAGATGGGAAGTGCTTCCTAGAGCGCGGGCTCTCCAGCTCCCCTGTGCTGTTCCCTGCAGCCCTCGGGGCACCACTAAGACGTGAAAATGCCAGGTGCGTGGGTTTGCCGCGGGTCGCAGGCACGGAGGACGACAGCTTAGCCATGACTGTCACCCAGCAGAGCATCTTCGGTGCTGCATGGTAGCGGTGGTCTCCGTGGTGCCTGGACACACAGAAGCTGAGCAAGTGGCCAGTGCCAAGTGTCCTGTGATTTTGGCCCCATGAAAATACCCCCGAAAGCCATTTCTAGCTCAGAAAGGTCGGCAGCCGTGGGTGGCGCCGCTGTGAACCTGCTCGGGAACCAGCGGGGCAGGAGCACCAGCAGCTCCCACCCTCCCAGGGCGCTGCGGCCTGCACCACCCACTCCCCAAGAGACAAGGCACGTACTTGCCCGCCGCGTAGACTTCTGCGGTATCGAAGAGGTTGATGCCATTGTCGTAGGCCAAGGTCATTAGCTGCTCTGCCATCTGAAACGAGAACCCATGGCTGCTCTTGGGCACTGTCCTGCCGGCCCAGGGGGGGTGCCTGGAGGCTCCAGCTCTCGACTTGGGAGGACCCTGTGTCCAGGCCTTGCACCCAGGGCCCCTCTCATCCCCTCCTGCTGCAGGACAGGCAAACAGGCAGCTCTCAGTAATGGACCCACAGAGAAGAAAGAAGACAAAGCTAATGAAGACACAGCATACAGACTGAATTTCTTTTAAGCAGGGACTCCATCTGTTGGATCGTCAAGGGCCCAGCACCTATACTAGGTTGAACAGTGTCCCACCCCATATTTATGTCCGCCCAGAACTCAGAATGTAAGGAAATGGGGTCAGTGCAGACGTGATTAGTTAAGGTGGGGCCACACTGCACTGAGGTGGTCCCTAAATCCATAGGAGTGGTGTCCTTATCAGAACAGACATGCACACACAGGCAGGGGTCATGTGAAGACGGGGAAGAGACTGGGGTGACATGTCCACCATCCAAGGAGCACCGGTGCCAGCGGGGCTCACGGAGGCCTGGAACGGCCCTGCCTTCAGAGCCTCGGAAGGAGTGGGGCCCTGCCAACACCTAGATTTTGCATTTCTGTCAGAGAATAAACTGCTGTTGTTTTAAGCCACTCCGTTTGTGGGACTTTGTCACGGCGGGCCCAGGAAATAGCACAGCATCCGACAGGAGCACAGGCGCGTTTGGCAGAAGGAATACTCTCTAAAACTCTGGCTGGGAGTGTCCTGTGGTCCCACCCCCAAATCCTTCCCAGCAGCTGCGTGAAGATGAGGACGGTGTCATTGTTTGCAGATGGAGACACCGCTGTCCCCAGCTAGCACCCTGTCCTCCGCTGGCTTCTCCAGTGCCCCACAGGCAGGGGCTGAGGAGTGGGTCCCGGTCTGAACACACCACCGACCAGGCTTTGCCCCCCAGGCTGCTGTAAGGATGAGTTAACGCTCCACACTGACTGGTAGTGGGGGCAAGGGTCAAGGAGCTGGCGGAAGCCCGCCTGCAGCTGACAGCCCCCTCTGAGATGCCATAGAGAAGGGGCCCCCGAACTCTGGGGTCCTCTGGACAGTGCAGGTGACCCTGAGTGTCCCCAGGGCAAACTCCCTGCCCCCACTTCTCAGAGCTCAGCTCCAAGCACCATGCCTCCCTCCCCAGCTAGCCCAGGGGATGTAGCCCTCAAACACCGTAGGGCTGAAGGCCAGCCTGGCGGGCAGTCGCGATCTTCTCGATGCTGAACTCAGAGTCCTCTGAGGCCAGGCAGGTATTGGTGCCTATGAGGATCACAGATGGCAGGAGGGGGTACATGCCCAAGAGCTGCCTGTGGGAAGGTGGCCTGGCGGGGCCAGATCCCTTGATTTTTCAAGAGAAGCCAGAAATCCAGGGTATTCTGGAAGTGGTAATAATCTTCTGATTTTCAGATGTTGGCAATGAGCCCCAAAGATTTCCGATACCAAGCAGGCCAAAGCTGGTCCATTAGCTGCTGTTGTCTGAGTCAGAAAGCCCAGGCAGGGGCTGTAGGGCCAGATGGCAGATGACTGTCCCTGACCCGCACAGGGCTGGCCGGCTCCTCTCCTCCCTCCCGTTGGGCGCTGGGCACAAGAACAACTGTACCCAGTGCGTGGAGGCTCCTCTCCTCCTCCTGGGCACCTTGCTCCGTCTCCGGGCTCCTTTCTTCCGTCTCCAAGGCTCCAGGCTCACGAGGCTCCTTCTCTGGTTCATCCTTGCCTCCATACTGACTTTTCTGGGATGCATCCCACCCAGCCGCTGAGCTCAGCACAGGAGAGCGCTGGGTGCTGGGCCCTGAAGGGGCCTACAGACAGTGTGGGGGTGCCCACTGCCTCCTGGGGAGGGTTGTGAGTCGAGGTGGGGCAGGGCTGGGCTTTTATTTCCATATTTCAGACCCCATGTAGTTCCTTACTCCCCCGTCTTGCTTACAAGGAGTGTAGCACACCTTCTATGCTCGGCTTTTTTCACTTAACATCCTGGAAATCAACCCGTATCAGTTCTTGGAGATCTTTGGTTTTTTAAATTTTATTCTATTAAAAAAAAAAACTTGGTAAAATATACACTGCCTGAAAGTTGCTGTGTTGCCGTGTTGAAGCATCCACTTTAGTGGCATTAGGCACATTCACGTGGCTGTGCAGTCGTCCCCACCACCCGCTGCCAGAACCTTTTCATCTTCCTAAACTGAGCTCTGTCCGCATTCCTTTCCCACCTCCTGTCTCTTGAGTTTGACTCCTCCAGGGACTGCACAGAGTTCGTCCTTTGTGACTGGCTTACTTATTTCACTTAGAATGATGCCCCCAACGTTCCTCCATGGGGTAGCATGTGTCAGAATTTATGGGCGGGTTTTGAAGGGTGGTTAGGAGTCTGTCAGGTGGGGAGACTGGGTGGAGCTGGGGACCTTGCAGGCAGAGGGGCTGGTGTGCTGGTGGGGCGGGCTGCCACACCTTCGGGATTCCCATGGTGTGCTTGGGTCAGACACCTGGAGCCCTCCTTCCTCCACCCTTCTCTCACCTCAGCATGAAAACCTTCAGCCTACCCTGTCAGCTGCCTGCCCCAGAGTCTGACATCTCCTGCCCACCTCCCCTGCGCCCACCTGGTCCAAGCTGGGCAACTGCAGCTGGGCTTCTATGGCAGCCTCTAACCCTCTCTGTCCTGTCCTCGTTGCTGACACCCTAGCCAGGCAAAGCGTGCTTCCAGGCCCTCCCCACACCTATTGCATCAGAATCTACATTTTAACTGGACCTCCAGGGAATCTGTGCAAACACCACAACCTGAGAAGCACCCCCCCAGATGGGCCATCCTCAGCCCAGCAGCCCCAGCCGGAGGGAGCCTTGTAAGAGTTAATTTAAGTTAAATTTCCTCTTTGATAGAACCCTCCAGGGGCCTGCCATGGGTGTCTGAGCCAAAGTCCCCACTAGACCTGCTCCTTCCCCTCTGACCCCATGTTTTGACCAACTCTGCTCAAGGGTCACAGAGCCGGGCACACGCTGTCCCTTGGCCTGGCATGCGTTCCACATGATCTTGTGGCCCGCACACTTCCACCTTCCCTGGCCACCCTGCATAAAAGGCCCCCAGTCCTCCTGTCTGTCTTCTCTCTGCTCCACTAAACCATGGCTCCCTGAAGGTATCAGGTCCCTGGCATCTGCGAAAATGTCACCTTAGGTAGAAAAAGGGCCTTTACACATGTGATTAAATTAAGGGTGTTGAGATGTGGAGATTATCCTGGATTTCCAGGTGGACCCTAATGCCACCACCAATGTCCTTAAAGAGGGAGGCGGCGAGAGACGAAACATGGGCAGGAGAGAAGGGAATGTGGCCGCAGCAGCAGAGACAGGAATGACGTAGCTGGAACTGAGGATTCCCAGCCACCACCAGAGGCTGCGGGGATGAAGAAGGGTCCCCCCCTTGGGCCTGAGACACCTGGATTTGAGCTCAGGGACACTGACTTTGGACTTTTGGCCTCCAAGGCTGGGAGAATAAATTTCTGATGTTTGAAACCCACAAAGCTGATGGTTGTTTGCTGCAGAAGCCCCAGGACACCGAGCACCCTACACTGCCCCTTCACCCCTCGGGGATGAGGCGTGCTGACCGCCCCTCTCCACAGAGAGCGCAGTCCGAGGGCCGGGACCTGGCGCTCAGCAGGCGCTCAGCAGGCATGCACTGGGCGGCGAGCGTCCTCTAGCTGCTCTGGGGGCCTCCAGACCAGGCCTCCACCTCCTCGTTGCCCCATCCTCTCCTTGCTCTGCTCTGCCCGCTCAGGGAGGCATGCTGTCCTCCTGGTCATGGAGAAGGAACCAAGGGCCTCGTGGCCTGGCGGTAGATCGTGGGCCTGTGAACACACCTAGTTCCCCGTGGAGGAGAGAAGCTGGCGAATCTGCCGAAAGCAGGCCTCGGAGGCCCCGGCAGAGCCTGGGAGGTGGCAGCAGGCTCTGACCCAGAGGCAGCCCTCCTCATCTCACCTGTCTCTCAGCAGAGAGACATAAGCACAGTCCTCATTACCAAGGACAGCGCCTTGGGCTAGAGGGAGAATGGGGCCATTGGAATTTCAGGCCTGTGCAGTTCGTTCTTTTTCCACTGCTAGGACTTTGGTGTAATCCTCCTTCCAGGCTTCTCCGCAGGAATATTCACGTTTCCTGGTGCCCCTGCCAGGCTACCACACAGACGGCTGTGCGCATGCACTCTCAGGGTCTGTCCCCAGGTCATCCTTCAAAACGTGGCTTCTAAAGACTTCTGCCCTGTGGTGCAAACTGCTTTCTGTAATGGAGTCTTTGTTTTGTGACTCTGGTTATTTCCAATGTCAGAGAACCAGAAACTAAAGACAGAAGGAATCTGAGGACCGCCTCCCTGTCATGTCCCCAACCCCGGAGACAGAATCCATCCCTCCCCAGTCCGGGTACCCCAGAGCTGAGAGCTGGCTGTGAGCTCTGAGACAAGGGTGCAGGCTGGGGTCCCCCTTCACCTCCCTTCAGGTGGGCCTCGGGCACCTGCTCAGTGTCCCTGGCTCTGCGGGAGTAACGCCGCCCGGCTCCCTGGGTTGACAGAGGATTGGGGGCTGTGATACATGTAAAATTCTTAGCCACTATTGAGATTTTTATGCCCAGGCTGCCTTGAACATGTGCTCTTTAGAGGTGTTTTCTACCTGAGCAGCTGTGGGAGGCCACAGAAAGGGCCCTGAGCGAGAGGTTGGAAACCTGACTGCCCAAGGCAGTTCTGATACTTGGCCACGTGATCTCAGGTTCACTAACACGTTCCGCTCTGCCCGGCCCACTGCAGCCCCAGAGATACTTGCAGACAGCTACTGAGACCCCATGGGATGGGGGGTCCAGGGGACACAAACCTTTGCTGTAAAGGGCCAGAGAGTAAATATTTTAGCCTTTGCGGGCCACATGGTTTCTGTGGCAACTGCTCGACTCCGCCTTTGTATCGCTGAGGCAGCCGCAGACAGTATGCAAACAAACAGACATGGCTGCCTGCCAATAAAACTTTATTTACAAAAACGGGCTGCAGAATTCAGCGAGGCAGAGTAGATGAGTGGTTACCAGGGGCTGGGGAGTTACTGCTTAACGGTACAGTTTCTGTTTGGGGTGATAAAAATTTTGGGAAATAAATGTGGTGATGGTTACACAGCCAAGTGAATGTACTTGATGCCATTGAAAATGGGGAACATGAGAAACGTTACGCTATGCATATTTAACCACAATAAAAAATGGTGAATGTGGCAAATTTTATGTTTCATATATTTAATTTCAAAAAAAAGAAAGAAAGGAAAGGAAAAGAAAAAACTAGGCTGGGGGCCTGATTCGGCCTGCAGGCTGTGTTGCTTGCTGCCTGTCTCAGAGTCCTGCCACGGAACACCCCTGTGCCACAGTAAACCCACCTCGTTTGTGTCTCCCTGGCCTCTGGTCATGGTGCCTGCACGTAGGAGGCAGCTCTAGAGACAGGACCCTGTTTCTGGATTCCTCGGCATGTCAAGTGCCTTTCTTTGGACAAGGGTTTAGCAAGAAATCTGGTGCTCCAGACGGGGCCACCTATCCGGAAGGCCCAGTGGACCCGTGGCCTCCCTGGGTTCAGGCAGCACACGTGTTCCTCGGCAGCCCAGGATGGTCCTTGATTCTGGGTGGCGCCAACCATGCCGGCTCAGACTGAGCAGGCAGCCAGCTACAGAATAAAAGCCCGGCATTTCTCCTCTGCACTGTGGAGAGGTGGGCCCCCCCAAGACTTGGTGTATTGATTTTTTTGGACACCAACTGTAGGATTTAATACAAGAATTCTGCTTGCTTCTTCACTCAATCATTTTTACCTGGCAGGACCCTTTAGAACCCAGAATCTATCACCTGTTATAACCATTGTCGTCCCAGCTTTGTGTCATCTGGAAATGACTTACAATATCGTCACACATGTCACTATGTCCCTGATGGAGACATGGTAGAGGCGGAGCCAGCCAAGGCTGCCATCAGATCACTAATCAATTCTCTTTGGAGGCGAAGGGTCTGTTGGTCACCTAATTGGATGGTTACCATCCAGCCACTTGTCTGTATTCTTCCCACAATGACAGCACACACAGGGTAGCTAATGACTTTTAGTAATGATGTCACACTTCTCCACAGAATTCTCAGAAGGGGAACAGGCGGGTCAGACGTGACCTCGCACCACATGGGCTCCAGGGCCCCGGCCTTCTATGCATATCACTCAGGACCAAGCTGGTGGCTGAAGGTGAGACAATTCCCTGCACCACAACATCTCCTGACTTTACCCTGAGACAGCCCGGGCCTAGCACCTCAATGCAAGGGCAAGTATCTCAATAACTGGCTACTGTCATAAAAAGAAAAAGGAACAGAAGCATCTAGAATTAAATGCATTTAGATTTGATGGAAGCAAGGCTCTTCCTTTGAAAACTAACTGAGCAATCACAGCTGACAGGCCTGAAGCGAACTCGTTAACTTTTAAGTGCAACGTTTCCCACCGTAAGTGGGGCAGACACGCAGAACTCCCGGCAATGCCACGGTACTCATTCCCAGGACAGTTGCTCCCTGCCCACAGGCGCACACCAGCCTGGGCATGCACCATCCTCTCCAGGACAGACCCGGGGATGCTGGCAGCATGGGACCCCCAGTGTGAGGAGAGAAGCCCCAGCAGGTACTTTCTGGTAACCCTGGGAAACGGGCCATTAGGAGCTTGTAGATGTGAATTTAATGTCTTCAGCTTGCTGCAAAATTTGCAGAATCTGCATTTTAAATGAACTCAACAGATATTTATCAAAGTTTCACATTCACGTGGCCATACTCTGGAGGAGCAGCTTAGAAACTGCACAGGGCTTTGTAATTTGGAAAATGTGCACTCCCTGAATTTTCCTGGCTGACGGCAGAACAGGTGTCATGCAGGTGAGCAACCTGAGTTTTGGGCCTTTAGGGGACATGCTGAAGCCCCAACACCCACAGTTGCCCCAGCCTCTATCTCCTTTTGCCACTGCAGCTGAGGCCCACCCTTCCCGGTGTTCCAGAGGGCAGGGCAGCCTTGAGGAACAGGAAGGACACGCAGCAGCTGCTGTGTGCGCCGGCTCACAGGTTCATGCGGCTGCCTTTACTGCATGCCCTGGCGTGGGCAGCCCTTGCTGGGACCTGGGGGGGCCCGAGGGGACCCGGCCTTACCTCATCGGTGATCTGGCCTCCGAAGGTCACCCATGTTCCTGGAAGGAGACACACAAACTCAAGTCAGCGGACCTCCCCAGGGAGCCTGACTTCCCTGGGGTGCTCGGACCTCAGGCTGCAGGGGTCAGGGCAGCCATAGGACATGCTGGGCATGTCCTCAGCATGTGTAGACACCTGGCCTTCAGGGAAATTCTCTCTCTTCAGGGGCCGCCGAACCAAGTGGACATTAGACAGGCAGTCAGCTGCAGGCCCTTGGAATGCTCTTTGGGGCTCAAGCTGAAGCTGCTCCTCTATTCCAGGGACATGCTGCAGGGTGCCTGACGAGGGACTGCTCCCTGAGACCTGGCCAGGTCTCAGTCACATCCTGGCTGTGTGGGTGGGAGGCACCGTGCACACCGGGCGGTACAGGGACAGCACCACTTGGGAACAGGTAAAGAAGAAAGGGTCAATCCAAATGCCCTTTCTGAGGGCGCTGCCAGGGAGAGAAGCCACCCTCCAGGCATGTGTGGGTTCAGAGCGCTCTCTGATTTTCTGGTGTGGGGCGGGGTGTGTGTGCAAAGGGCCCCTGGTCTTGCCTCGCTTCCCCTGCTGAGGCTGTATTTCCAGCTCCGTCCCTCTCCTAGGGTCTCCTCTTCCTGGTTACCATGGCAGCTGAGCCCCCCGCCAATCCTGGCTCTGGGTGCCACCTACCCCCCACCCCCGCAGCCTCTGCTTCCCTGGGTGGCGCTGGACCAAAGGGCGCCCACACTCACCAAGCCCCAGGCAGGAGACCCGCAGGCCTGACTTGCCCAGGTTCCTGGAAAACAAACGTGGTGTGAGTTCTTGGTGGCCGGACAGTGCTGCCAGTCAGTGCCCTCAGTTCCCGGTGCCCGGCCCTCCCCACCCCTTCAGCCCAGTCAACACATCTTCTGAAGCTCTGAAGGCCTTTGGAGAGCAGCCTCTGCTCTCTGGCGGCCCCTGGCATAAAGGGCCAGCTGTCCACCCACACACCAGACGGCCACGTTGCTGGGACACGCCATGCTGGTACCACGGTGTGGCCTGGGAGCCACCTCAGAGAGAGAACAGTGGGATGGACGCTGTCGTGTTTCAGGGGTTTGAAACAAGATTAACTCAGGCTTAGGGGGCCCGGCCACAGGGTGTTTCCACGTTGGAAGCTTCTCTTTCTTCAGAGTGTCACGTTTGTGATTTTGTGTATCCTGGCTCCCTCTGTCTGGAGGTCAAAGCAAAAGTTAATCACCTGTCACCTGGGGCTATCGGCCCAGTCCCACTGCAGTAGGAATGGGGGCAGATGGCTGCTCCGTGGTGGGTGTGTCTCCAGCCCCCATGGTGACCCACCTCCAGGGCAGCATACATCCTGACCAGGCCTGGGGGCCACAGCAGCAGGGCCACCCAGGACTCCATCATGGGCCACCAAGGCGCCTCCCAGGGTCCCCATGAATGGGCTGTGGGGCAAGTAGGGTGGCAGCACCCTGACGACCGGGATGTCTGTCTGTCCTGGCACAGGCTGGCTAGAGCTGCGGGGACAGCAGCCAGCAGGGTGGTTCTCAAACATCCTGTCACCGATTTCCCCGACAGCTCTGTGGGGGTAGGCGCCGTCCTTTTTGTGATGTTCCCATTTTACGGGAGAGCACACTAGACCTGCCCAGGAGTGCCGGGGCGGCAGTTCCACCAGGCGGTCGGCTCTGAACCCTCCCCACCATGGTGGCATTCCTCCCCCATTTATGGGGGACACAGGATGTGAGTTGCTCAGACAGTGAAATTTACAAGTGGCATGGTGGGAATCCACTCCCTTATGGAACTACCTCTGGCATCGCAGTCCTAGGAAATCAAATTTTGAGAGCCAGAGAGGGCTCCCTGGCATTTCCCTGGGGCCACCCCCACTTAAAACTTCAGTGGGTGTTGGGCCCCCAGTTTCTCCACTCAAACCCACCCCTCTGGAAAGCTGGCATGGGGCTTGAGCCAGACCCATCCCTCTCTGACAGGGGCCCACTTTGACCCTCTGCAGCCTTGGTTTCCCTGCAAGATTCCTGGGCCCCACCCATATTACAGGGCTCGTGGATGTAACAGACTTGTAAGCAGTTTGCAAAGTTTGATGTGTTGCCAAATTTAAGGCAGTTCTAGATCACCCCGCTTGTTTTTCAAATTTCCCATTAAGGTCAGCCCAGCTGCTGGCCTGCTGTCCCTACAGGGAGTGCTGGGGCTTTTCCCTAAACGTGTAGGTAAGAACAGCTGGTTTCCCCTTTAGGGTGGGGAGCGGGTTGGGGCAGAGGCTCTGAAGCCAGGGCTCACGTCCTGGCTCCTCCTTTCTAGCTGTATACGCTGGGCTTGTTAGGTGACTGCCCAGGGCCTCAGTGTGCCCATCAGCAGGATGGGCTCGCAGTGCTGCTGCTCTCAATGGGGCTGCCATAAAAACAGAAATGAGATCACACGTGCACCTGAGCGCATTGTTACAGAACATTGAATCGGCATGTGTCTCGTTTCCCAGAGAGACAGACAGCTCAGAACACGGATGGAGGCCTTGCTTCTTCTGTGAGAAACTGCCAGCATTGCCTGTATGTTCCAACCCACAGCAACTTGCCCTGGGAACTGCTAGAAAAAAACGTGCAATGTGTAACTCTGTGCTGTGTGTAGCTTAACTGATGGTGGGAATCATTTCAGAATATATACATGCATCAAACATTACATTGTACATCTTCAACTTATACGATGGTGTAAGTCAATTATATTTCAGTAAAACTGGGAAGGATACTTAGAATATTCTTGATGTAGCTTCAAATTCGCTATTAGAGATTTATAATATACCATGTGTAGGAAATCTAAGGGCTGAGTAGTTAAGGACACTATTCAGAAGTTTTCTTTCATGCTTAGAGCATGTTTGAATTGATGTTGCTTGCTAAGTCGAAAGTTAGTTTATGCTCTGTTGTGTTGAAATAAATTAGCATTAAAGTAATTAAAAAAAAAGACAGACCCAACTAAGTCATCTATAGACCCTGTGTCAAGCCAGGTCTACTTAACGGCTTAGGTAATTTTTCCCACACCACCTAGGAAGTGATGAGAAATTAGAATGTTGTTTATAAGCCTAGCCTGGTAATGCAGCCGAAAGGATTGAAGGTTCTGATCAGTGGTTCTTAATTGTTCAGGCATAGACCCCGTTGAGAAATGAATAAAGGCTATAGATCCCTCCTTAGAAGTGAGCATGGACAGGAAACCCTCAGAACCTTGTGTGCAGTGCCTGGGGTTCACAGAGCCCCTGAGCACCTGGTCTGCATTAATCCAGGTGCTAGAAGGGAGGCTGGGCCCCTATCTGCAAATCCAGCCCGGCTTGTGGCCTTGGGGGGGCCGCTTTCTTGGCCAGGCTCTGTGGAGCGCCAAGTTCCAGGTGTGGTGGCCTCCTAAAACTCCCCTTTTATCAGCATGGCCTTCTACCCAATGCCAGGGCATGCTGGGTGTTCAGGGGGACGGGGTGCTTTAGCAACAGGCAGGGGCACAGAGCACTGGGCCGAGCCCTCCTATATCTGTGGCTGAGGGGGTGCCACCCTTTGCCCACCAGGCAGGCCCAAAGTTTCCCTGTGCCAGGGTGGGGATCCAGGGCGTGTGGCTCTCCGGCTTCTCACCCACCACCCACAGGAGTTACTAACAAAACTAGGACACCGTGTGATGCTGTAACTGCCCCGCCAAGTTGTCTCCGCATTAGAATGACGGTATTAGTTCTGCCATCCTTGCCAGGCCTCAGGAGAAGGAATGAGAAGGGACAGCGTATCTCCAGGCTAAAAGCTTTATAAGTAAGGCTGCTCGGCGGGGGTGGGGAGAGCGCCAGACACAGCCTCAGCGGGGCCGGGGCTAGGAACACGCTGCCATGTGCAACTTTCAGGATGTGAACGTCGTTCCCTACACGTTTTTCTCCGCTAATTCAATTATAAAATAGCTGCCTAACTCTCTACACCCAAATAATGTGGGTCTCTATTACTTTGCCTCACATGTGTCCTGTGGGCTGGGAAAATGCCAATGAGGACTTGGATCGAACACCTCTGTTGGAGGAAAGCAGGACACCCATCATGCCCTTCCTGACGCTCTGAACCCGTAAACCCATGTCTCAGACTCTGGGCAATCACAGATCCTTTAAAAATAGTTCTTGGCCTTTAGCTCCAGCCACGTGGGAGGACACACATTTGAGCAGGTATGGAACATATCCTGGGTGGGCTGGTCTGATGCCCAGGAGCTGGGAGGTTCCAGCCACTGTCTCAGATGTGTGGGGTGCTTATCTGTTTACATGTCTGCGGGGTCCCCAGGTTTCAGGTCACTGAGGACGGGCTTGGGCTTCTTGGGCTTTATCTTCAGATTTCAGCAGCAGCTGCAGGGCCCCAGAGATGCATGTTGGGGTGACCGAGCCGAAAAGCCCAGGCCCTGGGAGCAGATTCCAGGCTTCCCCTTGCAGGGCTAGGTGGCCCCTTGCCCCCACACAGAGCGCCCCTGGGTGCTCTGGCAGGAATGTGGCACCCTGGGGTGGCTGGAGGCCTCCTCCTGGTCCTGGAGCAGCGGCTGTGAAGGGCCAGCTCCTGAGGAGGTGAGCGGAGTTGGGGGCAGATTAGGATCAGGCCCCCCCACAGCCCCACCTGCACCCTGGCTGTGGCCCGGGGACAGTCTTTATGGAGCAACCAGGTGGGGAAGGCACCCTGTGGGGAAGGCTTCGCACGTGTGGGGGTATCTATGGGGCAGGAACCCTGAAGGGTGGGCCTGTCATGGGTGGGGAGGGTAATCCATGTGGCAGGAACGCCGTAGGGTATGAACCCCATGCTCAGCAAGGGCACCCAATGGTTTGGATTCTGGCTCTCATTTCAGCCACTATGAAACTACATATCCTAAGTGGGTATGAATCCCCCTTCATCCCTGACACCACCTAGAAAAGCTTGCCAGACCCTGCTACATGTGAGGACAGATGGGTGCTCTAGTTAGGAAGTGCTGGGACCTGAAACTAGTCCTCGGACTGCGGCCCTCCGACCCAATGAGCTCCCCCTTTACTGTCATGCCCTCCTTACTTCCTGGATATGCCACATACATGTGCCACATACACGCAGACACCCATGTATGTGCGCACACATGTATACATGCACACACCTGTGTGCAAATACACACAGGCACCCTCACATGCACACACATGTACACATATGCACACATTAAGGCGCATATATACACTTGTGCTCACATGCACACACATGCATGTGTACATATGTGCACAGGTAGCCTCACACACACACTTACACACACTTATCTGTCTATACATGCACGCAGGTGCCCTCACATGCAGCTATGTGTACATGTACATACATATATGCACAAAGTGCCCTCACATGTATGCATACATATATGCACGTCCCCTCATACACACACATACTTGTGCACATACATGCACAGGTGGCCCCTCATGCACATATACATGCACCTATGTGCACAAGGCACACACATGTAGGCACAAATATATGCAGTGCACCACATACACATGTACAACTCACAGATGTAAGTGTACCTCACACACATGCACATATATGCACTGCAACCTCCCATGCACACGTGTACATATACATGTGCACATACATGCACAGGTGGCCTCCCATGCACACACACATGTACATACACACACATGCAATTTTGAGCACTTAGGCTCTTTGAAATGCATTCCATGGACTTAGGATCTTAGCAGCAAATCATGACAGCTGTGCTTCCCACTAACAGTGCTTCCTGTTTTCAGAAGTGGTCTCATTTATATCAACTCCTTTGCTGATCCTAGGAGTAACTTAA